CGAATAGACTCTCTTGAATAGAATCTAGTTCTATTGGCTTTCAAAAGCCAATAGGAATTGTCCAGGCTTTCTCTGCCCTGCTGAGCCCACCAAAAGTCCCACTCTGCAAACGGTGCTGCACCAGTTGAGTAGTCCTCGACTTACGACCGGTTGAGTAGTCCTCGACTTACGACCGGTTGGGGGTAGCGGCATTAAAAAGGTTGAGAACCACTGATCTAACCTGAGTCGTCAAATCAAAAACGGTGTTACCTTTTGCCCTCCAAAGGCTGGGTCAATGACATGGGGAACTTCACACACACACACACACACACACACACACACACACACACACACACACACACACACCTTCCTTTCCTGCTCAAGGTTTATTACCTTTTCCATTTGCTTCTTGTAAAGATAAGGAAGGAAATGAGGTACATCGGAAGATTGCTGAGGGTGGAATGACCCTGCAGCTTAGCCAGGTACACACACACACTCGCCAACTGGGCCAAAAGCTTTTGAAGGGCGTTTTGGGGGAAGAGGCAGGCCCAGCGATGCTCCAGGGCTGCGAGACTTTTATCTTCAGGCTCGTTAGATACCTAGAATGATTTCTTGGAAGGCAGAAGGGGCTTCCTCCCTCTATCTCTGCCTCTTCTAGATTCTGGTCGTGCCAGCAGAGAGAGAAACAAACAGGGACTCAGCCCAGCAAAAAAGGCAGTTTAGGAAGACAGGATCAGCCATTGTTGCAGCAAAACATGAGTTGCTTTTATTTATTTATTTATTTATTTATGAGACTTATATACCGCTTTTAAGTGCAAGCACTCTCTAAGCGGTGTACACCAGTAAGCAATGTATATATATATTTACATTGCCCCCAACAATCTGGGTCCTCATTTTACCTACCCCGGAAGGATGGAAGGCTGAGTCAACCTTGAGCCGGTGAGATTTGAACCGCTGACCTGCTGAACACAGTCAGCTAAAGTGGCCTGCAGTACTGCACTCTAACTGCTGCGCCACCTCGGCTCATATGTGGCAGTGAAATGGGCGGCATATAAATTTAATAAGCCAATATGGTTTGCAAACCACTGGATTATATGAAGGTAGCAGGGCAGATATTTTGCCCTGTTGTTGTGTGTGTTTGTGTTGTTCGTCCATCGATTTCGATGAAGACCTTGACATCTTGTGGGTTATGGGCCATCAGCGATGTGTCCGTAGGTGGCTAATAAGACCGATGTTAGCACGGAATGTTCTGCCACACACTGAACAAAGAAATGTAGACACTGTTAATTCAGCATTTGCAGCTCTGGCTTTGCGGAGTGCTCACTTTTCTTGTGCCAAGATTGTCCTTCTGTGTTTGTATGTCTGGCAACCCTGGTACACCAAGGTGCGCCATGTCGGTCGATCATGCGCCAAAAGTTCCCAAGGGATGGTGTTAATATCCAGGGACTTAAGAGAGGCTTTCAACGTGTCTTTGTATCGCTTCTTTTGTCCCCCATGCGATCACTTTCCTTGAGACAGCTCACCATAGAAGAGCCGTTTAGGGATATGATGATCTGGCATCCTTACAACATGGCCCGCCTAGCGCATCTGGGTTTTCATCAACAGAGTGTAAACTGATGATAGGCCTGCTCTGGAGAGGACATCTGTGTCTGGTATCTTATCCTGCCACCGGATCCTCAGAATTCTACGAAGGCAAGTCATGTGGAAGTAGTTCAGTTGCCTAACATGCCTCCTGTACACTGTCCAGGTCTCACTAGCATACAATAGGGTAGTTAGCACTGCTGCCTGGTAAACTTTAAGCTTGGTAGCAAGACTTATTCCACGGCGGTCCCACACGTTAGTCCGCCCTGTTGTTACTCCATCAACCACTCCATGTCAACTGGAAGAGCCTGGTCTTTGGGTCCTTACAAAAAAATAAGGGCCTGAGATGAAGTTCTGACCATTTGTACGTGCACCACAATGCCCTTAACACGGGAAAGGCTTTCCTTTACCCTGGTGGCCACCATCTTGACTTTTTGGACTCCATGGATACCCTTGTAACATTCAATTTTGGAGGGGGAGCGAACGAGGTCTAACGATGCTGATGCTACTAGCGGTCTGATGGCTTTTTTCTTTGATGTGTGACAACCACAAAGGAGGGCAAAGTTTCTCTGTGAGGGAAATGGGAACTTAGAGCTTAGCCCTTGCCTTGGCTGGAGATCCTTTCTGGATCACATTTCCCCGTAGATGTTTGTCTGTAGGGAGAAAAGCTCTCCCAGAACCAAGCTCTGAATTGGGGTGTGTATGTGTGTGCGTGTGTGTGTTACATTGGATTCCTTCCCTGAGAAGAGATGGGAGTTCAGAATAACAGAGGTAGAAAGGGTCTTGGAGATCATCTAGTCGAACCCTCTGCTCAAGCAGGAGACTCTATACCATTTCAGAAAAATGGCTGTCTGATCTCTTTTTGAAAACTTCCAGTGATGGGGCACCCACAACTTCTGAAGGCAAGCCTTTCCACTGATTAATTGTTCTAATTAACAGGAAATTTCTCCCTATTTATAAGTTTGGTCACTGCCCATTACTTTTTAGCCTGCCTTCTGGCGCTTTGGAAAATAAGTTGATCCTCTTCTCTTCTCTGTAGTAGCCCCTCAAATATTGGAAGATGCTATAATAATGATGATAATAATGATAATGATAATAATGATAATAATAAAGTTGGAAGGGACTTTGGAGGTCATCTAGTCCAACCCCCTGCTCGGGCAGGAAACCCTATACCATTTCAGACAAACGGCTGTCCAGTCTCTTCTTAAAAACTTCCAGTGTTGGAGCATTCACCGCTTCTGGAGGCAGGTTGTTCCACTGGTTAATTGTTCTGACTGTCAGGAAGTTTCTCCTTAGTTCTAGGTTGCTTCTCTCCTTGATTATCAAGGTGCCCTTAGTTCTTCTCTTTGTTAGACTAGACATACCAACTTCCTGCAATTCCTCATCAGACAGTTTCGCCTCCTAATCCTCTTTGTTGCTCTTCTCTGCACACTTTTTCGTATCGTGGTGACCAAATCCCAAGCGTGATCTTACCTCACACTTGGCGTGTCTCCCGCTCTTCCCTTTTGCAAGACAGCTAGTTTCACACAAAGTAGCTTTCACAGGAAACTATGAATAAGGCCATCGTTCAAAAATAATTGAGAAAGTCATCCGTTCTTTTCAGACAGATCTTTGTGAGTTCCCGGCTGTTCTAAGCCAAGGGAACAAAATGGATATTTGGGGTTTAAGTATCAAGAGGGCAGCCAGGACTTCACATGCATTGTGCAAGTGATGGCCATCATTTTACCTTTGGTGTTTCCCCCCTACCCCTCTGGAAAGCAGTAAGTTTTTAGATAACCCTCTCCAGCCTGGTTTTTCTAGGTGGGTGTCAGAATCCAATTATATTTCATCTCTAGTTATCGACTATGGAGAACCCCATTTCTGCCCTCTTTGGATTCTATCATAGATGAAGAGGAAGGTGGGTGAGCAAAGGGGTTTTATGGCCCCCACTTCCTTCGGTACAACTTCAAAAGGGACTGAATGTGGATACCACCAAAAGGACTAACCATAACAATATGGCCCATCACCTTTCATCTATTCCTCTCTGAAGTCTCCCTTCCGGCAGTGAGGAAAAAGGAGGTGGAAATGTAACGCCTGGGATTGTCGCTGGAAAGATGGTGGGGTGGGGTGGGGCTGCTGGGGACCCCTTAAAACCTTGAACCGTAGGGCTTGGGCCCCAGGTCCTGTCTAGAACGCCTGCAACCATTTTCTCTTAATAAAGGATGCCTGTTGGAAGAAATATTCCAAGAGTGCTGTCTTCTTAAGATGCAAAGTGGGGTGGGTCCTTACAGTGAGTCTCAAAGTTGGGGTCAACCTCTCTTCTCCAAGTGGGGGCATCTTGGTGGAAGTGCCACGTTTAGGGTGTTTGCTTGGCTTCCAAGTCTAGCCTCCAGCCTTTGTGGTCTCCTAAATCCTAAGGAGGAGGTCCCCATCTTGGGACTGGTCACAGTGGCCCAGCTGTTGCCCTTGACAACAGGGCAGAGGCCTTGCCATGCCTCTCCATCCTTGGAGCCTGGCCAGTGGCGTAGAAGGCATTTAGCAAGGCTGGCAGGTTAGGAACACTGGCGTTAGGGGACCAGGTTTTTTTTATTTAAAATGTTTTATTAACAGAATAAACCCACTAATCCACCCATCCCCACCCTCCTACCCCTCCCCCCACTTCCCAGAGCCGAGTACAGGGTTATAACAAACATAATTAAACCTAATCTAATTAAATTCAACAATTTATACAACAACTAAATTCATACTTAACCCTTAACTCCCTTTCAACCTTAAGAACATAAACAAATCCATTATAATAAGTATTATTAATAGTATTTTATAATTGGAATTATTTAGTTTATTTATCGTTATTATGGTTTTTTTATAATAGTTGTTTAAAAAAGGGGGGCCAGTTTTTGCAGAGCTGTGTGACAGTCCTGTGGGCACAAAATTCTGGTTGCCCGAGAAAGAGCCGAGATTTCAAATGAAATATATTTCATCTTTAATTATCAAACATAGAAACTCCCAATTCTGCCTTCTCTGGATTCTGCCATAAGAGGGAGAAAAGGGGGAGAGCAAAGGGGCTTTATGGCCCTCACTTCCTTCAGCACACTTCAAAGGACTGAATGTGTGTTTATTGTGGCCTCTAAGCTTTAACATATCAAAGAAGAGTAATTGCCTTTCATGTAGTTATCTGAAGTCTCCATCCAGACGGAAGAAGAAAGGGGATGGAATTGTGATACTTGAAACTATCACTGGAAGGGGGGTTGATTGGGTGGGACTACTGGGGAACCCCTTAAAACCTTGAATGGGAGAGCTTGGACCCCAAGTCCTGTCTAGCATGCCTGCAACCATTTTCTCTTAATAAAGGATTCCTGTTGGAAGAATTATTCCAAGAGTTCTGTCTTCTTAAGATGCAAAGTGGGGTGGGTCCTCACACTTGGCGGCTAAAACTCATTGCATTTTTTTATCCCACCCAGGTCACCAGAGAAGCTGTATGATGAGCAAAGTAGCAATGAGAAGCCTGGTTTTGCGGAAAGCCATTCAGCAGCGGCCACCATGTTGACTTTCCCTGGCTCCCGTCGCTTGTTGGCTGGCTTGGAGGTCCCCACTTCCCAGAGGCTGGGCTGAAGGTGTCGTTTCTTCCCTCAATCCGTCCCTTGCCGGACGGCTTCTGCTGTTTGACTCGCCATGGGGGGATGTTTCTCCAAACCCAAACCAGGTGAGCTGTTTCTGCAAAGCTTTCCGGCTCCGTGGCCCAAACGGGGCCTCTTTTGTGCAGCGTTGTGATTAAACTAGGTCAGGCATGCCAGTGGCCTTTCTGCCAACGGAGTCCGTGGAGAATTTCAACGTGGTGGGGTTGCTAAAGCGATTGGCTAATCCCCTGGAAACTTCATTTCATGCCAGCATAATTCTTTAATAGAAGATTAAGAACCCTTCCTGGAAGACTGTGGGGATCAAAAGCGGGGGGGGGGAGTGGGTTTCGTCTTCCTGGAGAAGCAGTCGGAGATCAAGTCTCTTGAGAAAGAGAGGCCAAAATTGGGGCAGAATAAGGCCTTTTTAAAGTTCGTATCTGAGCTTAAATGGACTCCAGAAGATGGTAGAGGACAGGAAGGCCTGGAGGAACGTTGTCCATGGGATCGCAATGGGTTGGACACGACTTTGCAACTAACAACAACAAAGTTGGTACCGGGCATCAGTTAGGGCTGAGTGTCAGTGCAGGAAAACCTTTGACCAAAGCAGGTGGCCCTTCTCAAACACAGTGAGATTAGGCAAAGGAATTTCTCTGCAAATCTGTTGCATCTCGACTGAATCATAAGATGTGAGTTTTAAGAGTCCACTCAACTCTTAAAGCCACGCCCTCAGAGATGGCTGTCGAACTCTCCACTTGTCTAAGGAGATTCTCCATCTTAATAATAATATTATAATAATAATATAATAAAGTTGGAAGGGACCTTGGAGGTCATCGAGTCCAACCCCCTGCTCAGGCAGGAAACCCTACACCATTTCGGACAAATGGCTGTCCAGTCTCTTCTTAAAAACTTCCAGTGTTGGAGCATTCACCGCTTCTGGAGGCAGGTTGTTCCACTGGTTAATTGTTCTAACTGTCCGGAAGTTTCTCCTTAGTTCTAGGTTGCTTCTCTCCTTGATTCGTTTCCATCCGCTGCTTCTTGTCCTGCCTTCAGGTGCTTTGGAAAATAGCTTGACTCCCTCTTCTTTGGGGCAGCCCCAGAGATACTGGAAGACTGCTATCATGTCCCCCCTCGTCCTTCTCTTTGTTAAAACTAGACGTACCCAATTCCAGCAACCGTTCCTCATAAGTTTTAGCCTCCAGTCCCCTAATCCTCTTTGTTGCTCTTCTCTGTACTCTTTCTAGAGTCTCAGCATCTTTTTTACATCGCAATGACCAAAACTGGATGCAGTATTCCAAGTGTGACCTTATCAAGGCCTTGTATTAATACTTCACGTGATCTTGATCCTATCCCTCTGTTAATGGAGGTGTTTTTTCAAAAGGCAACTGGACTTTCTTGTTTTTCCTTGAAGATGTTTCACTTCTCATCCAAGAAGCTTCTTCAGTTCCACTTGAACTCATCCCTCTTTCCATTGTTGGTCCTGCTGACCAATTAATCTAGACTTCCAAAATGAGATGTTTTTCTAGCATTCGGCTGAAAACTGTCTTCCTGTAGTTTACATCCGTGATGCGTTGTCCTGGGCTCTAGAGCAGTGGTTCTCAACCTGTGGGTCGGGACCCCATTTGGGGTTGAACGACCATTTCACAACGCAATGCCAAACAATGCAGTCCGCCATTTTCCCCCCCTTTTCCTTAGCTGTGCTACTCCCTTTTATTCTATTGGCTTTTGAAAGCCAATAGAATAGACTCTCTTGAATAGAGTCTAATTCTATTGGCTTTCAAAAGCCAATAGGAATTGTCCAGGCTGTCTCTGCCCTGCTGAGCCCGCCAAAAGTCCCATTCTGCAAACGGTGCTGCACTAGTTGAGTAGTCCTCGACTTACGACCGGTTGAGTAGTCCTTGACTTACGACCGGTTGGGGGTCGCGGCATTAAAAAGGTTGAGAACCACTGCTGTAGAGGGCGAGAGAAGTCATTGGGTGACCCCTGCTAGATATTCAGAGAGGACTGTCCAGTCCTTCTTCCGTTTCCTCTTTCAGTTTTTCAGTTTTCTTTTTTCTCTTTCTCCATTTGCCCTTCACTGACCTATTCCAGATTTTGTTAAGCTTATTTAGTTTTAACCTGAGTCAGATGTTTCTATATGTCTTAGATTGTTCTGTAAATTCAGTTTGTTTAGTTAATTATTTTTTTTATCAATCTATTTATTTGCTAACACTTATATCTTACCCGGTTACAAATGTTCTTGATGGCTAACATCAGTTTTAACCTATTAAGTGGAAATAACCACATGATATAAAAACACCTGTAAATAACAGCATCAAATAAGAAACAGCAGAGTATAAGCATTTTCCCTATTTGAAGTTTATGTTAAATATTTTAAATGATTGGAGAGTACATGAATTTCAAAGGGAAAAAGAATCCACCTTGCTTGGGAAGGGGAGCATCCAGGCTGAATCTGCTATTTTGAGCAGTCGGCTCCGTTTATCTTAGGAGCCGGTTGCTTTGCTGAATTGCAGGCTGGGAAGATGATAATAAAAAGAGGAGTAAGACTAGAAGTCTAAAGTTGCTTACTTCACGGGACGAATGGAAAAAGTTCCCGAGATAATTCATGGGAATTGCTTTCACTACTCCAAAGTGTCATTTCATCACAACCTTACAGAGCAGTAATCCATTCGTTGCAAGGGCCAGGCAATTTTGCTTAGAAACAATTAGAAAGCCCTCATGTTTATTAAATTCCTTGCGGAGGAAAACCTGCTGAGTCAAGGAGTCTTCATGAAGGTATGAAATCTCTCCCCGTTCCCAGCTTTTCATTCTGCCAACGCAGCTCTTTCGGTCTTCGGATTTCGACTGGCCTGGGGAGGGCAGGGCTGTACGGGGAGGAGGGACTGGAGAAAAACCTGCCAAGAAGGTATCCAAGTCTCATCAAAGTGTGAGGAAATTTGCTCTTTGGTCGTGCTAAGTAATCCTTCTGAGCAAACTCGCCAGCTCCGCCAGCTGAGCAGCTTCCATTCTTGTCAAGCTGAGGGTGCAAAAGCCAACACACAACTGTTCCGCCTTCTCATCTGGGTCAACAGATCATCATCTAGAAACAAATAAAGTTATAAGTAAAACCCAGCCCGGGTTTGTTAAAAACAGATCGTGCCAAACTAATCTTATTTCATCCTTCTTTGACAATGTGACTAAATTAGCAGACCAGTGAAATGCTGTCAACGTAGTATACTTAGATTTCAGTAAGGCATTCGACAAAGTAGACCACAACCTATTCCTTGGCGAGCTAGAAAAAATGTGTGATAGACAGCATCACCACCAGATGGATTTGTAACTGGCTGACAAACCGTACTCAACGAGTAGTCCTTAATGGCACTACATCCACACGGAGAGAAGTAAGCAGTGGGGTACTACAAGGTTCCGTCTTAGGCCCGGGACTCTTCCATCTCTTCATAAACAACTTAGATGAGGGAATAGAAGGGGAACTCATCAAATTTGTAGGTGACATCAAACTGGCAGGAGTAGCCATCACCCCAGAAGACAAACTCAGGATCCAAAAAGATCTTGATAGACTTGGCCAATGGGCCCCATCCAACAACATGAAATTTAATGTGGAGAAAAGCAAGGTTTTACATTTAGGCAGGAAAAACCAAAGGTACAAGTACAGATTACGCAAAACCTGGCTGAAAAACAGTAACTGCGAGAGGGACCTTGGAGTCCTAGTGGACGATCACTTAAATACGAGCCCGCAGTGTGCAGTAGCAGCAAAAAACTAATACAACCCTTGATTGTATAAACAGAGACTCAAAATCATGTAAAGTATTAATATCACTTTATAAAGCCTTAGTAAGGCCACACCTGGAATACTGCGTTAGGTTTTGGTCACCACATTACAAAAAAGATGTTGAGAGTTTGGAAAAAATTCAGAGAAGAGCAACTAAGATGATCCAAGGCCTGGAGACTAAAACATACGAAGAACGGCTGTGGGACTTGGGTTTGACTAGTCTAAAGAAAAGAAGAAGTAGGAAAGACATGATAGCTGTTGTGTCCTGAGCCTGCAAAAGCAGGCTCAGGACATTGCTATGGTCCTGGGATTGCTGCAAGCTGCCCGAGACCAGACTGAAAGGCGCCAGCCTTGCGCGCATGCGCGAAAGCGCGCCATTAACTGTAGCCTTTTTGCCCGGGGATCCGGACCCAAAAGCAGAGACCTGCGAGTCTCACTGTTGTTGTTGTAGTGAGCAGAAGGAGGAATAAAGAACCATTACTTCTAACATGTGTGATCTTCATTCGCCATCGAACGAAGAGCTTAACAATAGCAATATTCCAGTATCTGGGGGGCTGCCACAAAGAAGAGGGGGCCAGATTATTCTCCAAAGCACCAGAGGGCAGGATAAGAAGCAATGGTTGGAAACTGATCAAAGAGAGAAGCAACCTGGAATTAAGAAAAAACTTCCTGACAGTGAGGACAATTAACTAGTGGAACAGCTTGCCACCAGAAATTGTGGGTGCTCCATCACTGGAGACTGGACAGTCACTTGTCTGAAATGGTATAGGTTCTCCTGCTTGAGCAGGGGGTTGGACTAGAAGATCTCAAAGGTTCCTTCCAGCACTATTCTGATTGACTGACAATTGTTGGTCAAATGAACTATGATCAGCAGAATTCCTCAGCTGCTCTGGCCTTTCCAATTCTCACCTTCTTCCTCTAGGCATGGGCCAGCCTTTCCTTTTTGCTGACGTATTCAAAAGTCTTTTTTTGTGTTTTGGCCTTCCTGTCTTGTTGCAGATACCAGCGTTACATTCACTGAACCATTTTTTATTTCCTTTTGATTCTTAAGATAGGTTGAAAGCTTTCAGCGCCTCTATTCGTAATGAAAACTCAATTCCCTCCACTCCACAAGACTGGACCACCTTTATTTTTTATAATAATTTTATTAAAAGTTAAAGAGAGAGAAACCACACAAAATTAAGACGAATAAAACAATAAAAAGAAAACTGGAAAGTGCAGAAAAAATTAAAAAAACAGATAGTAATAAATTTATTTATAGTGACGAAAAGGAAAGAAAGTATAGAATGAAATGAATTCCTCTTCTTCACAAAAGGTGTGAACAATTTCAGTAGCTTATCACCTTCTCTTATAATACAACAAATTATATCTCTTCTTCCAATATTCCGACTCTTATCCATTAACAAATCCTTAAAAATTCATTGTTTCTTCCTAGTCAGCTAAAGTTCATTAAGGGTTGCCAAGGATAGCAACATTATCTGACAACATGTTAAAATAGAAACAATCAACTTTATATGCCTTTTACTTTTAACAGTAAATTTAATCAAATAATGTCCCAGAACTTGGTTTCTTTTCATTTTTTCTTTTTTCTCACAAAATTATTGAAACATTTAACAAATCTCTTTTCTAAATACAATATAGGAAATTTGTGAGTCTCCTTCAATCCTTTGTGAAGTAAATTTTAATTACAGGTTTAAGGGCTTATTTTAAAAAAAAAATAAGCAGCAATTGGATGATTAGAACATTGGTTTTAGAAAGTCACAAGTTTGTGGATCCAGATGGATTTTGAAATTAATTATAAGAAGGGGAAAACATTGTTATTTTGAATCGTTAAAAATAAGAACATGATAGGAACTTTGAGGGTTGGACTCTAGAGGAAGTGAAAAAGAATTAAAACTTACAATTAAAGAAAAACGCTTAAATTTGACTTACTAATACAGAAGGGAGCAAAATACTTTAATGTTGGATATATTGATGGATATTTGTAAACAATGGACCCAGAAGATAATTTTAAGATAATTTTGTCTCCTATTAAACGCAGACTATATTTAAAAGATGTTTTAAATTTAAACTTTTAAAGATGTTTAAAGAGGTTTTAACTTAACTGAATAAGGGAGACATGATAGCAGGTAGTCCTCAGCTTACAAGCACAACTGGGATCAGAAATCCATTGCTAAGTCAGGTGGTTATTAAATGACCTTTTTGTGACAGTTGTTAAATGAATCACAGTGGCTGTTAAGTGAATCTGGCATCCCTTCCGTGAATTTTGCTTGTCAGAATCCCAAACAGTAATCACATGAACCCCGGATGCTGTGGCAGTCATAAATACAGTATAGGCTGGTTGTCAAGAGCTGAATTTTGATCATGTGGCCATGAGGATACTGCCCAAGTTGTAAGTATGAGGACCGGATGTAAATTATGTTCTTCAGTGCTCTTGTAACTTTGAACGGTCACTAAGCGAATGGTGGCAAGTTGAAGATTACCTGATATCTGTTTGAACACACACTTATCATAGATGCAAGATTTGCATTACAACATTGCATTCGCCAGTTTGACACACACCCTCTGCCAAAAAAGCAGATGTGTTGGGCACAGTGTGCAAACAGCTTTTTCAGAGAAGAGCAACAAAGACAATGAGGTCTGGAGACTAAACTGTAGGATGAATGGCTAAGGTAAGTTGGTATGTGTCAGAGCGTGCACAGTCATTGTGCTGAGATAACCCAGGAGTAAACACAGTAAACAATGGTCCGCATAAAATGGTGGTTTATCTTACACTATCTACAGTGCTTTTTTTGTAAAAAAAAAAAAAAGGTGCCAGAACTCACACACGTCATACAACCCGCCTTGCCTACCTTACAAGGTTCCATCCAAAAAAGGTGCCGGAACTCCGTTCTGGGCGTTCTATGACAAAAAAAAGCCCTGACCATCTACAATATCATATACCAGGAACAATATACATACACATGCTAATAGAGCAGGATCCAACAAACCACAATTACAGCAGGAAACGGAAGAGAGAGAACTCATCAGCAGAGCCTTCCCTTTATACGAAGGCTCTTAAAGAGACACAAACCCTGCTGACTCATTCCCATCATTACATTACATCTTACATCTTACATTACATAAGCTAGTCAGCTATTAAATCAAGAGTATGTCTAGTCTTAGGGATGATGTGATAGTTGTCTTCCAATGCTTGAGGGGCTGTTGCAGAGAAGAGGTGGGTCAACCTATGCTCCAAAGCACCAAGAAGCAATGGGTGGAAGTTTAGCAGAAGAAGATTCATCCTGGATATAAGAGTTTCCTGACAATGAGAATCATTAATCAGTAGAACAGCTTGTCCCCGAGAGTTGTGGGTGCTCCATTGCTGTAGGTTTTCATGAAAAGATTGGACAACCATTTGTCTGGGATGGTATAAGGACCCCTGCCTTGGACATGGGGCTGGATTAGAAAACCTCCAAGGTCCCTTCCTGTTTTAGGATTATAATTCCTTCCTCCTCACCCAGCTTGGTGAGATAGCCAACAGGGGAACCTGCTGACCACCAGTGGATCAGTAACATGCTCCTCCCTTCCCAACGATGCTGGACATTGCAGCCCTCTCATAAAGTTATGTCTGCAAGTGTGCACATAACTGTATCGTCTGAATAAGGAGCAAATAGATGCACCGTTGGCTCTCTTTCCATGATGAAACCATTCACAAATGGACTTTATTTCTGGAGGGTAGAGCAATCTGGCATGCTGACCATTAGCTACTGTGACTCTGTGCGCATGTGTGTATGTTGTACTGGATGTGTACTTCAATAGGAGCGTGAAACTCCCGCCTCTTGAACAGGTGCAGCCGGACTCGGCTCGTTTCCTTAACATCTCATCAAAGAGCTGCCCAGATTTGCCTTGTAGTGAGATGGGGAGCCAACAAATTCAATATGTAAAAGAAATACAAGTGCGCGACATTCCCAGCACAGAGAAGTTAAACAGCATCTACTAAAGTTGATCGTTTTTAAATCTGCAGGACCGAAACACTTGCGCGTAGGCGTTTTAAAAGGCTTGACTGAGGACCTGTCTGCGCCCCTGAGACTGATTTTTAATAAATCTTGGAGTACTGAGGATGTTCCTGAGGAGTGGATAACAGCTGAACCCACTATAGCAGTGTTTAAAAAAAGTAGACGGAATGAGCGCGGTAAATATTAAGTCCATCCTGGCTGGAAACAATGAATGGAGGGGATGAAGTGTCAATCACCAGAGAATGATAAGATCTGAGATGGATAATTAGGGCTGATTTCAAAAAATTCATATTAATTAAAACTTTAATTGATAATCAATTGCTTGATTAAAGCCTAATTTTGTGTCTTGCTATAATCCAGCAGCATCAATGCTTCCAACAGTGGGGCTCCGTCCAAACTCTGCAGATGTATAAAATAAGTTATTGTTTTGAAGGAAAAGTCACGGGTCTATTTTTCTCAATCTGGCCTCATTCCTTAATCCAGGGGTGGGCAACTAGTGCCCCTTTACGACCTGTGGACTTCAGCTCCCAGAATGGCTGGCTCAGAAAGTTGAAGTTTGCAGGTAGTAAAGGGGCCATAGGATGCTGATATGTGAATTAACACTGATAACACAAATCAATACCCTTGAGTGGGGAAAGTCTATGAGTCCTCAACTTACAACAGTTCATTTAATGACTATTCAAAGTTACAATGGCACTGAAAAAAGTAACATGACTGTTTTTCACAGTTACGGCCATTGCAGCCTCCCCGTGATCATGTGACCAACATTCAGATGCTTGGCAACTGACTCATATTTATGATGGTCACAATTTCCCCGGGGAATCACGTGATCCCCTTTGGCGGCTTTGTGACAAGCCAAGTCAATGGGGAAGCCAGATTCACTTAACACTTGTGCTGCTAACTTAACAACTGCAGTGATCCACTTAGCAACTGCGGCAAGAAAAGTCATAAAACGGGGCAAAACTCACTTAACAACCGTCTTGCTTAGCAACAGAATTTTGGGGCTCAGCTGTGGTCCTAAGCGGCAAACCCTCTTAATGTGCCAACACATTTCTCAGATAAAACTCTGGAGTGTTTGCAGGGTCTGTGTGTTAAAAAAAAAAAATCGAGATGGTCTGCCAAGCCACACAATCAAGTCCTTGCCCCTTTTGGGCACATTGTCTAAAACAGTGATGGCGAACCTTTTAGAGTGCCCAAAAACTGCTCCCCACCCCTGTCCCTCTCCACCCTGCCCACTGGGCCACCCACCACCTCCACGGCCCGCCACAGATCACCCAGGCAGCCCAGTAGCGTCACAGCGGCCACACCCTCTGCCCATGCCCCACAGCATCATCTGTGCACGACAGACCGCAAGGGCAGAGTCTTGTCCCCACTGCCTGGGGCTGCGCTGCTTTATGTGGGCTGCACCCAGGAGCTACTCTCCTCCGGGGGGTCTGGTGGTGAGGAGGGGGCGGTGGGAGAAGGCAGGGATGGGGAGACAGTGCGTGTGCCCACAGAGAGGGCTCCGAGTGCCGCCTCTGGCACCCGTGCCACAGGTTCGCCACCACTGGTCTAAAACGTCCATCACCAACACTGGGGCCATCTTGCTTTTTTAGAAACACCCCCCCCCCCCAAGCTTCTCCCATGACTTCTGGGCTGGTTCCCTGCTTGGGGCCTTTTCAAGGCAAGGTGAATCTAATTTTTTTCCTAGCATTTGACCTCCACGGACTGTTGTGACAGGTGTGATCTGGGCTCCTGGCTGTTTGGGAGCCTCCCCTTGCCTGCTTCTGAAGCTTTCCTATAGTTTCCTTCTGGGGGGTGGGAAGTCGGGCTCCCCAGCAGGATGCAAATGGCTTCCCATAAGTCAACAGGGTTCCCGTAATTAAGTGCAGCCACGGAGTACAAGTGGCGGTGAAGGCAGAAGCCACGTTGCCCGCCACTGGGGCAGACGCATCGTGACACAGGGACTCTTTCCATAGTAGGAGGAGATGCACACAGGTGGCATCTTCCCTCCCAGGTTTTTTACACCAGTGGTTCTCAACCTGTGGTCCGTGGACCCTGGGAGGCCACAATGTTGTCACAGAAGTGTTACGATTGAAATCTTAACTCTTGGGGTCCGTGGCCGTAAGAGGTATCTAAAAGGGGTCCGTGGTGAAGAAAAGGTTGAGAATCACTCTTCTACACCAGTGTTTCCCAAACTTGACAATTTTAAGGCATGAGGACTTCAACTCCCAGAATTCCACAGCCAGCAACGCTGGCTGTGGAATTCTGGGAGTTGAAGTCCACATGCCTTAAAATTGTCAAGTTTGGGAAACACTGTTCTACACCATGAAGGCCCCTCATTCCAGAGTGAATTTGGGGCCTTCTGCCATCACAAAAACACACACGGATGCAGAAGTGCCCAGACATAACTTTATGGCCAAACTATAACATCTCCTTAAAATGTTTCAAACGCTCAAAAAGAATCGTGCTTTGCCATCCGGCAATTTGCGGTTTATTTAGACCTGCATATTTAGGGAATTGTTTTGTCAGGCTAAGTTGCACATTTCTAAAGATCCTTCAGACAAGTTCAATAAAGAACTAAAAAAAAAAGAAAAAAGGAAGGAAGCCGGTGTTGATGGGGGCTGGGGCCCAGTGGTGAACACATCAGCACACAGTTGCCAAGCCAACTTGCCGAAGGTGGAGAAACACGGCCTTAAATGTGGCTTAATACAGGTAGTCCTCACCTTGCAACCACAGTGGAGCCCAAAATTCTGTTCTTAAGTGAGATATTTGCTAAGCGAGTTTCGCCCCGTTTTACGACTTTCCTTGCCACAGTTGTTAAGTTGGTAACATGGTTGTTAAGTGAATCCAGTTTCCCCGTTGATTTTGCTTGTCAAAAGGTCGCAAAAGGGGATCACGTGACCCCGGGACACTGCAACCGTCATAAGTATGAATCAGTTGCCAAGCATCTGAATTGTGACCGTGGGGATGCTACAAAGGTCGTAACTGTGAAAAACGGTCATAAGTTACTTCTTTTCAGTGCCGTTGTAACTTTGAAGGGTCACTAAATGAAGCGCTGTTAGGCCGAGGACTCCCTGTATAGTGTGTATCACATAAGCTGCTAAGGCCAAAGAAATAAAGACGATAAAGCAGCGTTTCCGCAACCTTGGCAAGTTGAAGCTGTGTGGACTTCAACTCCCAGAATTCCGCAGCCAGCAAAGAATTCTGGGAACTGAAGTTCACACATCTTCAACTTGCCAAGGTTGAGAAACACGGTGATAGAGCATTCCCACAACCTGGCAAGTTGGGTTGGCCACAGCTCGGAAGCAGACATTTTTCACCTTGCGACCAACTGGATCTCAAATGGATCCCAGCCAATGAGAAGTGACCCTCTAGGTAGGCAAGCTGGCTCCAAAGAGGCAATTCCTCTAGCTGGCTGCCCTCCGTTTGGGAAGGGAACAAATGCTGCTGCTCAGATACTGCTCCTCAGCTGGCTTGATGCGATCTGGACTCCGGGCCCAGCGTGTCTCTTTAAGGCAGTGGTTCTCAACCTTTCTAATGCCGCAACCCCATAATACAGTTCCCCATGTTGTGGTGACCCCCAACCACTTATACATCACCGGGTGCCAGGGATGTGGCCAAAGAAAAGGAGGAAAAAATGGCAGACAGCCTTGTTTGGCGACCCCCGTGAAATGGTCGTTCGACCCCAAATGGGGTCCCAACCCACAGGTTGAGAACCACTGCTTTAAGGAGAGGAAGGCGGGTCTGCAGGGCCTGTCAGGAGATTCATGGCAGCACCAGATGAGTCTAGAGAAGAGAAGAAACAGGGGAGACATGATAGCAGCGTTCCAGTATCTGAGGGGCTGCCACAAAGAAGAGGAGGGAGTCACATTATTCTCCAAAGCATCCGAGGGCAGGACGAAAAACAGTGGTTGGAAACTGATCAAGGAGAGAAGCAACCTAGAATTAAGGAGAACTTTCCTGACAGTGAGGACAATCAACCAGTGGAACAGCTTCCCACCAGAAAGTGTGGGCTCTCCATCACTGGAGATTTTAAAGAAGAGACCAGACGATCACCTATCTGAGATCATGTAGGTTCTCCTGCTTGAACAGGGGGCTGGATTAGAAGACCCCCAGCTTCTATTCTATTCTATTCTGTTCTGGTTCTATTCTATTCTATTCTATTCTATTCTATTCTATTCTATTCTATTCTATTCTATTCTATTCTATTCTATTCTATTCTATTCTACAATTTGTCTATTGTATTGTATTGTATTGTATTGTATTGTATTGTTTTCTACTCTACTCTACTCTACTCTATTCTATTCTATTCTACAATTTGTCTATTGTATTGTATTGTATTCTACTCTACTCTACTCTACTCTACTCTACTCTACTCTACTCTACTCTACCCTACCCTACCCTACCCTACCCTACCCTACCCTACCCTACCCTACCCTACCCTACCCTACCCTACCCTACTCTACTCTATTCTATTCTATTCTATTCTATTCTATTCTATTCTATTCTATTCTATTCTATTCTATTCTATTCTACAATTTGTCTATTGTATTGTATTGTATTCTACTCTACTCTACTCTACTCTACTCTACTCTACTCTACTCTACTCTACTCTACCCTACCCTACCCTACCCTACCCTACTCTACTCTACTCTATTCTATTCTATTCTATTCTATTCTATTCTATTCTATTCTATTCTATTCTATTCTATTCTACAATTTGTCTATTGTATTGTATTGTATTGTATTGTATTGTATTCTACTCTACTCTACTCTACTCTACTCTACTCTACCCTACCCTACCCTACCCTACCCTACCCTACCCTACCCTACCCTACCCTACCCTACCCTACCCTATTCTATTCTATTCTATTCTATTCTATTCTATTCTATTCTATTCTATTCTATTCTATTCTATTCTATTCCTATTCTACATTCTATTCTATTCTATTCTATTCTATTCTATTCTACAATTTGTCTATTCTACTCTACTCTATTCTACTCTATTCTATTCTATTCTTCATAACAGGAGATCCTAGAAGTAACCCTCTAGTGGGAGACCAGGATCTAGGCTTCGGCAGGAACAGAGAACATTTTAAAAAGGCTGCTGAGAATAAATGGAAGTTGATTATGTTGGTGCCGGTGATTATGTTTGACTGCTAGATCTCTTAACCAGTTCATTACTCTTCAGGCTTTCCGATGCAATCTTAAGGGCTAGGAACCTTAAAAACTTTCTAAATTCTCAGTATTTTCCATAAAGTTAGAGCTGGTTATTGCTCTCTTGCTTTCTGTCGGTTTTTTTTAACTCTTCAGTTTTTCAGCCTAGATGCCACCCTGGGAATTCCTAGCAGCCTCCACCCTAACTACTAACCAGCTTTAGACATTAAACAACATCCCCAGGATGTTGCCCTAACAACGAAACCGAAGGCAACTCTGACGTGATGGCATCTGTGACAAAGCTATGGATGCTGACAGCGTGCACGTAATCCTGCGTGTGTTTGTGTGGATCGAGACATCTGTTGAATTCTTGCCCATTTCACAGTTTCCAAATACTACTAGTCCTCAACTTACAGCCATTCATTTAAAGTTCAGTTCAAAGTTACAACAGCACAAGTGACTTCCGACTGGTTTTCACGCTTACGACCATTGCAGCGTCTCTACAGTCACTTGATCAGAGCTTGGACCCTCGGCAACTGGCCTGTATTTATGACCATTGTAGAGTCCTGGGGTCACATCATGCCCCTTGGCAATCTTCCCAGCCGGCTTCCGACACGCAAAGTCAGTAGGGAGCAAGTCAGATTCACTTAACAACTGCAATGATTCACTTAAAAACTGTGGCAAGAAAGGTCGTAAAATTGGGCAAAACTCACTTTACAACTGCCTTGCTTAGCCATGGAAGTTTGGGGCTCAATTATGGTGATAAGTCGAGGATGGCCTAGTCCAGGGGTAGGTGACCTTGGCTCTTTTATGACTCGTGGACTTCAACTCCCAGAATTCCTGAGCCAACCGGGCTCAGCTTGGAAACCTCTCCCTTTCCCCTCAGCATGGCTGGCTCAGGAATTCTGGGAGTTGAAGTCCACTTTGAGTCATACAAGAGCCAAGGTTGTCTACCCCTGGCCTATGTTCTGCCGAAGGTGGCTGGAACTCTTCCAAAGAAGTGCTCGAACCCAGGGCATTAGAGATGCTTCTCTGTTCGCGAAGGATTAATACCACTTTACAAGGCCTTGGTAAGGCCACACTTGGAATACTGAATCCAATTTTGGTCACCATGATGTAAAAAAGATGTTGAGACTCTAGAAAGAGTGCAGAGAAGAGCAACAAAGATGATTAGGGGACTGGAGGCTAAAATACATAAATAACAGTTGCTGGAATTGGGTATGTCTAGTCTAATGAAGAGAAGGACGAGAGGGGACATGATAGCAGTCTTCCAGTATCTCAGGGGCTGCCCCAAAGAAGAGGGAGTCAAGCTATTCTCCAAAGCACCTGAAGGCAGGACAAGAAGCAACGGAGGGAAACTAACCAAAGAGAGAAGCAACTTGGAACTAAGGAGAAACTTCCTGACAGTCAGAACAATTAACCAGTGGAACAACCTGCCTCCAGAAGCGGTGAAAGCTCCAACACTGGAAGTTTTTAAGAAGAGACTGGACAGCCATTTGTCTGAAATGGTATAGGGTTTCCTGCCTGAGCAGGGGGTTGGACTGGATGACCTCCAAGGTCCCTTCCAACTCTATGATTGTGATTGTGATTGAGATTATGATTATGATTATCATCGCTCTCTTGCTCCTGCAGTGGAAGTGAAGATCGAGGTGGTGCTGCCGGAGAAGGAGCGCATCAAAGAGGAGACGTCGCCCAACGGGAAGGCCAGCCCCATCGTCTACAAGGCCAATGGCACCTCGCGGCACTACCAGCTGGAAGAGCACCCGGTCACCCTCAACCCCTACCGGAACGTGAAGGACGTGGTGGAGGCCTCTGTTTGCCACGTGAAGGACCTGGACAATGGACAGTCAGTGGGCCCAGGACTTCTTCTTGGGTTTTAAAACTGATCCAAGATGTCTCGACCTCAGCCACTTGAAGATGTGTGGACTTCAACTCCCAGAATCCCCCAGCCGGCAAAGCTTCTGGGAGTTGAAGTCCACACGTCTTCAAGTGGTTGAGGTTGAGAAACACTGCTTTAATCAAAATGAGGTGGGAGGGGAGGCCTGCCCCCTGCAAACTCTGCATGTCCCTCAAAAAATTACTTTGCTCCCCAAGAATGGCGTCTAAAAGACGTTTAACAAATGACAACGCTCCTTCTTGTTCTCCCTAGGATGCGAGAAGTCGACTTGGGCTGTGGGAAGGCTCTGCTGGTGAAAGAAAACGGAGAGTTTTATGCCATGGGTCATAAGTGTCCTCACTACGGCGCCCCACTTGTGAAAGGTATGTTTTATCCCCACCCCCCCCCAGACCATGAGTTGGGGTTACCTAGAAGATGTTTCTGCAGGACTGGCCTGGAAAAGGCTTAGGGAAGTTCTGCAAGGCTATGAAAATAGTAAACTCTTAATATCAGCTGACACTAGACCAGTGGTTCTCAACCTGTGGGTCGGGACCCCATTTGGGGTCGAACGACCATTTCACGGGGGTCGCCAAACAACGCAGTCTGCCATTTTTTCCCCCCTTTTCCTTAGCTGTGCTACTCCCTTTTATTCTATTGGCTTTTGAAAGCCAATAGAATAGACTCTCTTGAACAGAGTCTAATTCTATTGGCTTTCAAAAGCCAATAGGAATTGTCCAGGCTGTCTCTGCCCTGCTGAGCCCGCCAAAAGTCCCATTCTGCAAACGGTGCTGCACCAGTTGAGTAGTCCTTGATTTACGACCGCTTGAGTAGTCCTCGACTTACGACCAGTTGGGGGTCGCGGCATTAAAAAGGTTGAGAACCACTGCACTAGACGATTCTGACATTCTGAGGCTTCGTTTCTTCCCATGTTGGTTTGTCTGCTTCTCAGTCACCCCATATTTTTAAATCTTTCCCGTGGTCACTGCAAAAGGACTCTTTTTTCCTCATAGACTAATTTTGCTGTTGCTTTCTTGGGGTCCTCCTTCTGCAGGGGTCTTGTCCAAAGGCCGGGTCCGTTGCCCGTGGCATGGGGCTTGCTTCAACATCAGCACTGGTGATATTGAAGACTTCCCAGGGCTGGATAGCCTCCCCAAATTCCAGGTGAGAATAGAATAGAATTCTTTTATTGACCAAACGTGGTTGGACACACAAGGAATTAGTCTGCGGTGCAGAAGCTCTTAGTCTACATACAAGAAATAGTGATAAGTCATGATCATAAACAACATAAAAATACATTCAGAGAACTCCGCAGTTTAACACTTTAACACAGTGTTTCTCAACCTTGACAATTTTAAGGCATGTGGACTTCAACTCCCAGAATTCCACAGCCAGCATTGCTGGCTGTGGAATTCTGGGAGTTGAAGTCCACATGCCTTAAAATTGTCAAGGTTGAGAAACACTGCAAGTTTAACAGCAGACGACAACAGTCCTTTGATGAAAACGTCCTGTGATCTTCTTTCAATCCGTGCCACTGGGAATATGCAGCAGCCCCCCCCCCCATTTTGCAGGGCTTCAGACTAATTGCTCCTTCAGTGTATTGACCCGGGTTCCTGGCAGATATCCCAGCAAGTCTCTTTAATCCCTTTAATCCTTAGACCAAAATTTCTCAACCTTAGCCACTTGAAGATATGTGGACTTCACTTCCCAGAATCCCCCAGGCAGCATTGAAGTTCATACGTCGTCAAGCGTCCGAGATTGAGAAACCCTGAAAAGTCTTACAGGTTTGGATTCCCTGGACTGGGGACTATCAAAGATCTTTGAGGGGCTTCCCCTGACACACACCTGACCAGGTGTATTGAGGTTCCAGGGTGAAGTCAGGATGGGCACAAAGGAGGCAGTTTCGGCCCCTCCTCAGTAGCCCAGCTCTGCCCTGTCAGTCCTCCAGGTCATGGAGAGGAATTATAGAGGGGCTGAAAGGAGATGAGACTCTACACAAAACGCACGTGTGCGTGCACACACACACACACAGCCTCCTTGTCAGCAATCATGGACATAATGAAGCCTTACACAAAGCTCTTACACAATAGCAGCTGATGCTGTCCCACAAATACCCAACCAACTCTTTGCTCTGAGGCCATTTCTTTGGTCTCAGGGTTGGAACGGAACATAGAGGTCATGTAGCCAAACCTGGGCAGGATCTCCTGGAGCAGCTGTGACAGATGATGATCTAGCCCAGGGGTAGGCAACCTTGGCTCTTTTATGACTGGTGGACTTCAACTCCCAGAATTCCTGAGCCAGCTTGGCTCAGCTTGGAAACCTCTCCCTTTCCCCTCAGCAGGGCTGGCTCAGGAATTCTGGGAGTTGAAGTCCATGAGTCATAAAAGAGCCAAGGTTGCCTACCCCTGTCCTAGGTCCTCCTGTTCTAAGCGGTGAGCCTCCTAGACCAGCGGTAGGCAACCTTGGCTCTTTTATGACTCGTGGACTTCAACTCCCAGAATTCCTGAGCCAGCTTGGCTCAGCTTGGAAACCTCTCCCTTTCCCCTCAGCATGGCTGGCTCAGGAATTCTGGGAGTTGAAGTCCACGAGTCATGAAAGAGCCAAGGTTGCCTACCCCTGATCTAGCCCCATTGAAGATTTCCAGGGAAGCCAAAGTCACCCTGTGACCTGGAATCCTTGGGCTGGGAGGGACATTGGAGGTGATCTGAGGATCCTTCTCCACCATCTGCTGGATAATTGTTTCCCCCATAAGAAAACTTGTCTTTCAGTGGGGCAGAGTGGGGCAGCTGGTTTGGGATTATAATGATCAAACACTTATTTGAATGAGAGTGAAAGTTGCATCACGAAACATGATGACGTTCTTTCTCGTTCCAGGTGAAAATTGAGAAGGAAAAAGTGTACATCCGAGCAAGCAAACAGGTGAGCTGTAGGGCCCCCCCCCCAACCATCATTTATTCTTCAGGGCAGCTTCCCTTGGGGAGTCAGGAGAGTTTGCAGGCCAGGAGGCTGGTGGGACCCAGGCCTGCGCTGGCCACTAGAGTGGAGCCCTTGAGGACCAGGCTGTTCTTCCTTGTGGTGCCTTTTCAGATGAACACCTTTGCTTAAAAGGCTGAGCTTTTGTGAGCGGCATTTCCTGACCCCTGGTGCCTTGGACTAACCTTGGTTTGATGGAAAGGGTACTAGTAAACTCCTTCCTATTGATGGTAGAAGTTGGAGCTAGGTTCACACAATCTGCTAATCCTAAACCAAGTTTTACTAATCACAATTGCTGTGTTGTCGCCATAGCTTGCACTCAGTTCAATTCACAATTTTGCTGTGTCTAACGCCAGTGTGGAATGGCGGGCAGAAAGAGTGTTCCCACCTGTCTAGCATTCCCTACATCAGAGGCCTCCAAATTTGGATTTCAACTCTCAGAATTCTCCAGCCGGCATGGGAGATTTAGGGTGCTGCACGGATTAATCTGCATTTTGTTTCTTCCTGTCCTATTGAACTGGCAGGAAGGGTATACTCCGGGTACCTAGAGAGCCTAACCCCCCTTTGAATCCTCATCCCCTCTAAGATTAAACTGGCCCCATCCCTGCTGGCCTTTCGTAAGGCCTTGAACCCTGAGCTTTGTGCCTCAAAAGGCCTGGAAGGAGCCCATCTCCTGGCTGGGCAGGCAGCTGGTTAGTGAATGCACGGGTGCTATGCGTTTAATTTTTAGTTTCTATTTTGTCATTTGTGTATTTTAATTATTTGATTGCAAGCCACCTACAGTCATACAAAAGAGTCCTGGGTAGCCATATAAATCAACTAACTAACTGAATGAATGAATATAAATGAATGAATGAATGGATAAATGAATGAATATAAATGAATCAATGGATGGATGAATATGAATGAATGAATATGAATGAATGAATATGGATGGATGAATATGAATGGATGGATGAATATGAATATGAATGAATGAATATGGATGAATGAATGAATGAATGAATATAAATGAATGGATGGATGGATGGATGGGTGGATGGACAGATGAATGAATGAATATAAATGGATGAATGGATGAATGAATATAAATGAATGGATGAATGAATGGATGGATAAATATAAATAAATGAATGGATGGATTAACGAATGAATAAATGAATGAATATAAATGAATGGATGGATGGATGAATGAATGAATATAAATGAATGAATGGATGGATGGATGGATGGATGAATATAAATGGATGAATGGATGAATGAATATAAATGGATGGATGGAGTGATGAATGAATATAAATGAATGGATGAATGAATGGATGAATGAATATAAATAAATGAATGGATGGATGAACTAACGAATGAATATAAATGAATGAATGAATATAAATGAATGGATGGATGGATGGATGGATGAATGAATATAAATGGATGGATGGATGGATGAATGAATGAATATAAATGAATGGATGAATGGATGGATGAATGAATATAAATGAATGAATGGATAGATGGATGACTATAAATGAATGGATGGATAGATGCATGAAAATGAATATAAATGAATGAATGGATGGATGGATGGATGGATGAATGAATATAAATGAATGGATGGATGGATGCATGAAAATGAATATAAATGAATGAATATAAATGAATGAATGGATGGATGGATGAATGAATGGATGGATGAATGTGTGTAAAACAGCCTTTCCCATCCTGGGTGCCTTCAAGTCCTCCATTCCCCCCACCAGCATGAGAATTCTGGGTGCTGAAGTCCACCTTTCTGGATGGGGCCCCAGTTGAGGAGAACTGGCCGTAGGCGTAGGGATTGGGGGGTTGCCTGCTTCCATCCGGGACTGAGTTGACCTGGCCCCTTCTCACACCCCAGGCTCTTCAAGCCCAGAAGCGGACGAAGGTGATGGCCAAATGCATCTCCCTCAGCAACTACAGCATCAGCAGCACCAACGTGCTCATCATTGGGGCAGGTACTGGCTGGTGGAGACAGGAAGTAATCAAGGGGGAAAGGTTTCAACCTGGGGGGGGGGTTTCAAGCCCTGCTTGGATGGGTGTCCTCCTGGGGACTCCACTAAGTGGCTCAAGGAGCAGGTGTAAGGACCCACCCCACTTGGCATCTTAAGAAGACAGAACTCTTGGAATAATTCTTCCAACGGGCATCCTTTATTAAGAGAAAATGGTTGCAGGCGTTCTAGACAGGATTTGGGGTCCAAGCTCTCTCATCCAAGGTTTTAAGGGGTTCCCCAGTAGCCCCACCCAATCACCCCCTTCTTCCAGCGACAGTCTCAGGCATTACACTCCCACCCCCTTTTCATTACTGCCAGCTGGGTGGAGACTTCAGAGAGAACTACATGAAGGTAATAGCCCCATTGTTATGGTTAGTCCTTTTGGTGATATCCACATCCAGTCCCTTTGAAGTGTACTGAAGGAAGTGAGGGCCATAAAGCCCCTTTGTTCACCCCCTTCCCTTCATCGTATGGCAGAATCCAGAGAAGGCAGAAATGGGGCTTTCTATAGTTGATAAGTAGAGATGAAATATAATTGGATTCTGACATCAGGGATGTCCATCCATCCCTTCAGAGGTCCAAACTGAGTCTGGTTTTGCCTGGATTTTCAGAGAATTGTGGGAAAACCCACGAGGACACCGCCATTGTGGAAGCCCGATTCAGTTATCCGGATCGATTTTCTCATTTATTCTGAAAAATCCATTCAGTCGGGGGATTCGGTAGAACTGTTTTTGGATCAAACCTCCAAATCAAACCATTGTCCAGCCCAATGGACGCCTCTGGGCTGGAGGGCACCGTCCCCACTTCCTGGGAGCCTCTGGGAGGGAGGGAGAGAATTCCCTAATGGGGAATTCTCAGCTGCGAAAACATGGGTGCTTCCACTGACGGTCACTTCCTCTGGCAGGTCCTGCTGGGCTGGTGTGTGCAGAGACGCTGCGTCAAGAGGGCTTCTCAGACAGGATTGTGATGTGCACAATCGATCGACATTTGCCCTACGACAGGCCCAAGCTGAGCAAGGTTGGTGCCCACCTAGGAGTTTCTCCAAGGCTTTCTCCAGGGCAATGGGTGGCCGGTCCCATTTTCTTTCCTATCCCCAAGCCCTGAGAGTTGAGCCTCTTTGAATGAAACAGAATTCCTTGTCGTGCAGTTCACGGATGTCCGTGTAACTTGTTTCATCCTGGATTTAAGGGCAGAGTTAATACGGAACCTCTGCTCTTTCGCCTAAAAGAGACCGAAATTAAGCTTCCACAATCTCTTAACGAATCAGAATCAGCTGATTCTGAGCCTCCTAGTCCAGCCCCCTGCTCCAGTACTCCAGGATTTTTGAAAGATATGGTGCAGTAGGGTTCTGAGATAACGTCTGCCAGCTCCTTCAGGACTCTGGGATGTAATCTGTTGGGTCCAGGTGATTTATATTAATCAAGGTTGGATAGGTGTTCTCTTACCATTTTTTTTTGCTTATTTTATTTTTTATTTCTGGTCTGTCTTTTACAGTTAGGTTTTGGTAGGTTGGGCTATAGTTTTGGGGGGTGTGAAGACTGATGCAAAGAATGATTTAAGCAGCTCTGCTATTGTTGCTTCCTTGCCATTTAGTGGATCGACTGTTTCCTTGACTTTTTTCTTGTTACTTATATATTGAAAGAAATCTCTTTTTGGTTCTGGCTTAATGGTGCTGGGCTGAAAAAGTTCTGCCCCTCTATAAGACACTCTTGACCCAGGGAAGACTACAGAAGATTCTCAGGTGGGTCCCCAAGCAGTCTTCCCAATGGTGTGTGGGAATGACCTTGGGAGACAGGAGGAAGAACTGCAGACTAGACAGCAACCAGATAAGAGGCAGCTGAACCCCCAAAAGAAACGAGGGCACGGGAAACGTCTCAGAAGAAACCCTGCCTAGTTCCTTGGACTGTAAAGATGAGGGGGGAGAGGTGTGCTTTCAGAGTCTGGTAATGGAACCTTACAATAAAGTTAGAGTTGCTACTTTTGGTTGTGCTTCTTGCCTGGACTACCTCACAACAATCTTACAAGCCTGAAAGCACATCTCTCCCCCGTCACCTTTACAGTCCAAGAAACTAGGAAGGGTCCCGTCTGAGATGTTTCCCGTGCCCTCATTTCTTCTGGGGGTCCAGCTGCATAGAATAGAATAGAATAGAATAGAATAGAATAGAATAGAATAGAATAGAATAGAATAGAATAGAGTAGAGTAGAGTAGAGTAGAGTAGAGTAGAGTAGAGTAGAATAGAATAGAATAGAATAGAGTAGAGTAGAGTAGAGTAGAGTAGAGTAGAGTAGAGTAGAGTAGAGTAGAGTAGAGTAGAATAGAATAGAATAGAATAGGAAATATAGAATAGAATAGAATAGAATAGAATAGAATAGAGTAGAGTAGAGTAGAGTAGAGTAGAGTAGAGTAGAGTAGAATAGGCAGATTATAGAATAGAATAGAATAGAATAGAATAGAATAGAGTAGAGTAGAGTAGAGTAGAGTAGAGTAGAGTAGAGTAGAGTAGAGTAGAATAGACAGATTATAGAATAGAATAGAATCGAATAGAGTAGAGTAGAGTAGACAGATTATAGAATAGAATAGAATAGAATAGAATAGAATAGAATAGAATAGAATAGAGCTTGGGACCTTGGAGGTCTTCTAGTCCAGCCCCCCACCCAAGCAGGAGACCCTATACCATCTCAGACAGGTGATTGTCGAGCCTCTTAAAAGCCTCCAGTGATGGGGCACCTATAACTTCTGGAGGCAAGCTGCTCCACTGGCTAATTGTCCTCACTGTTAGGAAGTTTCTCCTTAATTCCAGGTTGCTTCTCTCTTTGATCAGTTTCCAACCGTTGAAGATAGCAGGAAAAATGAGAAAAAATGAGAAATGAGACAATGCTGTGGGAATTCACTGTTCAGCAGAGTGATGGCACGGGGGAGAAAGCTACCTTTGGGTCTGGTTGTTTTGGCATGTAATGCCCTATAGTGGCGTCCTGAGGGGAGAGATTGAAAAATAGATTATGTCTGCGATGTGAGGGGTCTGTAGAGATCTTCTCAGCCCTTTTATCTGGCTGTTCCCTCTTCTCTTGTCTCCCAAGGCCATTCTCATAGACCAGGGGTCTTCCAACTTGGCCCTTTTATGACTTGTGGACTTCAACTCCCAGAATTCCTCAGCCAGGCACCGTGCCTGGCTGAGGAATTCTGGGAGTTGAAATCCACAAGTCATAAAAGAGCCACGTTTGAAGACCCCCGTCATAGACTATTATACCTCCTTAGTGAAACCCTTCAGGTGTACGTGAACACCTGGCCAGCCTGGCACACATCTGGAAGGCTTTTAAGGAGTATCTAAGAACAAAACTGACTTCTGCTTTCAGTCAATGGATTCCCATGCTGACCAGATTGCTCTGCGTCCTAAAGAATTCTTCCGCACAAACGACATTGAAGTCCTGACCGAAATGCAGGTGAGGTTGGTTTCTGGGGGGGGGGGGGAAGGGAGCTTCAAAATGGGCCTGGCTCTCTTTGTGGGATGTGGGAAGGGAGAGTCCATGTGCCATGTGGACTCAAAAATGGCCTTTGTTATTCCTCCAGAGATGGTTTGGTTTAACCCACCCTTTGGGGAGCTGCTCTACTAAAGCTGGACCAGTGGAGGCTTGGTTTCATCTCCTAAAATGGTGCAGGATGGGTGCAATTGACTCCCTGAATCCTGTCCCCAGAGTGGACTCTGTCTGTTTGGGTGTTGCTCTGATGGAGAAAAAAAAACAACAGTGAAGAAATTACCGTTAATGTCCCATCCATCTTGTTTCAGGTGGTGGCTGTGGACGTCAAGAACAAGACCGCTATTTTCAAGGATGGGTTTAAGATGGAGTATAACAAGCTGCTGCTGGCAACGGGAAACACGTACGTGGGCCCAGGAGGTTTTGCACCAAATGTTGGGGTCTTGTTTTTCAGGCACATTTGAGCCCCAAATGTGTCGGAGAAAGACTGGCTGAGCCAGGGGGAGGAGTCAAATGGGGAATTAGTCTGGAACCTTTAAGTATGCAGGATAGAAAATGGAATCTTTAAGTATGCAGGATAGCAAATGGAATGGAATGGAATAGAATAGAATAGAATAGAATAGAATAGAATAGAATAGAATAGAATAGAATAGAATAGAATAGAATAGAATAATAAGGATAGGATAGGATAGGATAGGATAGGGAATGGAATGGAATAGAATGGAATGGAATGGAATGGAATGGAATGGAATAGAATAGAATAGAATAGAATAGAATAGAATAGAATAGAATAGAATAATAAGGATAGAATAGAATAGAATAATCAGGATAGATAGGATAGGGAATGGAATGGAATGGAATAGAATAGAATAGAATAGAATCTGGAAGGGACCTTGGAGGTCTTCTCCTGCTTGAGCAGGAGATCCTATGCCATTTCAGACAAGTGACTGTCTAGACTCTAGACTCTTCTTAAAAACCTCCAGTGATGGAGCGCCCACGATTTCTGGAGGCAAAGCTGTTCCACTGCTTGATTGTTCTCATTGTTAGGAAGTGTGCAAGCAGGGTTCAGGTTGCTTCTCTCCTTGATTAGTTTCCATCCATTGTTTCCTCTGGTGCTTTGAAGAGTAAGTTGACCCCCTCTTCTTTGTGGCAGCCCCTCAAATACTGCTATCATGTCATCCCTATTTCTTCTTTTCTCTAGACTAGCCAAATCCAAATCTTGCAGCTGTTCTTCATATGTTTTAGTCTCCAGGCCTTTGATCATCTTAGTTGCTTTTCTCTGAACTCTTTCCAAACTCTCAACATCTTTTTTATAGTGTGGTGAACAAAACTGGTTGCAGTGTTCCAGGTGTGATATACATATATGTGATTTTGATTCTATGCCTCTGTTTATACAACTCAGGATTTTATTAGCTTTTTTGGCTGCTGCCACATACTGCTGATTCATATTTAAGTTATCATCCACTAGAACTCCAAGGTCCTTCTCACAGTTACTGTTTTTGAGTCAGATTTCACCTAATCTGTACTTATATCTTTGCTTTTTCCTGCTTAAATGTAAAACTTTGCTTTTCTCCACATTAAAACTCATTTTTTGGGGCACGGCCCATTATCCAAGTTTGTCAAGATCTTTTTGGATCCTGAGCTTGTCTTCAGGGGTGTTGGCTATTCCTGTCAGCTTAATGTCATCTGCATATTTGATGAGTTCCCCTTGTATTCCCTCATGTAATTCATTAATGAAGATATTGAAGAGTCCTGGGCCTAAGACAGAACCTTGTGGTACCCCACCGCTTACTTCTCTCCATGTAGATGTAGTACTACTCATTGAGGACTACTCATTGAGTACAGTTTGTCATCCAGTTACAAATCCATCTGATGGTTATGTTGTCTATTCCACATTTTTCTAGCCTACCAAGGAAAGGTTGTGGTCTACTTTGTCAAATGCCTTGATGAAGTCTAAATATACTATGTCCACAGCATTTCGCTGATCTAAGTTAGTCACTTTGTCAAAGAACGAAATAAGATTGGTTTGGCATTTTAACAAACCCGTGCTGACTACTAGTTATAACTTTATTTGTTTCTAGATGTTCGCAGATCTGTTTTTTTGATAATCTTTTCCAGGATCTTCCCAGGTATTGATGTTAGGCTGAGTGGTCTGTAGTTTCCTGGGTCTGCTTTTTTTTCCTTTCCAGGTGTTCTCTAGAGTTTTACACATTTTTAAAAACCATGGTTAACCCTAATCCATTTTAGACCACATAGGAGGAGAGCTGTGTATGCTGGCCAAAAAACAGGAGGAGACTGAACTATTTTATTTATTCATTTTAGATTTTCTTTATCACACTTTTATTATTTTCATAAGCAACTCAAGGCGGCAAACATACCTAATAATAAGAAGGATGAACATGATAAAAGTCAGGAGCTGCAGTTCCCTTTCTTAGGGATGCCTTTTGCTCAAATGAGGTAGCCAGGATTCTGTTGTTGTTGTTGTTAATTGCGAAGTCATGTCCGACCCATCGCAACCCCATGGACAACGTTCCTCCAGGCCTTCCTGTCCTCTACATCTTCTGGAGTCCATTGAAGCTCACGCCTCCTGCTTCAGAGACTCCATCCAGCCACCTCATTCTCTGTTATTTCCTTTCTTCTCTTGCCCTCCATCTTTCCCAGCATCAGGCTCTTCTCCAGTGAGTCCTTCCTTCTCATTAGGTGGCCAAAGTACTTGAGTTTCAACTTCAGGATCTGGTCTTCTAAAGAGCAGTCAGGGTTGATCTCCTCCAGGACTGACCGGTTGGATCGCCTTGCAGTCCAAGGGACTCGCAGGAGTCTTCTCCAGCACCAGAGTTCAAAGGCCTCCATTCTTTGGCGCTCAGCCTTTCTTATGGTCCAACTTTCACATCCATACATTGCCACTGGGAAAACTGTGGACCACGACTAAGGAGACTTTCTCCCTGGTAGTCTCACTTGCCCTTGTTTGATCTTTAGAGGATTCCTTGCCCTGACTCTCCAATCTCTCCTTCCAGACCCAAAACGCTCAGCTGCAAAGGCAAGGAAGTGGAGAACGTCTTCACCATCCGGACCGTGGAGGATGCCAACCGGGTGGTCAAAGTGGCCACTGGCAAAAACGCCGTCGTGGTGGGAGCCTCTTTCCTTGGTGAGCAAAAGGCTGCATCAACGGCTTCGGAAGCTGAGCCGATTCGTAATGTGGTTTCTTTACTCTGAGCTTAGTACGCAGTAGGAACCAACGGTCGTGGTTTACTACCTAGGGTCTACGGCTTAGCATGCAAAGCAAATCCTGCTGCTTGTAATTTATTGTACAAACCAAGATTGATGGTTTAGTACAATGTGTGAACATCGGCCCAATATTTCTTGAAAATTAAACTCTGGCCCCAAGATAGAGATGTGGGGGGTTTCCCCGTCAATTGTTTTTTTCCTCGTTTCGCCCAATTTGACCTGTTTCAGCAGACGGGTTGTTCTGTATCAAGCAAGGAGGCGGCTGCTAGCTATTACTTGATACAGGCAGATTAACTCCACGAAAGGGTTTCATGCAAATTACTTTAATTCATCAGGCATCCTCAAGACATTAACTTACAGTTACTGTAGAGATTCTTCTGAAATACATGTCATAATCTGGACCCATCACATAGGTAAAAACAGAATAGCTTCTTCTATACCAGTGGTGGTAAACCTATGGCACGGGTGCCAGAGGCGGCACTCAGAGCCCTCTCTGTGGGCCCGTGCACCGTCGTGATCGGGAGCCACCCAGAGTTTGTTATAAGATGGGCAGCTATGTAAACGCCTTAAATCAATAAGGGATAGCCAGTAGATTATTGATCAATAAATAAGATCAATAGAAATGTCAGGGGATATTGCCTTTCTCTGTTCTGCTTGTTTACTTAGAATAGGCCCGTGGCGGTGAACCTATGGCACGCAAGCCACAGGTGGCACAAAGAGGCCTCTCTGTGGGCATGTGCACCGTCGCCCCAGACCTAGGCCTTCAGCTGGGTTTTATAAAACCTTTTCGCTTTAGGTCTCCGCCGCCGTATGCAAAAAAAAAAAAAGGTTCAATCAATCAGTCAATTTCAACTTCTCGCGGGAAAAAAAATGATCTTGCAGAATTGGAATTGATTGATTGAACTTTTTAGTCCCACCCAGTTTGCCGTTACCACCGCAGCCACGCCCACCCAATGGGCCAGACCCAGCTAACGGGCCACACCCACCCAATGGGTCACACCCACCCGGCACTTGATGATGCATAAGTGGGTTTTGGGTTGCAGTTTGGGCACTCGGTCTCTAAAAGGTTCACCATCACTGTTCCATACTAACGAAGCCAACAGATGTCATGGCTGGACTTCATAGAGACTTTGCTGACTGGCACGTAGCCAGGAAGTCCGGTAATTAAAGAAAAGTCCCTCCCAGTGGCCAGTCCGAACACAGATATGGCCAGGTAACATAAACTGTGTTACCCCGAAGGCTATCCCTTAACGGGGCAGTTCTTAATTCCTAAGATAGTTATTTATTTATTTATTTATTTATTTATGAGACTTATATACCACTTTAAGTGCAAGCACTCTCTAAGCGGTGTACACCAGTAAGCAATGTATATATATATTTACATTGCCCCCAACAATCTGGGTCCTCATTTTACCTACCCCGGAAGGATAGAAGGCTGAGTCAACCTTGAGCCGGTGAGATTTGAACCGCTGACCTGCTGAACACAGTCAGCTAAAGTGGCCTGCAGTACTGTTATATACTCTTAAGGTGACCAACCGTCCTCCTTTAGGGAGGACAGTCCTTCTTTTGTAAGTTTTGTCCTCCTACATGTCCTCCTTTTCGATATTTGAAGACAAATCTGTAAATCTCTGTATTCGATCGATGCCGATCTGATCCGTTGCGTGTGATGTGATGTATTTGTATTTGACCTGACGATTCGTCAAGGCTCGGTACAGTGCGGCGAGACGCGATTATGAGACACATGCTCTCCGCACAGGAGAATTGTTTTGAGAGAGTGCGCCGCGCGCAAGAGTGCGCGTCACGCAAGTAGCTTTGCTTACTTCTTACCGAAACACGACAGGGCACACACGCACGCATTAGACTCACTTTTTTTCCTTCAATTTATTTGTGTCCTCCTTCTAGTTGTAAAAGAGTTGGTCACCTTAATACTCTGACTAGCACACGGCTCTTCTGCCTTTGCGCTGCACCAATCTGTAGGACCCCCCCACTTGTCGTGGGTCTTTCTGACGGAACCTTCCTAATATTCCTGCTCCCTCTGCCGTTTTGCAGGGATGGAGGTGGCCGCCTACCTTTCGGAGAAGGCTCACTCGGTCTCGGTGGTGGAGCTGGAAGAAACCCCTTTCAAGAGATCCTTTGGGGGAAAGGTTGGCCGAGCCCTCATGAAGGCAAGGCAGCCCGGAGGGGGCCTTTGGGGAGGGGCGAGCCTTATTGGGAATGTTTTTCAACCTGCTCTCCCCCTCCTCTCCCCTCGGACAGATGTTTGAAAACAACCGAGTGAAGTTCTACATGCAGACTGAAGTGTCGGAACTGCGGGAACAAGAGGGCAAGGTAGAGCCGGATGGATGGAAACTAATCAAGGAGAGATTAAGGAGAAAGTTCCTAACAATGAGGACAATTAACCGGTGGAACCGCTTGCCTCCAGAAATCGTGGGCGCTCCATCACGGGAGGCTTTTAAGAAGAGACTGGACGGCCACCTGTCTGAAATGGTGTAGGGCAGGGGTAGGCCACCTTGGCTCTTTTCTGACTCATGGACTCCAACTCCCAGAATTCCTGAGCCAGCATGGGGGAACTATGGCTCCCTTGATGACTGGTGGACTTCAACTCCCAGAATTCCTGAGCCAGCATGGCTCAGCTTGGAAACCTCTCCCTTTCCTCTCAGCATGGCTGGCTCAGGAATTCTGGGAGCTGAAGTCCACCAGTCATAAAAGAGCCAAGGTTGCCTACCTCGGGCTTAGGCCTAGGTCGCTTTATGACTCATGGACTTCAACTCCCAGAATTTCTGAGCCAGCATGGCTCAGCTTGGAAACCTCTCCTTTCCCCTCAGCGTGGCTGGCTCAGGAATTCTGGGAGTTGAAGTCCATGAGTCATAAAAGAGCCAAGGTGGCCTAGCCCTGGTGTAGGGTCTCTTGCTTGAGCAGGGGGTTGGACTAGTAGACCCCCAAGGTCCCTTCCAGCTTTAGCGAGGCTTTGGGGCCCCTCAAGACCCTCCATTGAGCCTCTGGTTGGATGAGGCAAGCCAAGGGGGGGGGGGAGGCCAGTCTTTTTGCAAGCTTTGGAACAAGTAGCCAAGTGAAAAAGGCAGGACACCTGCATTTCTGCTGGGGAGGCCAGCTCTGTAGACAGGATACCCGGTTCATCATCTCTGCCACCTCCTGTGTCTTTGGGGAAAATACGAATGTCGAGAAGAGAATGGGGCCCTTCCCATCTTTGCCAACGGTCTTCTAGCACTTCCCCAACCTTGCCCCCTCCGTCCGGACATGACTTGACTGCCATCCCCATCAGCCACAGGCCCTGCAGCCAATATCCTCCAATACTGGACTCATTTTGAGAGCTTAGGATTCTGCCCCTGCACAGAGTGAGGAAGGCCACCGTGGTGGAGGCACTTCACAAGACCACGGGTGACTTCCTTGGACCTGGGCAGGGGTGGAGGAGGGAAGGGGAGGGAAAGGAAGGGGAGGGGAGGCTACTGGACGGGCTTCCTTATTCTGTTTTCAATTGCCCGGAGCTTAGAAGGTGGCCAGGATCTTTCAAACAGGATCTCTGTTGGAAACAGCCCAGCCACATCCATCCACCCAAGAAGGGGTGGGACGACTCTCCCACCCAGCAGCGCCTTGTTTTTCTGGCTTCAGGAGTGTCTCAAACAAATCAATTTGTTTTTGTTTTTAATTGGCTGCATTTTATCTTTCCCCAAAGCTAAAGGAGGTGGTGCTGAAGAGCGGCAAGGTTCTTCGGTCAGATGTCTGTGTGATCGGCGTAGGTAAGTTGCTGGAGAGATTTGGGGGCATGGCCTGGGGCAGGGGTAGGCAACCTTGGCTCTTTTATGACTCGTGGACTTCAAATCCCAGAATTCCTGAGCCAGCATAGCTTTCCCTTTCCCCTCAGCATGGCTGGCTGAGGAATTCTGGGAGTTGAAGCCCACGAGACATAAAAGAGCCAAGGTTGCCTACCCCTGCCCAAATGCCTGAATTTTGATCATGTGACCGTGAGGGAAAAATATCTAAATATTTAAATCAGAGGTTTTCAATCTTAGCCCTTTTATGACTTGTGGACTTCAATTCCCAGAATTCCTGAGCCAGCATGGAGGAACTATGGCCCCCTCATGGCTTGTGGACTTCAACTCCCAGAATCCCTGAGCCAGCATGGCTCAGCTTGGAAACCTCTCCCTTTTCCCCCCAGCATGGCTGGCTCAGGCATTCTGGCAGTTGAAGTCCACCAGTCATAAAAGAGCCCAGGTTGCCTACCCCTGGTATAGACTAACGCGGGTGCAAAAGGGAAGCTGGCAAAAGGGACAGCATTGACTGTCAGTAAGACAGTCAGAGCTGTGAGTAATTAGAGTCTATTCACAAGCAAAGCCAGTGGGGAAATTGGCATGAAGTGCAAGTTCCTCCCATTTCTTTTTCAATGTCTGGTCTCCCTAGGCCAGGGATAGGCAACCGTTGCCCTTTTATGACTCGTGGACTTCAACTCCCAGAATTCCTGAGCCAGCATGGAGGAACCATGGCCCCCTCATGACTTGTGGACTTCAACTCCCAGAATCCCTGAGCCAGCATGGCTCAGCTTGGAAACCTCTCCCTTTCCCCTCAGCATGGCCAGCTCAGAAATTCTGGGAGTTGGTCCACCAGTCATAAAAGGGCCAAGGTGGCCTACATCAGGTCTGAGGGCAACCAAGGTGAAGATGGCACCAGGACTGCACAATCAAAGTTCACTCTCTCCATGTGTCACATGCTTTGGTCAGTTGTACTTGGCCATCTTGACCTTTTGGATAACCCCCTGGGGATGTCCCTGACTGCTCCTGTGTTTTGGAGAGCCTTCCTTGACCCTCCCCACAATGACAGCCCCTATTTTAATCATACAGCTCTGTCTGTCCACCAGGGGGCAGTACATAGCTGAGAGTTGCTGTGTTTGACAAAAAGTTGGAATCAAAAATTGGAATTAAGATTGCTGGGAGAAATATCAACAACCTAAGGTATGCAGATGATACCACTTTAATGGCAGAAAGTGAAGAGGAACTAAAGAGCCTCTTGATGCGGGTGAAGAAGGAGAGTGCAAAAATTGGCTTGAAACTCAACATTAAGAAAACCAAGATCATGGCATCCGGCCCTCTCAATTCCTGGCAAATAGATGGGGAAGAAATGGAGGTAGTGACAGATTTTATCTTCCTGGGCTCCAAGATCACCGCAGATGAGGATGCCAAGAAATTAAAAGACACTTGCTCCTGGGGAGGAAAGCTATGGCAAATTTAGACAGCATACTAAAAAGCAGAGACATCACCCTGCCAACAAAAGTGCGTATAGTCCAGGCTGTGGTTTTCCCAGTTGCAATGTATGGCTGTGAAACTTGAACCGTAAAGAAAGGCTGAGCGCCAAAGAATGGAGGCCTTTGAACTCTGGTGCTGGAGAAGACTCCTGCGAGTCCCCTGGACTGCAAGGCGATCCAACCGGTCAGTCCTGGAGGAGATCAACCCCGACTGCTCTTTAAAAGGCCAGATCCTGAAGTTGAAACTCAAGTACTTTGGCCACCTAATCAGAAGGAAGGACTCACTGGAGAAGAGCCTGATGCTGGGAAAGATGGAGGGCAAGAGAAGAAGGGGACGACAGAGAATGAGGTGGTTGGATGGAGTCCCTGAAGCAGGAGGCGTGAACTTAAATGGACTCCAGAAGATGGTAGAGGACAGGAAGGCCTGGAGGAACGTGGTCCATGGGGTCGTGATGGGTTGGACATGACTTCACAATTAACAGCAACAAGATTTTTGGATGGGGGACCATCTGGAGATTCTAGGACTGTGACTGAGCTGGAAGGGAGACGATGGCAAAATACTTCTGTATGGTTGCCCAGAAAATTGTCCCTGAAGTAAGTCACAGGACTCAGTGAGGAGAGTGAGAAGAGAGATTATATTTGGCACCGGCTGGTTCACAAAAACTGAGGCAATAAACGAGACAAAGAGACCAGAGATGAAAAGAGGCAAAGAAGTCTACATGATGCCAAGAAGTCTACATGAAATACCCACCTGTTGTCTGAAAAACGTGTGTTTGTGGAAAAGAGAAAAAGTGAGAAAGTAAAGTTTTATCTATGACAGAGACATCCTTGCATGAGATAATTATTTGATGTGATGGAAACCGGGATCCACTGAAGCCATGAGAGAGTATGAGAAGGAAGTGATGGCCTGACGGGGAACCCAAAGTGTGCAGGACTTTGGCAGCGAAGCAGCATCAGCATAAGCTCAAGGATGCTTTTATTTTGTTCATTTAAAGCATTTTAATTCGCTTTCCCACCAAAAAGCCAGAACATGCTACAGGCCACCAAAGAACAACCACCACCTAAAGATAGTGACGAGCTAAAAATTGTAACTTGGAAGGGAAATAGAAGGAGGAGGGAAGCGGGGGAAAAAACTTACAACAAAGCACCAATTAGTAATTGGGACTTACAATTGTATTATTTCCAGTTTATATGGACAGTCTATCCTTGTCTGATTTATGAAGCAGATGGCGTTGTCAAGGGTAATTGGCACTTGGAAATGGTCTTTTCTGTGGTTCAGATGAATGGGGCTGGGGGCCAAGAGTCCCTCCCACTGTTAATGCCCCTCTTCTCTTTGGTGCAGGAGCCACGCCAGCCACCGGCTTTCTGAAGCAGAGCGGTGTTCATCTGGACTCCAAAGGGTACATCGTGGTGAACAAGGTAGACGCAGCCCAGCAGGCCGAAGAGGGAGGAGCTGGGGGTTGAAGTGGCTGGTTAAACACTGGATATTTTATTATTTTATTTTATTTCATATTTTATTTTATATTTTATATTTATATTTTATTATTTTATTTTAGTTTATTATTTTATTTTATTTTATTTTTATTTTATTATTTTATATTTTATTTTATATTTTATTTTATTTATTATTTTATATTTTATTATTTTATTTTATTTCATTTTTTATTTTATTTTATTTATTATTTTATATTTTATTATTTTATTTTTATTTTATTTATTTTATATTTTATTATTTTATTTTTATTTTATTTTATTATTATATTTTATTATTTTATTTTATTTATTATTTTATATTTTATTATTTTATTTTATTTATTATTTTATATTTTATTATTTTATTTTATTTTTTATTTTTTATTTTATTTATTTTATATTTTATTATTTTATTTTTTATTTTATTTTATTTATTATATTATATTATATTATATTATATTATATTATTTTTTATTTTATTTATTTTATATTTTATTATTTTTATTTTATTTTATTTTATTATTTTATATTATATTATTTTATTTTATTATTTTATTTTATATTATATTATTTTATTTTATTATTTTATTTTATTTTATTTATTTTTTATTCTGTTCCGTTACATTCCGTTCCGTTCCTATTCTATTCTATCCCATAATTCTATTCTATTCTATTCTATTCTATTCTGTTCTGTTCTGTTCTATTCTTCCCTCTCTCCTTCTTTCCTCCTATCTCCTCCCCCTTTCTTCCTTGCAATGGATCATTCCATGCCCCCCCCCTGCAAGGCCTCCCCCCCAAACAGAGCTGTTCTCTCCCTTCCAGATGATGCAGACCAACGTTCCAGGAGTTTTCGCTGCGGGCGACGCAGTCACTTTTCCTTTGGCACTGAGAAACCACAAGAAGACCAACGTTCCACACTGGCAGATGGCCCACATGCACGGTGGGTATTGCTGTGGCCTTCTGTCTTGGACGAAAAGCCTCCAGTGCCCCCTTGGCAGTCCTGGGAAGTCCTTAGCAAATGGTGCAGCCTGTCTGGTTTTCATGAGGTCAAGATATCAGGTGAAGCAGAGGCCCAGATCCGATGATGCTGGTTCTTCCCCGCTTCTGACCACAAGGAGCAGTAGGGTAGAGAGGGGGGGTGATTCTGCGTCCCCTCCATCTCAGTCACCTGTCTGCTCTTGCAGGGCCTCTTCTTCCGTCCCTTCCCAGGCCTAGAACAGCCTCTCTGATTCTCCTTCTAGTGGTCAGTTCTGCCCTATCCAACAAAATTAAATTTAATATGGAGAAAAGCAAGATTTTACACTTAAGTAGAAAAACCAAAGGTATAAGTACAGATTGGGTGAAGCCTGGCTCAAAAACAGCAACTGCGAGAGGGACCTTGGAGTCCTAGTGGACGATCCCTTGACCATGAGCCAGCTGTGTGCGGCAGCAGCCAAAAAAGCTAATACGATCCTGGGTTGTATAAAACAGAGGCATAGAATCAAGATCACGCGAGGTATTATTACCGCTTTATAAAGCCTTAGTAAGGCCACATCTGGAATATTACATCCAGTTTTGGTCACCACATTACAAAAAAGATCTTGAGACTCTGGGAAAAATGCAAAGTAGACCAACTAAGATGATTAAAGGCCTGGAGAATAAAACGTATGAAGAACGGTTGCAGGATTTGGGAATGGCCAGTCTAGAGAAAAGAAGGATTGGGGGGGGGGGGCATAATAGCAGTACTCCAGTATTTGAGAGGCTGCCACAAGGAGGAGGGGGTCAAACTATTCTCCAAAGGACCAGAGGGCGGGACAAGAAACAATGGATGGAAACTAATCAAGGAGAGAAGCAACCTGGAGTTAAGGAGAAGCTTCCTAACAGTGAGGACAATTAACCAGTGGAAGAGCTTCCCTCCAGAAGTGGTGGTTGCTTCAACACTGGAGGTTTTTAAGAAGAGACTGGACAGCCCCTTGTCTGAAATGGTATAGGGTCTCCTGCTTGAGCAGGGGGCTGGACTAGAAGACCTCCAAGATTCTGTTCTATTCTATTCTATTCTATTCTATTCTATTCTATTCTATTCTATTCTATTCTATTCTATTCTATTCTATTCTATTCTATTCTATTCTATTCTATTTATTCTCTGTCTATTCCATTCCATTCCATTCCATTCTATTCTATTCTAATTATCTGTCTATTCTATTCTATTCTATTCTATTCTATTCTATTCTATTCTATTCTATTCTATTCTATTCTATTCTATTCTATTCTTCGTCTATTCCATTCCATTCCATTCCATTCCATTCCATTCCATTCTATTCTATTCTATTCTATTCTATTCTATTCTATTCTATTCTATTCTATTCTATTCTATTCTATTCTATCCCAATCTTATCTTCCCTATAAATAAACCTCCCTTCTGCTCTAGTTTTCAAGCCTGTTCACTCCTCCTAGCTCAGGGCAGATGCTTTAGCGGCACATGGAGAGCACATCCATCTCCAGCAACAGCAGAACAGGGTGAGTGTTAAAAAAGGCAAAGCTGCCATTACAACCACCTGTTCAACTTTTCCTTGTAGCTTGGTGCAGCTTAGGATTGCACTCGTCTTGTTTGCAGCTGCAGGACGCTGCTGGCTCAGGTTCAAATTCGGGATCCACTAGAGGATACCTAGAGACCTTTCCCCATGTCCCGCTGTCCTCTAAAGTTCCTCCCATATTAGGTGCACACCTTTAGATTTTTCCTACCTTAGTCTAGGACTTTGCATTTGTGAAGAAGTCTAGAGCTGGTCCAGGCGACAAGGAAGGCAGGAGTGAGCTCTTTAAGGGAGGACTTACTTTCAGAAAAGATGAGTTAGTCTTTTTTTAAAAAAACACATTTTATTGGTTTTTTTAGATTCTTAAGAAAAAGTACTCAGGACCCACCATGGTGGTTGGGTGGTCCAACATTCAAAAGTAAAGAAATATATTAACAAGTCAACTCAATACATTTCACTATCCCAGTGGTTCTCAACCTTTCTAATGCCGTGACCCCATAATACAGTTCCCCATGTTGTGGTGACCCCCAAGTGGGTGTGGCCACCAATAAGAGGGAGTAGGACAGCTAGGGAAAAGGGAAAAAGATGGCGGACAGCGTGGTTTGGCGACCCCCGTGAAATGGTCATTCGACCCCAAATGGGGTCCTGACCCACAGGTTGAGAACCACTCCACTATCCCCTCTCTATTTCCCTTGATTAACATGATACATTTAAATATTCCATTTCTATTTTAAATTTCTATTACTACTAAACCTCTTTTATAACTTTATCCATTTACTACCATGGTCGAAGTTTAAAACAGCAAATGATCAATTCTAATTCTTCATCTCTCACATTCCTCATTTTATCACCAATCTCATTTATTTCTTCTTCCACTACACAATAGTTATCCTACTAACAATAAAATATTAATCAGCCCTATACATATGTAATCCCAGAATCAATCCATCTCTTTAAAATAACAAAATAATATTAAACCTTAATTCATTCAGATTCATCAGACAAAATTCAAATTTTCTCCAATTACTTATCATGCCTTATCACATCTTTGTTGTCATAGAGAAAAGTCATCCTAGCAATTTAAAACACTCCATTAATTATTGGCAGCATCCAATCTAAACAGAAGATGACTTAGTCTTGAGGAGCAGGAAAACAGGAGAAAGACACGCCAGATGGCTACGGTTTTGTGTATGGGACAGGGAGATAGTTGGACAGGCTCCCCAAGTGCTGTTTGTCTACCCTACCACAATAAAAAGCACTGCTGGAGTCCCTGCGCTGTTCTTGTCTCGGAGGATGGATTTGTTGCATGCGGTTTGCAAGAGCCAATGATCACATTGTCGGTTTGTTGACCTAGCCAACCTCAAAGGGCTTACATCAGTATTTCTCAACCTTGGCTGGCTGGGGAATTCTGGGAATTGAAGTCCACCCATCTTAAAATTGCCGAGGTTGAGCATACTGACATATACCCATTCAAATAACGAACAAACACAGTTTTGATGTGCTCCAAAGACTCTCATTCATAGGCTTGGTTGACTTCTCTGTTACATTCTGTATTACATTGCTTCTCTGTTACATCCCAGGGCGCATAGCAGCACTGAACATGCTGGCCTATGGGACAGAAATCAGCACCATCCCTTACCTGTGGACCGCCATGTTTGGCAAGAGCATTCGCTATACAGGTGAGGGGAAAAGTAGCTGAGGATTGCAGAGGGTGCCGAGACCTGCTTTGCGACGGCCTTATTGATTTGACGGATTCATGTTCTCAGCTACTTCGTATTTTAACCTTTGTCGTGTTACTGTTTTTATTTCACTCTGTTTTCTGCCCAGGGTCACACGTTAATGTGGAGGGTCCATATCAGTTGGATAAATAAGGGATCCTTTTTTAAATTAATTTTTTATTTTTCCAAACTCTCCCCCATACATATATCGTGATATTTATCAGATGTTAACATACATTCTTTTTACATTCATGTATAAGATACTTTTAATAAAATGAAATAAATACATACACATGACTGTTGGTGTTGCTAGAAGGAAGTGGAATTTATGGAGAGGAGGGAGGGAGGGAGGGAGGGAGGAAGGAAGGAAGGAAGGAAGGAAGGAAGGAAGGAAGGAAGGAAGGAAGGAAGGAAGGACTATGGGGTCCTGGGTGCTCTCTGAGCTTGCTGGTTTTCTTGCAGACGTTTCATTACCCAGCTAGGTAACATCATCAGTGCTAGAAGGAAGTGGAATTTATGGAGAGGAGGGAGGGAGGGAGGGAGGGAGGGAGGGAGGAAGGAAGGAAGGAAGGAAGGAAGGAAGGAAGGAAGGAAGGAAGGACGGACTATGGGGTCCTGGGTGCTCTCTGAGCTTGCTGGTTTTCTTGCAGGCATTTTATTACCCAGCTAGGTAACAATATCATTCCTAGTCAGGAGTGTTGTTTGCTGTCAGTTTATATTCTGGTGTCTTGCCTGTATGTTTGGGTGGGTGAGGGTCTTAGGGATTTTTTGGTTGGGCTCTGTGGCAGTTTCTTGATCGGGGTCTCACTTGCTTGATTGTTGGTCTGAAGTTGACCTTGGAATTAATTTATGCTGATCGGAGTGCTGATTGCTGGTGGAAGGTGCTGGGGTCTTTTTCGCTTTGGGGCTAGTCTTCTGCATAGCCTATATAGAGGGGGCTCTGTGCAAGAATGGGGCAGGGCTAGTGAGTATCAAGCGGGCACTAGCCCTGCCCTGTTTGCGTCACGTGTAAAATGCTTCCCCCTCCTTTCCCTCCCGTCCGCCAATCGAGAAAGGTTGGTGACCTCTGATCTGTATAACAGTAATCGGCACTCAGATCAGCATAGATTAACTCCAAGATCAGATCAGAAATCAAGCAAGCGAGACCCCAGTCAAGAAACGGCCACAGAGCTCAAACCAAAGAATCCCTAAGACCCCCCCACCCCCACCCAGACAGGCAAGAAACCAGAATATAAACTGACAGCAAACAGCACTCCTGACTAGCACTGAATGAAACGTCTGCAAGAAAACAAGCAAGCTCAGAGAGCATCCAGGACCCCATTGTCCTTCCTTCCTTCCTTCCTTCCTTCCTTCCTTCCTTCCTTCCTTCCTTCCTTCCTTCCTTCCTTCCTTCCCTCCCTCCCGCCCTCTCTCCCTTCTAGCACTGATGACGTTACCTAGTTGGGTAATGAAACATCTGCAAGAAAACAAGCAAGCTCAGAGAGCACCAAGGATTCCACAATCCATCCTTCCTTCCTTCCTTCCTTCCTTCCTTCCTTCCTTCCTTCCTTCCTTCCTTCCTTCCTTCCTTCCTTCCTTCCTTCCTTCCTCCCTCCCTCCCTCCCTCCTTCCTTCCCTCCTTCCATCCCTCCCTCTCTTCTACTACTGATGATGTTACCTAGCTGGGTAATGAAACGTCTGCAAGAAAACCACCACATTCAGAGAACCCCAAGGACCCCACAGACCTACCTTCCTTCCTTCCTTCCTTCCTTCCTTCCTTCCTTCCTTCCTTCCTTCCTTCCTTCCTTCCTTCCTCCCTCCCTCTCTCCCTCCCTCCCTCCCTCCCTAAATTCCACTCCATTCTAGCACTAAAGATGTTACCTAACTGGATAATGAAATGTCTGCAAGAAAACAAGCAAGCTCAGAGAGCACCAAGGACTCCACAGTCCGTCCTTCCTTCCTTCCTTCCTTCCTTCCTTCCTTCCTTCCTTCCTTCCTTCCTTCCTTCCTTCCTTCCTTCCTTCCTTCCTTCCTTCCTTCCTTCCCTCCCGCTCTCTCTCCCTTGTAGCACTGATGACGTTACCTAGTTGGGTAATGAAACGTCTGCAAGAAAACAAGCAAGCTCAGAGAGCACCAAGGACCCCTCATTTCAACCCTGAGCTAAATATTCTCCTTTATTGGGATAAATAAAATTAAAAAAGGCAGATTGGCAAAATCCACTGCTATCACGTTTCTTTCTTAGAAAGCTGGAGGAATTCTTGGAAGAAATGCAGAAGTCTTGTACCTGTGCGTGATTTATGCTTTGGAATTAAGCCTAGATTTGAAAGGCTGGAGAAAGCATCCAATTTAGGGTGCCTTAAAATGTCTTCATCTCTACTCTTGACCAAAAGGGAGATAATTCTGCACTTTGTCGACTCACCTGCCCTTTGCAACAAAATTCTCCTTGTTTTCTCCATAAAAATGTGCTGAAATACATTTTTTAAAAAATGCATATTTATTTCAAAATGCTTCTAAATATATTTATGCATGCGTAGTATTGATTGGCTTTTTATATTTTTATGCTTTTTTTTAAGAAACAAGTATATATATATATATATATATATATATATATATATACACACATATATATCTATATATATATATATATATATATATATATATATATATATATACACGCATATATATATATACACACATATACGTTGGTTTTGTTTTCTAGGTCATGGAGAAGGATTTGATGATGTGATTATTCGGGGAGACCTAGGCGAACTTAAATTTGTAGCCTTTTACACTAAGTAAGTGCCCATGAAAAGCTTTAATTTACAAGCCACCATGATGTGTGTGGCAAAATTATACTGTGTGTTTACAATAAGCGGCTTGCATATTGCTTGTTGATGTTCCAGAAGCTGAATCTGTGCAATCAAGTTTAGCTTCAAAGAATAATAGAACCTTTTTATTTTATTATCTTGGCCATGAAACTCCAGATTTACGGCATTTTTCAGCTTTGGCAACTTTAAGATGGGTGGATGTCAACTCCCAGAATTCTCCAGCTTGCATAGCTGTCTGCATAATTCTGAGATTGAAGTTGTCCCACCTTAAAACTTATCAAGGTTGAGAAATACAATACTAAAAAAAAACAATTTTGAAGAAGCACACGCAGAATAGAATAGAATATGGAATAAGAATAGAATAGAATAGAATAGAATAGAATAGAATAGAATAGAATAGAAAATATGGAATGGAATGGAACGGGAATGGAATAGAATAGAATAGAATGTAGAATAGGAATAGAATAGAATAGAATAGAATAGAATAGAATAGAATAGAATAGAATAGAATAGAATGTAGAATAGGAATAGAATAGAATAGAATAGAATAGAATAGAATAGAATAGAATAGAATAGAATAGAATAGAGAAAATATAGAATAGAATAGAATAGAATAGAATAGAATAGAATAGAATAGAATAGGAGAAAATATGGAATAGAATAGAATAGGAATAGAACGGAATAGAATAGAATAGAATAGAATAGAATGTAGAATAGGAATAGAATAGAATAGAATGTAGAATAGGAATAGAATAGAATAGAATAGAGAAAATATGGAATAGAATAGAATAGAATAGAATAGAATAGAATAGAATAGAATAGAATAGAGAAAATATAGAATAGAATAGAATAGAATAGAATAAAATAGAATAGAATAGAATAGGAGAAAATATGGAATAGAATAGAATAGGAATAGGAATAGAATAGAATAGAATAGGATAGAATGGAATAGAATGTAGAATAGGAATAGAATAGAATAGAATAGAATAGAGAAAATATAGAATAGAATAGAATAGAATAGAATAGAATAGAATAGAATAGAATAGAATAGAATGCACTGGACTAGACTAGTCTAGACTAGACTAGACTAGACTAGAATAGACTAGACTAGAATAGACTAGAATGGCAGCAGCCGCTCTCACCTTCGCTTCTGGGTCTCTTCTTCCAGGAGCGACGAGGTGCTGGCCGTGGCGAGCATGAACTACGACCCGCTGGTCTCCAAGGTGGCCGACGTCATGGGCTCCGGCAGGACCATCCGCAAACGAGACGTGGAGTAAGTCCCTCTGAGCTGCTGCTGCTGCCTTCCTCCAATCACAGAACGGTTAACTCTTAGCAAATATTCCAGCCTTCCTCCCGCTCCCCATGGAGCAACATCCTTCGGCAAACACAAGGGTGGACTCCCTGCGGCTCTCCCTGTGCGGCTGATTGCCTGGGGGCTTCCGAGAACTTGGAGTCCCCCCCCCCCTAGTTTAGAAAGGGAATGATCACATTCAGTGTTAGGCTAGAATGGAATTTAGATTTTTTTTTTTTTCAGCATAGAGGAAAGTGGCCATGACTTACTCTCCTTTTGTCCCTCTTTCTTCTTTTATTGCTACAATTTAAGGATCTTCACCCGGTATGTATGTCCATGTGTGTGTTTGCATTGACATCATGGCCCGGCTGAGGGCATTTGAGGGGCTGCTTTCAGCTGAGAAGCTCTTCCGGATTTTTAATTAGAAACAAGAGGGAATCTGTTATTAAATGATTAACAAGAGCCCAGAGGTTGCTTTTGTCCAAAGTTCTGTGTCCTTCCATGGTCAGCTGGGGAACAGACAGACACCATGCCACTGTGCTCTGGGTCTGTCTATCTATCTATCTATCTATCTATCTATCTATCTATCTATCTATCTATCTATCTATCTATCTATCTATCTATCTATCTATCTATCTATCTATCGTCTGTCTCTCATCTGTGTATCTATCATTTATGGTGTATTGCCCTGGAACAGGGGAGGGCAACCTTGGCTCTTTTATGATTCGTGGACTTCAACTCCCAGAATTCCTGAGCCAGCCATGCTGAGGGGAAAGGGAGAGGTTTCCAAGCTGAGCCATGTTGGCTCAGGAATTCTGGGAGTTGAAGTCCACGAGTCATAAAAGAGCCAAGGTTGCCTACCCCTGATCTAGATCATGATTTGATGAATTTAGATCAGGGGTAGGCAACCTTGGTTCTTTTATGACTGGTGGACTTCAACTCCCAGAATTCCTAAGCCAGCTTGGCTCAGCTTGGAAACCTCTCCCTTTCCCCTCAGCATGGCTGGCTCAGGAATTCTGGGAGTTGAAGTCCACCAGTCATAAAAGAGCCAAGGTTGCCTACCTCTGGCCTAGGCCTAGGCCGCTTTATGACTGGTGGACTTCAACTCCCAGAATTCCTGAGCCAGCCACGCTGAGGGAAAAGGGAGAGGTTTCCAAGCTGAGCCATGCTGGCTCAGGAATTCTGGGAGTTGAAGTCCACCAGTCATAAAAGAGCCAAGGTTGCCTACCCCTGGCTGAGCTACTGCCTGATTGGACTGCACCCCTGATCAGGCCTTTCAGCCAGCATTGCCTGTCTCCTGCTGGCCTTCAGGGAGGCTGCCCTAACCCAGCTGCCATTTTGTCTTTTCTGCAGAACCGGAGACATGTCCTGGTTGACGGGGAAAGGCTCCTAAACATTGGGAATCCCATGTCTGGTTCCCTTTGGGGGACCTCTGCAAAGCCACCTTCCTCCAGGCTTGGAGACCCTGACATCCCCCCCCCCCAGTGGCTCTTCTCCTGGCTCTTTCCCTCGTTTCAAGGATCTCTCCAGAGCGCATCGGAGGCGGACTGACACTAGAGCCGCTGTGAGACAGGCTGGAGCTGCAGGAAGGAGGTTCCTCGGAACCGGCGGGCTGGAGACGGAAGGGAAACGCACGAGGCGGGCACTTTTTGCAGGCCGGCACGAGGCCCAACGAGTCAGCTGCCAGAGGCTGCTTGGGGACAGGGCAAAGCTTCCTCTGGATGCTGCCTGGTGCCACCCTTCCCTTCTCCCACAGTGCCGTGTGCCAAAATGTCTTCTTGCGTCATGTGGATGGAAGGCCCCTTGGACAGCTGGCCTGAGCAGCTTCCGTTCCTTGCTCCTCTGCAGCTGAACCACCCCTGATCTAGTGGGATGACTGGAACTTGCAGCTTCTTCTCTGGGTCCATCTCCCTTCCCCACCCCCCCTTTTTTTTCCTCTTGGCAGTGCACTTTAGATTCAGGGCCAGGTTTCCTGTGCAGGGATGCTGAAGCAGCGTGGAATTCCACTCTCGGATCTGGGTGGTTTTTTACTGGATAACTAGAGAAGGATCATCTTGGCTATTAATTGAAAGAAGATTGGCCTTTTAATTAAACCGAGCTTTCTTTTTGTTCCGTTCCTGCCTCTTTGTCCGGAAAGGCCAAAACCAACGCCGGGCAGAAATTATTCTCCTTTTTCCTCCCCATGCGATTGATTCATAAATCCACACGGGGGGAAACAGAGTCATCCTTCTGCTCACACTAATGAAATCGACACGGTGCAGTTGGTTTTATGTGGGATGCACAGAGCTTGGATTGCATCCCTGGGGCCACCGGCTCTACTCTGTATGCTGCAGTTAATCCCCAACTTACAACCATTCATTTAGTGACGGCCCTGGAAAAAGTAAACCATAAGAAGTCCCTGCATTTTATGACCTTTGCGGCATGGCATTCCCACAGTCATGGATTCGACATCGGATGCTTAGCAATTGGCACGTATCTTCGAGGGTTACAGGATCGCTGGCTCGTTGTGGCCACCGCTGGTGACGTTCCCAGCCAATTTTCATCGAGCAAAGTCAATGGGGGAAACAGTTTCGCTTAATGACCGTGCGATTCACTTAACGACTGGGGCAAAACGGTCATAAAATTGGATGCGACGCAGTTGAAATTCTGGTCCCAATTGTGATCACAATTTGAGAACTCCCTATATACCCTTGCCCCCCCAGGGCTCTCCATCCCAGACGCGCAAGTAAGAGGACAGTTGGGCTGGCCTGATGTGGCCTCTCCCTGCTTTCAGAGTCTCCACACTTTTTAAAAATGTTCTTAATAAACCGAATGTATGCCATGCATCTACGTTATGTTAGCCTCCGGTGCTTCTCTCTTGGTGGAAGGAACGTGGCGGCACCGTGCTCTAAAAGGGGCAAGTAGTTGGGAAGGGAGGGAGAAGACTCTTGCGGGCCAGCCACACTCATCTGGGCCTTAGGCAGGTGCCTGTCTGCTCCGTGGAGCTGAGCCCTGGACCAAGGCCCAACCTCCAGGAATAGGCGGGCGGGAGGGAGGCGTCTTCCACTCCTATTGGACTACAACTTCCATCATGTCTTGCATTCCTGGCTGAAAATGTGTTAGGCTGGGAAATGGGAGATGTAGTCCAAGTGTTCCAGATTCTTCCTCCTTGCTTCTGGCTTCTTGTGGGTATACCAGCTCAGCCCCCAATAGCCAAAAGAGGAGGTAATGGAGACACCGGTGCAAGCAAGAGGTGCCCACTCCAATGGCTGCAGCCTCTTTCCCCCTTGCCTCCCCCCCCCCTTCCAGACATGGGGCACCAGCCTCCAGGGGTGGCGCTGCTGAACTCCGGAGGTGGGGCAGTTGCAGGAGGACGCCTTGGTGGTGGGAGGTCTTGTTTTTTTAAAAATGTGTTTGCCTTTATTCATTTTACTAAACAGAACAGAGAAAAGAAAACATTGGGGGGGGGAAGGGAGGAACCCATAGAAATGAGGGCTTCGCATACATGTGCATGGTATGTAAAATTTTACACACATTTGTCATACGGTGACCGTAAATCAGTATTGTGGTCAGCCCATGACCTGCACCTGTACGTAAAACAGAGGCAGAACACTCGCCTTTTGGAAATTTAGTGCAAACATGGCCACCATCCTGATGATGTTTCCTGCATAAATTGCCAACGACATCAAGCCTTCAAACCGCTGAGTAACTGGGAGCCATTCATGTGGCTTTCCTCCTGGAAGGTCTCCAACCCTCATCTTAATCTGAACTCTGCTTAGGGCGAAAAGGTTTCTCTTTCAACACTGGAAAGCGCAATGTGCTTTTAAGAGGAGCTGCAGAAGCAAGGCTGCTACCAAGACTGACAGCAGGCATGGAAATGCAGCAATTCCTTCTTCTTCTTCTTCTTCTTCTTCTTCTTCTTCTTCTTCTTCTTCTTCTTCTTCTTCTTCTTCTTCTTCTTCTTCTTCTTCTTCTTCTTCTTCTTCTTCTTCTTCTTCTTCTTCTTCTTCTTCTTCTTCTTCTTCTTCTTCTTCTTCTTCTTCTTCTTCTTCTTCTTCTTCTTCTTCTTCTTCTTCTTCTTCTTCTTCTTCTTCTGCCATATCTGTTATCGGACATTGGTGATCATGTTGGCGATCCTGTTTTTATCAGCAGCCGCACAAAAAAGTGCTGCTGAGTTTTGTCCACACCAGTCCCTTAGATTTTGAAGCCACGATGTTCTTCTTCTGCCTGGACCTCATTTACCTTCCACCTTTCCCTGGAGGATTAAATGGAGCATGCCGTATTTTTCTGGGTGTCGCATCACAGGTCCAAAATATTCTTTCATTTTTTAATTGTTTTGAGGATTTCCCTTGGCTTTCCCAGGCGGCTGATCACCTCCTCATTTCTGATCTTGTCAACCCAGCTTATGTGTAACAGCCGCCTGTCAATCCACATTTCAAGTCTCTTCAGGTGGCCTTCTGTCAGAGACCAACTCTCTACTCCATCGAGCAGGATAGAAAAAAATATAGCATCTGACCAGCCTGATTTTCAGTCTTATCATGTTAATGGCAGCAATGCCTGCAGCCACACTAAATAGCTTCACGGCCAAAGCAGATGAGAGGCTGAGCTGGAAGGACAGAGCAAGTGGGGTGCTGGGAAGCCCTTTTGCACATCACAGCGCTGCAAGCACTGGCTGGGGAATTCTGCAGACCCCTGGTGTTATGTCCCGAGCCTTGCAAACGGCTCGGGCGTTTGCAGGCAGTCCCGGGCAGGTGCAAAGCTGCCCGGGACCAGACAGGCTGTCGCCAGTGCCGTGCGCATGCGCGGGTGCTGGCGCGGGAAAAGTATCGCATTGACTCGGGAAATGTCTATATAAGAAGCTGGGAGGTTTTGGGAGCTGCTGAAGCCATCTACTTGTAAGCTGAACGCAGAATAAAGAAAACTGAGAACTTCAACTGCTTCTCGTGTCTGCTTCCCGCCAAGGACTCAACACCTGGCATAGACTGAAGGTTGTTAGGACCGCTTTTCAGTGTTCTAAGTCAGAGGTCCCCAACCTTTTGGGCACCAGGGACCGGTTTTGTGGAGAGAGGTTTTTCCATGGACTGAAGGGTGCATGGTTTTGTGTGCTGCCTGCATCCTGTGGATGGGGCTTTGCTTGTTTGGGCGGACCGGTTGCTGGCATGCTGCATCCTGGTACTGGTCCAGGGACTGGGGATTAGGGACCCCTGCTCTAAGTGAAGAGTTACAACGGGAACAGATAAGAGTGTGTGCTTTCTTATCTGGCAACGTCACAGGGCAGCCGTTGTCACGTTCTCGTCCTTCCTACGTCCTATTTTGAGCACCACCAGATTAACCCAGACTTGAAGGACAGTTGGGAGAGCTTGCTCTGAAAATGCGATTAAGCACTTCTACCGTCACGTCTCGTCACATGATCCAGATGGGGCTGGGGGAGGGAACAGGAGAGAGTACGATCTTGGATGGTGAGGGCTGCAACTTCTTTCTGGATCTCTGGAAGACTTGGTGACTTTTGGTGTCACTCTCTCTCTCTCTCTCTCTCTCTCTCTCTCTCTCTCTCTCTCTCTCTCCCCGGCAACGACCAGACCTAGGACAGCAGCATGGCTGAGGTCTACCACCTAGGTACCTGGGGTTGGGGGTGGGCTGCCATACAGCACAGAAGGGTTTCACACCTCCACCCATGTTGCAAGGAGGGCTACAACATCCAAAAGGCTGGATGGTTGGGGGAGGGGGGTTCAAGGCTATAGAGCAGGGGTGGGGACTTCCTTTTATGACTGGTGGACTTCCACTCCCAGAATTCCCCAGCCAGTGTGGCTGAAGTCTACCAGCCATAAAAGGGCCAAGGCCTCTCACCCCTGCTGTAGAGTCTCAAGAGCATCCAAATCCAGAATGCCACTCCTGTCAGAGATAGAGGGCAGGCTGGCAAAGGAACCAAGCAACGGAAGGAGACTTGGTTACCCGCTTATGATTCAGTGCCAGCTCAGCCCAGGAGGGGAGAAAAGTAGGAAGAAGCACTTTTCATCATGTGATGAGACCAATGAAGGGTTGAAATGAGGGGTCCTGGGTGCTCTTTGAGCTTGCCTGTTTTCTTGCAGACGTTTCATTACCAAACTAGGTAACGTCATCAGTGCTCTGATGATGTTACCTAGTTAGGGTAATGAAATGTCTGCAAGTAAACAGGCACGCTCAGAGAGCATCAAGGACCCCACATGTAAAGAGACTCTTTACATGAGACTCTCATGTAAATTCACATCACCACTGCAGCATCCCTGTGATTACGTGATCAAAATTCAGATTCACATATTCATGATGCTTGCGATGTCCCGGGATCACGTGATCTCCTTTTGCGGCCTTCCGACAAGCCAAGTCCATAGGGAAGCCAGATCCACTTCACAACCGGGTCACTAACTTTCCAACTGCAGGGATTCACTTATCCGAGGCCAAAAAGATGGGGACAAAACTCACTCGACAAGTGCCTCGCTTAGCGGTAGAAATTTCGGGCTCCGTTGTGGTCGTACGTTGAGGACTACCTGTATTTTACTCCAGGCTGCCACAAAAGACTCCTTCCTGAAATGGGTGCAGAGCTCACTCAGCTGAGGGAGGTTTCACACTTGCCTGGCCTGGCTGTGGGAAGACAGAGGACGGGGCCACATCTGGAGCAGGGACAGACCCACAACGGTGAGTGGGTGAAAAAAGTCAAGGCGGTGACCACACCTGGGCCCTTCATTTTCTAGATGCATCATCTTGCATATCTTGAAAAGACAAGGCGTGGCATGGGGCCAGATAGAACAGAGTCAGGTGCTGCCATGGCCTCCGGCTATTTTCGAACTCTATAGTTGCTAGTTGGCCTCCCCTGCAAGGACAAGCAGCTTGACGGTGTCTCAGGACCCCAAAGAGATGCTCCTTCCTTGGGTGTCTTTAAGCTGAGGCTTCCCTGGGGGGGACTTTGATTCAGCTCCCTATCCTGAACCAGGGGTTAGACCTGGAGGCAAAAGGCTTCTTCTGCTCCTGGATTCTAGGCTTTGAAGATCTGTCACAAACACCAAAGGCAACGCCATTTTTTCATGGTGGTTTTTCTCTCCCCCAAAGGCCACAGAGTGCTCTCTAGTCTGCCCCTTCAGATGCTGCTCTATTTCAACGTCTTCTTCCTTCCTTTCTGGGGCCTGTCGGAGGCGATTATGCTGGAGCTGAAGGTAAAGTGCCCCTGGATAGTGTTCTGATCCAGAACTAAGATGCTTTGCAATTCCAGATCATACAGATAACTCCAAACAAAGTTGATTGTAAAACAGATATTTAATTCAGGAATACTGCTGAACTCACGATTTCTTGGTAGTTTCTTCTGAATATTGTACATCTGTCCATCTTTATTAGGTGAGAAATCAATAATTCCTCCATACCAACTTCTAGTGTGGAATGGGACCATCTGAGTCCTGAGGTGGTCCCATGCTTATCTCAGACAAAGAACATTCCAAACGGGCACATAGCCAGGATATCCTGTGATGAACTTCGTAGCTCCCCCTACTGATCTGTTAACGTGGGATTTACTGAATAGCTAAAACTACATTACTCATAAGCCATCTCTTAAGGAGACAGCGCTTAACCCAATAAATGCCAAACATTCTAACATACAGATCTATCTAACTGATGGGTCCAGAACAGATGGGCTGCCCAGGGTAACTGCCCTCTCCTGCTTGGGATGGTGGAAGGGAGGTTTTCCAATCCATAGTGCGATTGGCACCTGCAAACAGGGTGGAAGCCAGGGGTCTTCAAACTTGGCAACTTTAAGACTTGTGGACTTCAACTCCCAGAATTCCTCAGCCAGCCCTGGTGACATCTCAAGCAGGGCTTCCCATGCTTCCCTTATGCTGGAGAAGACTCTGAAGAGGGACAGGAGTAGCGTAGCAGGAGGAGCCCATTGGCAGACACCCCCATCTCATTTTATGCCCCCGCAGTTTAGCTTGCTACCTCTCTACTACCAGTGCTTGCTGGTTGGTGCGTACCTGACAATTGTCGGAGCGGAATCTGCCCGCCTCTTCCTTGGATATGTTGGGAATTTGCAAGAAAAGGTAAGAAATGACAGGAGAACCAGCTGCTGGGCTTAGCTTTCTTTTTTAAAAAACAAGATTCTCATGGCTGATATGACCCATACATTTTCTCACGAGATGTTATGGATCCTGGAGGCAGGGATGGGTGGGGGGGGTGGGGGAGGAAGGCAAAAGGCAAGATGGTGCCCACAACCATGCCTTCCTTTATGGCAGAGGTCCCCAACTTTTGGGACACCAGGAACCGGTTCTGTGGAGAGAGGTTTTTCTGCGGACCGGAGAGTGCATGGTTTTTTTGTGTGTTGCCTGCATCCCACGGATGGGGCTTTACTTGTTTGTGCATGCTGCGGCCCAGTACCGGTCCACAGACTGGAGGCTGGGAACCCCTGATTTATGGCACGTAAAAACTGTTTTGACCAGTTCAAGAGCAGATAAAAGAAAGGGTTTTGACTCATTTATACTTGTTGAAATGGATGCCACTTTCCACAGTGGACGTTTCCTGCAATTCCAATTTGTTGTTTTGAGCATCATCTTTGCTCTCCCTGGAGAGAGCAGATGCCTCTTGATTGTGACATTCTGGCTGGCTCACTGTAGGAGAGCTCGCAAGCCTTGAATGTCAAGGTGCAAGGCGCTGCTCTATTCATTCAGTTGCAGAAGGATTTAGACGTTATTGCTAAATATCTTCCACTGAAATCAAAGAGTCGGGGGTACCTACAGCTGCAGCCCTGAAAGACAAGTGGCTGCAGGGCTGTCATATGGGGCAGCTGCACAGGCCAAAAAGGGATGGAGCTTCAAGTGTCGGGGCAAGGCTGGCATCTGACCTTTTTTTGACCCTCTCTGTGGATACACCTGAGCAGGTGCAAATACCTGGTGGGTTTTCAAAATATGTTCAACTAATCTGAAATATTGAGGCAGAGAAGAACATTAAGAGGAGCAGAGCTGGTTTCCAAGGTGCCCAGAGACTTCTGCGATTCGGTTGACGTTCAGGATGAATTTACGGGCCAGGTTGGTCTCTGAAAGGTAACCATCCCCCCTCCCCACTGGCTCCCACAGGTTCCAGAGCTGGCTGGATTCCTCCTCCTCTCGGTTGTAATTGAGATGCCTGTCTTGCTGTTTGTCCTGACGGACCATCAGGTGATCCGGATGCCTCTGGAAATGGCGGTGCACGGGGTCCTCCTCTGCTTCCTTACCTCGGAGATTGTGGCCGCTTCCTTTGCCCTCAAAGGAATAGCCAGGCACCTGGCCAGGCAGTTCTACCTGATGCAGTGTGAAGGGCGGCCGGGCAGAGTTCGGCACCAGGAGCTCTGTGGGGGAAACCATCAGCCCTGAGCCTGCCCCCGTTTCAGTGCAGCAGCACTAACCATCCACTTCCTGTAGTATAAATGAAGTCTAATATGAATAATTCCCTAAACTAACATCAAGTTAACCATGGATAAGCATGATGTAGGCTTACAATTTTTCGCATTTTGGACCACATTTCACACACATATTGATCTTCTCATCCTTTTCCTGTGATATAATTAGCAATTTATGCTATTTGTGCAAAGAGAACTGTGACAACTTTCCTGCTTGTCCTCTTAGAGCCAATTTCTCCTGTTTAGCTACGGCCTGGTCTGATGACCTGTGTGGAGGTTAGACTTTAGGAAGAACTAGAGAACTGGAAGCAAAGAAGGACACCAGAGTCCAGGCATCCAGATTAAAGAGCCACGCCTCTCCTTGAACACAACCAGGGAAGTGGAGCCTGCCATTTATTTATATTTATTAAATTTATTTGCTGTTCATCTCGCCACAAGATGGTCACCACGAATTTTCATTCCTAAGAAAGCTTCTATCTCTGCTTCCCCAACCTGGTGTCATGAGTCTCAGTGTGGCCTCTATGTTTGCTGAGAAAAATACCTCTGACGCACAAAGTCTTCTTAGGAAAGAACATGATAAGTGCTAGGGCAGCGGTTCTCAACCTGTGGGTCGCGACCCCATTTGGGGTCGAACTACCATTTCATGGGGGTCGCCAAATAACGCAGTCCACCATTTCCCCCCCCCCCTTTTCCTTAGCTGTGCTACTCCCTTTTATTCTACTGGCTTTTGAAAGCCAATAGAATAGACTCTCTTGAATAGAGTCTAATTCTATTGGCTTTCCAAAGCCAATAGGAATTGTCCAGGCTGTCTCTGCCCTGCTGAGCCCGCCAAAAGTCCCATTCTGCAAACGGTTCTGCAAGTTGTCTACAGCGAAGGCAAGCTGTCTGGAAGTTTCCACCCCTCCCTGCTGAGCAACTACTAAAAATGTAAGTAAAAGAGGGCCAAGGGTGGGAGGTGGGAGGCCGGTGGGCGCAGGGAGGTTGCTGGCGCACGTGGGGGCTGGCGGGTGCCTTACCTCCCTTGGGCTGGGCCAGCTGGTGGCCCAGCTGATGGTCGCCCTGCGCCGTCTCTGCCGCTTGCCAGCTATGCCTCGGCTGGCGCAGGGGGTGGCACCACGCATGCGTGGTGCTCCCGGGCAGGGAAAGTCCTCGACTTACGACTGGTTGGGTAGTCCTCGACTTACGACCGGTTGGGGTCGCGGCATTAAAAAGGTTGAGAATCACTGTGCTAGGGAATCTGCAGGCTAGGGTCAAAAAGACAAGAGGGTGGTCGTGATGGAACAAAGGGAACCCTGCTTTTTTTTAACATGCAAAAAGGGGTGGAGCTTTGAACAGCCATTATCACCATCTTAACTTTCTTGACACACCCCTCCCTTTCCAGCCCTCCCTGATATATGTGCTCACCTGCAAACAAACCTCTCTGGCAGTGATCAGACAAATCCTGAAAGGTGCAACTTTACTTTGCTTTTCTGAATTATCTGTGGTCACAGTACATTTGAGTCCCCCAATAAGCAAGATTGATTCTGAAGTAGCATGTTGCACTACACCAGTAAATATGACAATATATTACAGATGGACTGAGTCTGCGGAACACACTAAACCCTAAATCTGGATGAACAAACCCTAATTGGTGTGTTCACACATACGATGTGCAAATAAGAACTTCTTCTGGTTGAATAGGATGGCCACCACTGTAGGAGCGACTAAATGCAGATCACATGGCGGCAGAGCCCTCTTCTTCGTTGCAACTGAATTCCTAGCATAAGTACACTTTGGCCTAAATCATACTTGTGAACATTTGTTTAATGGATGTTCTTACCTGGGGGATTACCTGTATTAGGTACAGATAGTCCTCGAGTTACGAGTGCAATGGAGCCTGCCCATTCCACTCGTAACTCGACAACCCGTGGGAGTGAATCTCGTACCTCCAGCGAGATCACTCCCTTGCTCGTTAAGACACACGTGGCTCGTTAAGTGAACATAAGATATCTCAGGGTGGGGAAAGCCCCCAGGGCCGGATTCACCTTGAAAAGATCTGTCTCCTCTCTCCCACGGTTCCTGCTGCCACGTGGATCTGAGGCCAGGGGACATTTCCAGGTGGCAATGGCCTGGAAAAGGCCTCCGGATGCACGTGGAAGCGTCCCCAGCTTCGGTTCCAGTCTCTGTTGCAGAGAACAGAGGTCTAAAGTACCATGAGATCACATGAGATCAGTAGCATGAGCTCTCGCCCCACTGATCTCGCGTGATCTTGCGTTACTTTAGGCCTCCATTCTCTGCGAACGCACCGAAGGCCTGGAGCAGCCAAGAAAATGAAGGATCTCGATCTTCGCAGGATGTGTATTGACGGCCTAGTGCCTAGGGAGACCTGGGTGGGGGTGGGGAGGGAGGGAATAAGCAGGGTGAATGTTGCAGAGCTTCTGTGGTCACTCATAAGGCCGAACGACTGCCGTGGTGCTGCAATATTCGTAATTTCGGGACTTGCTCGTAAGCACTAGGGGCGCTTATTGCATAACTTTGAACGAGCGTTAAGTGGACACGGATTACCTGTGCTAGATCTGGATTGCAAAATGTGAACCACCACTAGATGGCAGCAATATCCTCTGCTGCCATCTAGTGATCATTCACATTTTGGCAACCCAGACAGGGTAGCTGTACATCAGAATTCACCAACCTTTCGGGGTTGGCGGCCCGGAGCAGGGGGCGAGGAGGGGGGGAAGAAGGCATGGTTTTATGGTGTGTGTGTGAATGCATGTGGGGCTCTGAGCACTTGCACGCGTGGGGTCTACAAATACCATTTGTGGCAACGCTCACGCGAATGGGGAAGGCCCGGGATGCTCGTGCCGGTGCTCATGCAAGTGAGGCTGTGAACACTGGCAGCGTCGCACGTGTGAGTGGGGCTGTGCACACACGTGCACCAGCCAGCCACTCACACGACCTGGTAGCCAGTAGCCCACAGCTTGGTAGTGGGCTGTGTCTCACAGGTTAGGGACCCCCTGCTCTACATAACATGCCAAAGTGCAGCCCCCCTTCCTTTTTTGTGTTGTTTTCTAGTTTAGCATGCTGTCAGAAGTCAGAAGTAGCACAGGATTATGTTAAAAGAGCTATCAGTGTCCTGATCTAACATCTCCAGCTCTTTGTCAGTGTTTTTGCACGGCTGTTTAGAGTCAGAATCAGAACAGAGCTGGAAGTTCTGGAGATCTTCTAGTTCAGCCCCCTCTCAAAAGAGGAGACCTATACCATTTCAGACAAGTAGCTGTCCAGTCTCTTCTTAAAGACCTCCAGGGATGAAGGCAAGCTATTCCACTGATTAACTGTTCTCGGTGTGTCAGGAAGTTTCTCCTTAGTTCCAGGTTGCTTCTCTCCTTGTTGAGTTTCCATCCATTGCTTCTTTTCCTGCCTTCTGGTGCTTTGGAGAATAGCTTGACTCCCTCTTCTTTGGGGCAGCCCCTCAAATACTGGAACACTGCTATCATGTCCCCCCTCGTCCTTCTCTTCTCTAGACTAGCTAAACCCAAGTCCTGCAGCCATTCTTCGTATGTTTTAGTCTCCAGGCCTTGGATCATCCTAGCTGCTCTTCTTTGCAACCCCCCCCCCAAAAAAGTGTCAGCTAATGAAGCTATTGATAAAATAATGTTTCTCCTGCATAATTGCAAGGTCAGCTTTTTTTTTTTTTTTTGAAGCAAGGAGCAGTTTGCTTATCAGCCGGCTTCACGCAGGGCTGGAGAGTCTGCGGGCCGGTGATAAAAGTCCAGATGGCGAGACGAAGCTCAGCCCTTCGTGCCTTTCTGCCCCCTTTGGCCGGAGGCAGCACCCAGCAAGGTCACCCGGGGCTTCCGCCCCAGGAAAGGCCACACCGCCCGGGCTCTCCGGGGGGCGCCGCGCAGGATTTTTGTGGCCCCCCTCAGTTTGTCTTGAAGGACGCCTGGCCCACTCGCGCCTGGAAGCGGCGGCGGCTGCAGCAGCAGCGAGGACGGGGCATCGAGGCCCGGGGAGGTTTCAGCCTCGCGCCCGTTCCTCCTCGGAGCTCGCAATGTCTGCCCGGGAGACCGCAAAAAAGCATCCCTTCGATCCGGGCTGACGAGGCCGCTGCTTGCCCGACTTGCGGCCCAATGCGGCCGCCAGAAAAATACCTCAGCTCGGGGCCTAGGCGAGGCGGCAGAAGGCCCGCCAGATGGGTTGCCAGGCAACGCGAGCGGGCGGTCGTTAGGTGCCGGCTCTCCTCCCTCCTCCAATGGCCACCCGCGCTTTCCGGATGCGCCCGCCCCTTCCGCTAGCCGGCCGCCTCCGTCCCCTGCGCGGCGACGCCGTTGCCATGGCAGCAGGGCCGACCGAGGCCTGCCGCGCCGATGCCCGGGCTGCCGCTCTCGCCTGTGCCCGAGCAGGAGGCCGACGCGGCGGGGGAGCGGCCCTCCGGCAGCGCGTCCTCCGCGTCCCTCGCTCCCAGCGCCTCCGGCTCGCGGAACTCAGAGGCAAGGAGGAGAGCGCCGCCTCCCGCGGCCCCTGCCGGACCCCAGCTCCCATTGCTCCCGAGGCTGGGCGTCATGGGAGTTGGAGTCCAGCGGGGACAAACTGACGGGACTGATCAAAAAAGGGAAGGAAGGACCTGGCCGGGATGGTAGAGCTGGGCAGCGCGCCGGCTGCGGATGAGGGCGGTTGTAGTCCAGCACGGCTGGAAGGCTGTGAGGAGCAGTGCCGGCTGGGGATGAGGGCAGTTGTAGTCCAATACATCTGAAAGACGGCGGGGAGCTTTGGCGAGCAGGGGCGGCTGGGGATGATGGCAGTTGCAGTCCAAAAGAGAGATTGCCGCTTATTCTTATTTATACAGCTAGTCCTCCACTTACGACCAAAATTGAGCCCCAAATGTATGTTGTAAGTGAATTTTGCCCCACTTTATGACCTCTCCATCCAATTTGTCAAGTGAATCACTGTAGTTATTAAATGAATAACAGGGTTGTTAAGTGAACCTGGCTTCCCCATTGACTTTGCTTGTCAAGACGGTCGCAAAAGGGGAATCGGGTGACCCTGGGACGCTGCGACCGTCGTAAATATGAACCTGCTGTCAGGCTTCCCAATGGAAATCACAGGAGGATCCTGAAACGGTCGTCAGGGTGAAAAATGGTCATCACTCGCTTTTTTCCCCCAGTGCTGTTGCAACTTGGAACAGTCACTAAACGAATTGTCCTAAGTCGAGGACTGCCTGTATTGTCATTCATATTTGAGGTTGGGATGACATCGCATCCATGGGAAATACACCTGAAAAGGGCTACTATTATGCAGGGGGGGGGGGAGAAGAGAAATAGGAGTTTGCTGAATGCCGGATGGCCCAATGCGGAGTTCCAGGCTGGGGGGGGGCTGGTGCCCCCCCACCCAGGTGGAAGGTGAGCGCAGGGTTTCCAGTCTAATTCGTGCAGATCCATACATAGCAAAATAAATGTTTTGCAATGACGGTGGTTTAGCCTCCACTTTTAATGATGGTTTCTCTTGACTAAACAAGAGTAAGGTTACCGATAGAGGAGAATATTTAATAATAATAATAAAGTTGGAAGGGATCTTGGAGGTCATCTAGTCCAGGGCTTTTCAACCTTTTCACCTTAGTGACTGTTCGAAGTTACAATGGCACTGAAAAAAGTGCCCCCCAAGCCACAGCCGAGCAAGACACCTACCTGCCCACCTGGCGGCGCTCTTCCTCCTGTCTGAGATTTTCATTGTTGTGAGCATTTCTGTTAAGCATTGGCAGTGGGCGTGGGGTGGGGGGGTGTTTGGTTTTTTTTTCCCCTGTCTGCTGGGTGGTTGTAGCGGGTTTTGGTCACTTCACATGACCCTGGGACACTGTGACTGTCATAAATATGAATCAGTTGCCAAGCATCTGAATGTAAATCACAAGATCCTGCAGATGCTGCAACATTCCAGCTGATCAGCACTTCTTCTGGGCTCAGCAGAAGCCCCAGGATTAGCGCCGAGCTCCAGCTGGAGCCTGGCACTGATCCTGGCGCTTCCACTGAGCCCTAATAGCCCCAAAGAAGCGCTGATTCTGGTGCTTCCGCTGAGCCCTGACAGCCCTGCAGCTCCAGCCGTCTCTCGCTCAGGCTTGTGCGGTGCTGCCACCGGTTCAGCTCATTCCCCTCCCCCACTACCACTTTTCTAGGATGGTCGCGTATCACCTGCCAGGTGCCAATGTACCACAGGTGGTACCCGTACCACTGGTTGAAAAGCCCTGATCTAGTGCAACCCCTCTGCTCAGGCAGGAAACCCTATACCATTTCAGACAAATGGCTGTCCAGTTTCTTCTTAAAAATGTCCAGTGTTGGGAGCATTCACAGCTTCTGGAGGCGGGTTGCTCCACTGATTTGTAGCTCATGGTTGAGAGGAGGGGTCTTTGGGGCGCTCTGAGCTGGGCCCCTCAAAATAAGGCTAAGAATAAGCTCTCAGCGATTGGAACCTGTCTTGTTCTTGGCTCCGAAAAGCAGGGCGACGCGCATGGAATTACAGGGATAGTCGGATGAAATGGAATGAAAAACTCTGGGGTCGATCAGGATTATGGTGATCAAGAATTCCTGCGTTGAAATGGCTGAATTCAAAAGAATAAATGAGTTGTAATAATAGGTAACCGTCTGTAGCTCAGGAGATGCATGGCAGGACGCTACAAATAGAGGCAACTGGGTTTGCTAAATAGGTTTCTTTCTAAATATGCTTTTGAAATGTACCGGGCAGGCCATGATAGTGTAGCAACTTCTGCTTTTTATCTATTTTCATGCAAACGGCTGTTTTCTTGCTTATGTAACCCTACAAACCACATGAAGTCTAAAACCATGTTGAATAGATCACCTGGGATTCTTCCAGCTTTATAGGAGGACCCACTTTTATCCAGATCTAAAGAAACATAACTCAGGGAGAATGAAAGAAACTTTGCCTCTTTGTTCGTGCCGGGCCAAACCTACAGTACATTTTCTGCTTGACACTGGTGCACATTTCTTAGCTTAGTGTCTATTCTGGTGTTTTGTTTTTGTAGGGAGGTGAAAGCATGCTTCAGAAAGTTATGTTGCAAAGTTTAATTTCTGGACCGTTTACCACTTCCTGATATAAAGGTAGTTAATGTGACATAATTCTAAAATGGGCTCCTCCTTAATCATATTATCAATCGAGATGGGGGTAAACCCTTGAATATTTCCAATATATTTGGTATATCTGTTAGAACAGTGTTTCCCAAACTTGACAATTTTAAGGCATGTGGACTTCAACTCCCAGAATTCCACAGCCAGCGTTGCTGGCTGTGGAATTCTGGGAATTGAAGTCCTCATGCCTTAAAATTGTCAAGTTTGGGAAACACTGTGTTAGAATATTGAGAGTCTATTATTTATTTTACACCCTGTATTTTTCCCAGCCTGCTTGATAGAAATCCATATGTCTTATTCAGGTTTCTAAGGGTGCTGATTTTTCTGATTGATTGCTGTTCCTAGTTTGGAAAAAAAAAAAATCTTGTTTGTTAGCTGGACCTCTGTATCATTGCTTCTTTTGGATAGAGTTAGGTATGTTCCTATGTTTCTGTATGTTTACACGGTTTTTATATCAGACTTTTTCAAGGTCCTCTGATATATCAGAACCCATCTGCCAGGAGAACAGCGCTTCCTTCTTGGAGAAAGCACTAAGCTATTCTGAAGAAGAAACTGAGGAAGAAGAAGCAGAAGAAGATCAAGAGGAAGAGTGGGACACAGACCTTGAAATAGAAAGTATGGATTAGACAAGTTGTCAGGTTGCTTACAATTGCCAGGGTTGAGAAACATAGAACTAGACCAGGGGTAGGCAACCTTGGCTCTTTTATGACTCGTGGACCTCAACTCCCAGAATTCCTGAGCCAGCCATGCTGAGGGAAAAGGGAGAGGTTTCCAAGCTGAGCCATGCTGGCTCAGGAATTCTGGGAGTTGAAGTCCACCAGTCATGAAGGGGCCATAGTTCCCCCATGCTGGCTCAGGAATTCTGGGAGTTGAAGTCCATGACTCATAAAGTGGCCTATGCCTAGGCCAGAGGTAGGCAACCTTGGCTCTTTTATGACTCGTGGACTTCAACTCCCAGAATCCCTGAGCCAGCCACGCTGAGGGGAAAGGGAGAAATTTTCAAGCTGAGCCATGCTGGCTCAGGAATTCTGGGAGTTAAAGTCCACGAGTCATAAAAGAGCCAAGATTGCCTACCCCTGAACTAAACCCAGGGAGACCCAAGAGTCTTCAGTTCATCTTTAACTTTGGGTCCGTCAGTCTCTCTCAAACCAACTTATATCATAAGATTGTTATGGGAAAAATACAGTGAGCACCATGGAAGCCACATTGAGCTATTGATCTAAAGGCAGGATATAAATGTGTCAAACAGATAAACAAACAAAGAGCTTTAAAGGAAAAGTTGGCAACTAAGCAAGGATCAGTTATTCCCTCCCCATCAACCTGGTATAAATCTTAAAGACAACCACACGAGAATTTGGCCATTCTTTAATTAACTTTGGTAACGGTTCATTCCTGTATTTTTTAATTCTGAACATCTGATGCCTGGCTGCAGAATATGAGGACCTGTAATACTTGGATTGGCCAACCTGCAGTCTGAGCCATGAATATTCTGCCTCTGAAATGAAAGCTTGACATTGCTCATTGTTAGCCTGGCTTCCACAAAGGTGTCTTATTTCTTTTTAAGCCAAGTAATGGCTGGTAGCCATTTTTAAGGTATTGTGACTTTGGTGCAGCTCTCGTTAGTTTCAAAACAACACACCAAACTCTTTTGTGAATTACTTGGAGAAAATCACCATCCCCTCTGTTCTTTTTGCATACAAGACTAAGGGACGAGTATCTGGTTCGTGGGGATGGTGGTGGGCCTTGGCTGGTGCTGCAGGTTTTGCTGTTGTACTGCCACAAACTACAGAGGCTTCAAGGGTCTGGTGGTTTTACAGCAGCGGTTCTCAATCTATGGGTCGCGCCCCCATTTGGGGTCGATCGACCATTTCACGGGGGTCGCCAAGCAAGGCTGTCCGCCATTTTTTCCCCTTTTCTGGCAGGTGCCTTACCTCCCTTGGACTGGGCCAGCTGGTGGCCCAGCCGGTGGTCGGCCTGCTCCGTCTCTGCCGCTTGCCAGCTACGCCTCGGCCGGTGCAGGGGGCGGCACCACACATGCGTGGCGCTCCTGGGCAGGGAAAGTCCTTGACTTACGACCGGTTGGGTAGTCCTTGACTTACGACCGGTTTAGTCCTTGACTTACAACCGGTTGGGGGTCACCGCATTAAAAAGGTTGAGAACCACTATTTTATAGAAAGCCAAGGAGGGCCATTGTTTTAATTTTTCTTTTGTCTTGGCCTAGTCTCTACAATATGCTACGATCCTGCCGGGAGAACGAGATACCTTGCGATCTGCCAGGCGTATGGCGTGGTTCCTATCTCGTATTTTTTACGGCATATGAAAGATTCTGAGCTAATTCTGATGCATCGCGGCCTTGGCCCTAAGGTAATTCCTGCCAGGTGTCTTTTTCTTTTGGTCCTGCCACATTGGGGCTTGCTTTGCGCTCTGCCAGTATGAATCCCCTCACTGCCCTCGAATATTCTCTCAGCCTTTTTCTCCCTCTCCCTTTTTCCATCTGCATCGCACGTGGGAATATTATTGTAAGGGCCCACCTCACTCTACATGTTAAGAAGGCAGAACTCTTGCAATATCTCTTCCAACAGGCATCTTTATTAAGAGAAAAGGATTGCAGGCATTCTAGACAGTCACAAATTGAAATCCACTCTGAGTTACAAATAGAAAGGAAGTTTATTAGACTTCACATCCAAGTCTAAAAAAACATAACGGTTTGCAAAGCGTGGTGGATTCAGGAAGGCAATGCAATGTAGCCAAGCACTGAACCACACGCCAAATTCCAAAATTACATATTATTATACATCCTATCGCGACGCCCCATTCCCTCCCCCATGGCCCCATTGGCTTAGGCTTTGGAGGTTACAACCTATCAGAAGCGCCTAAACAGAATACATTATACTAATAAGATCCCTCCCCTACTATCCTATATCAATTCTAGAGGAGAGATGTCTCCCATCTTCCACACCTGTTAGATTCAGTAGGGGTACCAGGCACCAGAAGGTACTTAAAAACAATTCCTAGATGGTGACTTACACTGGGCCCCACAGTAACTCCTGTCCTCCCCCCTTCCTCCACCTGAAGCTTGTATGTTCCCTATATATTCAAAGGCAATTGATTATACAATGATAATTATAAAATATAAAATATGATTACATGATAATACTAAAAGCATATATATTTTTATTTTTAAATTTTCTCCCACAGACCTGAGGGATCAACTCCTATCATTCAAGGTTTTAAGTGTTCCCAAGCAGCCCCCTCCCCACAGTTCTTCCAGCCGACGATCACTCATCCTCTCTTTTCCCAGATCCCAGGCGTTGCATTGTTCCCCCCCCCCCTTTTCCCTCACTGCTGGCAAAAGGGAGACTTCAAAGAGAGAGTAGATGAAAGGCGATGGCCGTATTGTTATGGTCAGTCCTCTTGATGAAAATCAACATCCAGTCACTTTGTAGTTTAAATCAAGGAAGTGAGAGTCATAAAACCCCCTTGCTTCCTCCTCCCCTTTTGTAGTATGACAGAATCCAGGGAGAGTAAGAAGTGTGTTTTTTTTTCAGAGTAGGTAGCTAGAAATGAAATATAATTGGATTCTGACAATTATATTGCTTTACAGAGTTATTTGTGGGAATAATCAGGGAGCATTACGGTACCAACGTTGGAAATATGTAAGTGCAATTAGACCGGCGCCTGATGCATTCCGTTAAATTTTACCTTCCAAATTAAAAATGTTCCAAGGCGTCTTATGGAGAAAAATGTAAACCCATCGAAAGACAATACAGTCATTAGTAGCAAAGCACAAGCAACCAGTTTGGTCAGCGTAAAATAGAGAAACAAAATAGACCAAGTGAAATGACAGAGGGGTAAAGAGATCCTGGCCTGGCACTAATAAGAGGGCAAGCAGGCTCAGCCTTCTATTGGAACACAGAGCTGCTACATACTAAGCCTTTTATGAGGAGAGCCAGAGGGGCCCCTTATAAAGCACGTAGACGAGAAGAGGGTCCCAATCCTTCATTTGGTCACTTTTGCTTCAGTTGGTGACCATTTGTCTCCAGAGAGGATGCTTCTGCGCTTTAAGTGAGATCTACGGTTCCTGTCAAAACAGGCTCCAGAGCAGCAGTTCTCAACCTGTGGGTCGGGAAGGAGAAAGAAAGAAAGAGAGAAGAAAGAAAGAAAGAAAGAAAGAAAGAAAGAAAGAAAGAAAGAAAGAAAGAGAAAGAAAAAGAAAGAAAGAAAGAAAGAAGGAAAGAAAGAAGGAAAGAAAGAAGAAAGAAGAGCAATAGCACTTAGAGCAGTGGTTCTCAACCTGTGGGTCAGGACCCCATTTGGGGTCGAACGACCATTTCACGGAGGTCGCCAAACAACGCAGTCCGCCATTTTCCCCCCCTTTTCCTTAGCTGTGCTACTCCCTTTTATTCTATTGGCTTTTGAAAGCCAATAGAATAGACTCTCTTGAATAGGGTCTAATTCTATTGGCTTTCAAAAGCCAATAGGAATTGTCCAGGCTGTCTCTGCCCTGCTGAGCCCGCCCAAAGTCCCCTTCTGCAAACGGTGCTGCACCAGTTGAGTCGTCCTCGACTTACGACCGGTTGAGTAGTCCTCGACTTACGACCGGTTGGGGGTCGCAGCATTAAAAAGGTTGAGAACCACTGCTCCAGAGCCTTGGCCACCCCAGCTAAATGGGACTTAACGGATTCACAGGCAGCAGGTGCTGCTGGCATATGGTGCAGCCCTCCCCTCTCCCCCCCCCAGGCCTCTGCTTGATCTATATGGGGAACAGGAGGCCAGATGGGCTCATGTGGCCGCAGAGCTTTGCTGCCCACGCTTCCAGGCCACAGATAAGGTGACCTCGTTTTCGTGTTACGGCTGCATGGCTGCTGAAATAATCCACCAGCAGCTGCGGTGCACATCCCTGGGAGGCGAGCTGAAACATGTGGTGGGTGAGGCTAAAGCAGTGTTTCTCAACCTTGACCATTTTAAGGCATGTGGACTTCAACTCCCAGAATTCCACAGCCAGCAATGCTGGCTGTGGAATTCTGGGAGTTGAAGTCCACATGCCTTAAAATTGTCAAGGTTGAGAAACACTGGGCTAAAGGCCAAGCTGCCTGGGGCTATCTTGGTCCAGCGCCTCTCCTGACCTTTCATTTCCTTCTCTCTTCCTTGTCACAGCTTCTGCAGAAAAGAGGTGTTGCTGGGCTGGGCTGGGGGGGTCATGCCAGCACCCAGGCAGCAGTTTGCCTCCCCCAGGACCCCAAACCTTGACCCCTGCCGGAGGACTGGGCTAGATCTCGGCACGCTGCCCTCACAGCTCGTCCCTCCTCTGTCTCTTCTTTTAGGCAGCCAAAGCTCTCGCTCTTTCCCTGACCAGCAACACCTCCATTGTGAAGCTGAACCTGAGTGACAACGGGCTGGATGGCGACGGAGCAGTGGCGATGGCAGAGATGTTAAAGGAGAACTGCTACATTTCAGGTGCCTGGGAGATTCTGAGAATTGCTTCAGGGGGCAAAAACGGAGAGTCCACGGGATCCATCTGCCTTGAGATACTTGGGGTTGCCGTTAAACCACTGTTAAATCCCCTCTAAATAACTTCCAGTTTCTAAAAGCGAAGATTTGCTTTTTCATACGTTGTTGTTCGTCCATCGATTTTCGATGAAGACCTTGACATCTTGTGGGTTATGGGCCATCAACGATGTGTCCGGAGGTGGCTAATAAGACCGATGTTAGCACGGAATGTTCTGCCACATACCGAGCAAAGAAATGTAGACACTGTTACTTCAGCATTTGCAGCTCTGGCTTTGCGGAGTGCTCGCTTCTCTTGCGCCAAGATTGTCCTTCTGTGTTCATATAATGAACACAGAATTTTCATATAATACAGCAGTGAAGCTGGAAGTGTGTTGTAACCGGTCTTAAGAATGCAGTCCTCTTTTATGCGGGGCGACCCAAGCATAAGGATTTCTAATCAGATGGCGGTTTGTAGATTTCTTTATTTGCTTGACAACATTTATGTGCCACCCCCAAATAAAGACTCCGTGTCTGATGGGTTGAGATGAGGAGTGTCTTTTCTCCAAGGGGTTCTCCACGAAAGCAGTTGTGGCCTTTGACCAGCTTCCATTCCTGGCCAAAGGAGAGACTGAGGAACAAAGGCATGTTGGACGTATGGTTCCGGGGGGATTCTGTATGTTGAGCCAGCTGAGAGATCAACTTTCTTCTCTTTCAGAACTTGATTTGTCAGAGAATAAAGTCGGAGTGAAAGGGATAGAAGCTCTGTCCACAGTACTTCAGGAAAATCCAATCCTGGTGTCCTTGAAACTGTCAGGAAATGAATTAAATGACAGGGCAGCCAAATACCTGGCGGACGCCTTAGTGACCAATCAGAAAGTGGAGCACCTTGATCTGAGCCATAACAGGCTCGGAGAGCCAGCAGGTAAATGTCATAGAAATATTGTATTTGGCTGTCGTGTGGGAAGCTCTGTAGCACATGTGAGAAAGACACACACACATACACATGCAATTTGTCTATTTGTGGCCCTTTGGTTTCTAGAGCACCATCTACCTTTATGCGGAATATGAATGGTTAAATCAAGAACCAGCTGTGGTTTTCATAAGCTAAGAGCTAACCATTAGGGTTTACTTTTGTTGGGGGGGGGGAAGAATTACTGGACTGTGACTCCTGTCCTCCCTCCCTCCCTCTTCCTTGCCTTGTTACCTGCTGTGCCTCCTTCTATGCCTGACCCCATGAGAGGTTTTGACTTCCCACCAGTCCTATCTCTTTCTTCTCCTTATGTTTTGAAGAAGACTTTGTGATTTGATGGAGAGCAGGCGGGGACAAAAGGAAGAGAGAGTATGCAGAGAATAGGGAAGAGCTACTACAGTTGAAAAAGAAAATTAAGGTAGGGATTAGAAAGTTGGGCCCACTTAAGTTTCTGCCTGCCCTTTAAGAGTTTTTACCCATTGGTTTACCATAAAAATTGCTTCCTGAAATAGAATTATTGATATGTAATCCTAAAATGGTGTAGGAGTAACTAAAAGCAGTATAAAAAGGTTATCGAAATAATTTTTTTAGCATATGGCACACATGGACTAGCAATATAAATTAACAAGTCAAAATAATACGAATATTGGAGAGAGAGAGAGAGAGAAAGAGAGGCAAAGCCAGAACTGGGAAGATAAAAAAAGTACACACGTATTGCTGAAAAGCATTACAATTGGCTCCTGATAAATTTTTCTGAGAGAAGCAGTCCAGAAAAAGGATAAAAAGTCAAGTCGGATCTTTGAGTAGGTTTCGGTTACCTACAGAGACATTGTTTTCTTGAAAAAAAAAATACAAAGAGGGATTGCTAATATTTTCTTGTAGGGTATATTGTCAACTTATCCGTCTGAGATTTCCAGAGAAAATCTGGAAATTTCTTTCTAGCACTGGCCAGAATTACCCTGAGCTTTATGTGACAGCAAGGTCAGCCAGAAGCCGCAAACTGCTGGGTCAAAGTAAAGATGCCACAAAGGTTACGTCTCCTCCAAATGGGTTGCAAAACCCACCAAAAACTTTGTCTTAGATCTTCAGTCCAATCTGTGGAAAACTTGAAGTGCCTGAGGAGAACTGGGCTTCCGCAACACAGTTTAAGAAGCTCTGCTCTAAACTTGGTGGTGGGAGCAGCTAGGCCAGGGTTAGGCAACCTTGGCTCTTTTATGACTCGTGGACTCCAACTCCCAGAATTCCTGAGCCAGCATGAGGGAAACTTTGGCCCCCTCATGACTGGTGGACTTCAACTCCCAGAATTCCTGAGCCAGCATGGGGGAACTATGGCCCCCTCATGAGTCGTGGACTTCAACTCCCAGAATTCCTGAGCCAGCCTGGCTCAGCTTGGAAACCTCTCCCTTTCCCCTCAGCATGGCTGGCTCAGGAATTCTGGGAGTTGAAGTCCACGAGTCATAAAGTGGCCTAGGCCTAGGCCATAGGTAGGCAACCTTGGCTTTTTCATGACTCGTGGATTTCAATTCCCAGAATCCCTGAGCCAGCCATGCTGAGGGGAAAGGGAGAGGTTTCCAAACTGAGCCAGGCTGGCTCAGGAATTCTGGGAGTTGAAGTCCACCAGTCATAAAAGAGCCAAGGTTGCCTACCACTGGCCTAGGCCTAGGCCGCTTTATAACTGGTGGACTTCAACTCCCAGAATTCCTGAGCCAGCCTGGCTCAGCTTGGAAATCTCTCCCTTTCCCCTCAGCATGGCTGGCTCAGGAATTCTGGGAGCTGAAGTCCACCAGTCATAAAAGAGCCAAGGTTGCCTACCTATGGCCTAGGCTGACCTGAGGGAGGAGAATAAAACCCCTCCATGTCATGATGTCGATCCCTTGAAAGCCTCTGTCTGAGCCCCCGGTCTCCTCAAATGGGCGACGTGCAGAGGAATGGCTTTGTGAATGGCGCCAAGCCTGTGAATAAGCAGCTAGGCAGTAATCTGTTTCTGCAACTCTCTGCTGATGCCCATAAGCAGGTGTTCCTCAGAGTTCTTGGCTCTGTGGGAACCACCTCTTCCTACTGCTTGCAGATCCTACTGTCCTTCCCTTCTTCCTCTGTGAGCTGAAATCTCTGCTGAGGCTAGAAAAATTGCTTGGCGAAATGTCAGCAGAAAAATTCACATTAGGTTGGATAGCAATAGCACTAAGACTTGTATACTGCTTCACAGCCCTCTCTAAGCGGTTTACAGAGTCAGCCTCTTGCCTCCAAAAATCTGGGTCCTCATTTTATTGGCCTCGGAAGGATGGAAGGCTGAGTCAACCTTGAGCTGGTGAGAATCGAACTGCAGGCAGTGGGCAGAATTAGCCTGCAATACTGCATTCTAACCACGGCACACTATAGAAGGAAGGAAGGAAGGAAGGAAGAAAGGAAGGAAGGAAGGAAGGAAGGAAGGAAGGAAGGAAGGAAGGAAGGAAGGAAGGAAGAGAAAAGAAAGAAGAGCAATAGTAATAGCACTTAGACTTATATACCACTTCATAGTGCTTTACAGCCCTCTTTAAGCTGTTTAGAGAGTTGGCATTTTGCCCCCAACAATCTGTCTCCTCATTTTACTGACCTCGGAAAGATGGAAGGCTGAGTCAACCTTGAGCCGGTCACGATCGAACCGCTGGCGGTCGGCAGAGTTCGCCTGCCATACTCATTCTGACCACTGCACCACCACGGCTCCTGTACGGGGAGAGGCTGCTACTGTAAAGGTGGGGTGGGACCCAAGGGGGTGTCCTTCTTTTATCTCAGTTTGACGTTTCAGGCCTCTTTCCCATTTCTCATGTCTCCATCTCCATTGAACCAGGAGAAGCCCTCGGGGTGGCCATGGCGGAAAATGTGGGCCTGAAGCAACTCAACCTCAGCTGGAACAACTTTCGGGGCCAAGGAGCAGTGGCTGTCGCCAAAGGCTTGGGGGTAGGAAAGGGGACTTCGTTCGAGGGGTTTCCCGTTGGATAAAGTTATAAAGCATAAGATCCATCCCCTAAAATGCAAACCAGTTTGAAATAGTTTGGCCCTGCTTGTTCTAGTGCAGGGGTAGGCAACCTGGGCCCTTTTATGACTCGTGGACTTCAACTCACAGAATTCCTGAGCCAGCATGGTGAAAACGTTGGCCCCTTCAGGACTTGTGGACTTCAACTCCCAGAATTTCTGAGCCAACATGGTGGAAACGTTGGCCCCTTCAGGACTTGTGGACTTCAACTCCCAGAATTCCTGAGCCAGCGTGGCTCAGCTTTGGAAAGCTCTCCCTTCTCCTCAGCATGGCTGGCTCAGGAATTCTGGGAGTTGAAGTCCACGAGTCATAAAAGAGTCAAGGTGGCCTACCCCAGCTTAAAGGATGGGGTGAATCCATAAAACGGGTTCACTCTGTCCCCTGGTGAACAGAATTATGTGTTCCTTAGGCCAGGGGTAGGCAACCTTGGCTCTTTTATGACTGGTGGACTTCAACTCCCAGAATTCCTGAGCCAGCATGGCTTAGCTTGGAAACCTCTCCCTTTCCCCTCAGTATGGCTGGCTCAGGAATTCTGGGAGTTGAAGTCCATGAGTCATAAAAGAGCCAAGGTTGCCTACCCCTGCTCTAGTGTATAGTGCAGGGATGGGCAACTGCGGCACCTAATGTTTTTTTAATTATTGTTTTATTGGTTTTTACTGCTTTTATTGTTTTAACATGTTTTTAAGATTTTAATCGTAATATATGTTTCTGAATCGTGAGCCGCCCAGTGCCGTTTGCTGAGATGGGTGGCTCTAGAAATCAAATGAATAAATAAACTTTACAACCTGTGGACTTCAACTCCCAGAATCCCCCAGGCAGCTATGCTGCCGAGGTTGAGAAACACTGACCTCAACAGTGGAAGAGGTAGCCTGTTTGGAAAGAACCTGGAAGGAAATCTTGAGTGGGTGAAGGCCCAGGAACTCTCTGTCAGGGTGTGGCTTGTGCTTAGAAGCTCTAGGTGGCAAAAGAAAAGCTCTTGTGTCAGGACCTACTTCAAAGAATCACCGAAGAAACCAGAACTTTTGAAACAAGCATTGTCTCAACTTTTATTAGGAACTAGGGACAGTAGGGAGTGTAAGGTGAGATCTGAAGAAAAGCCCGCGTGAATAATAGAATTAAAGCATCTTGTCTCCTGTGGACTCTCCACCCTGGACCTTCTCTAAGCGCTGCTCAATCTGTCTTGTTCCACAGGCAAATATATTCCTTCGAGTCCTTGATCTGTCATACAATGGCTTTGGCAACAGTGGTGCAGCTGCTCTGGGGGCAGCCCTGAAAAGCAACAATGTACTGGAAGAACTCAACATCAGGTAACAAGGCGTGTGTGTGTGTGTGTATGTGTGTGTTTGTGTGTGCATGTGCCCGCACTTCCTGAGTGCTGGGAGCTGTTTCTTAATCATCCTTGGCACAAGCCAGCAAAGTGAATAGTTTCCAGGATCCTCTCTTGCCATCAGGGCAGTTGAGGCTGAGGCCATCAAGTGAGCTTCCGGCAAAGGTTGGATTTGAATCAGGAACCTCAGAACGGAATAGAACGACAGAGTTGGAAGGAACCTCAGAGGACTTCTAGTCCAATCCCCTGCTCAAGCAGGAGACCCTATACCACAGGTCGGCAACTCACGGCTCCAGAGCTGCATGTGGTTCTTTGAGCCTTCTCCTGCGGCTCCCAGCCTCCTCTGCCATTTGCAGAGACAGAGAGGGGCACTTGCACTTCCCTTCTCTCTCTCTCTCTCTCCCCCCCTCTCTCTCTGTGTGTGTGTGTGTGTGTGTAAAAAAGAGTGGCCTCACACAATTCTGGGACAAGCTGACAAGCTTATTGGGCGGGGCTCCTGCCTTTGCTGCATCTCAGCAGGAAGCAGAAAGCAGCAGCTCTCTCTCTCTCTCTCTCTCTCTCTCTCTCACACACACACACACACACACACACACACACACACACACACAGAATGGGGGAAGAGGACTGGCAGACCAAGGGCAGGAGAGAGCCAGCCCAATAAGAATGTGTGTCAGCGTGAAGCCAGCTTGCCAGGTGAGCAGAAGATCGGAGAGAGGGGGAGAGAGAGAAAGGGAGGAAGACGGAGAGAGAGGGAGGGAGGGAGAGAGAGAGAGAGAACTCATCCACAGCAGCCTCTATTTCTTTTTAATTAAACTCGTCAATCAAGCTTCCTCCCCCCATGCATGTTTTGTGGCTCCCAGTGTTTTCTTTTCTCTGGGAAATGGGTCCAGGTGGCTCTTCGAGTGTTTAAGGTTGCCGACCCCTGCGGGCCTATACCATTCCAGACAAGTGGCTGTCCACCCTCTTCTTAAAAGCCTCTAGTAATGAGCAACCACAATTTCTGAAGTTGTGGGTGCTCCAACACTGTCACCCACAACTATTCTCCCTCTGGCTTAGTGTTTGGGGCACCCAGGGGAAAAAAATCGTTTTGGTGGGCAACATACTAGTGTTGAGAATTAAACAAGTTGATTGCTTTCCTTTTACGCTCAGCCCAGGTTCTACATCTTCACAGGCTGAGCTGAACTGGAGGAGCTGGTGGCCTCTGGACAAGCAGAGAGGGAGGAATTTGGGAGGAGCTGTGCCTGGGTCACCCAGCACTGTAAGGGAAAACAGGCAGATCTCGTTGTTGCTTATGTGATGTGTGATGCTCATAATTTCAAGCTATGCTTTAGATCAGTGGTTCTCAACCTTTTTAAATGCCGCGACCCCCAACCGGTTGTAAGTCGACGACTACTCAACCGGTCGTAAGTCGAGGACTACTCCACTGGTGCAGCACCGTTTGCAGAAGGGGACTTTTGGCGGGCTCAGCAGGGCAGAGACAGCCTGGACAATTCCTATTGGCTTTTGAAAGCCAATAGAATTAGACTCTATTCAAGAGAGTCTATTCTATTGGCTTTCAAAAGCCAATAGAATAAAAGGGAGTAGCACAGCTAAGGAAAAGGGGGAAAAAATGGTGGACTGCATTGTTTGGCGACCCCCATGAAATGGTCGTTCGACCCCAAATGGGGTCCCGACCCACAGGTTGAGAACCACTGCCTTAGCTTGAGATACCAAACCAGCCAGTTAGCCTCAATTAAGCAAACTCCGTGTTCACCTTACAGAAGAATTATTATAAACCTGGAGTTAGTGACAAAATGCTGCTTCTGTAGAAGCCATTTTCCTTCTCTGTTTTTATGAAATAAAATATTACATAAACTATTTTTTTTTAAAAAAAGCAAAGTGCAGTGTCTGAGGATAATCTCAGAAACTAGACTAACCAGAAAGCGAATTCTTGTGAACCGAGTGGCCTCTTCGAATTCTTTGGGAGCTTGACCAGATCCATCCTGCTTTCAGATAACTGGTGGGCTGCCGTGCAAAAAAACCAGCAGTCTTTCTTCTCTATTTCTCCAGAGAAGAGGACCAGAAGGAAGGAGCGGGGGTGGCCAGGAAGCAGAATTCAGCCAAATTGTGGGTAGCCAGGTTGGGGCCTGGGGTGCCCTACCCTCTTTGCTGGGTGACCATCTGCACAGGATGCTGCGGTTCCAGACTCTCACAATTTAATGCTTCTTGGCCATCCTCTCAGAGATGAACTGCCTTATGTGTGGCAAAAACTGTTGGAGCTTCATGAAAAAGCCAAGTTTTTCCCTTGTTCAACTACTAGTAGTTCAGGTACTGCAAATGGAACACAGAACAGAACACAGAAATCTACAATTGGAAATGCTGGGAATTTGGTTGGATATATTATGTACAGACTAGGAGCCATTGATCATGCGATTATGAGAACAATTGGGCAAAATAGAATAGAATAGAGTTGGAAGGGACCTTGGAGGTCTTCTAGTCCAGCCCCCTGCTCCAGCAGGAGACCCTATACCATCTCAGACTGTCTAGCCTCTTCTTAAAAACCTCCAGTGATGGAGCGCCCACGATTTCTGGAGGCAAGCTGTTCCACTGGTTCATTGTCCTCCCTGTCAGGAAATTTCTCCTTAATTCCAGGTTGCTTCTCTCTTTGATCAGTTTCCATCCATTGTTTCTCGTCCTTCCCTCTGGTGCTTTGGAGAATAGCTTGACTCCTTCTTCTTTGTGGCAGCCCCTCAGATACTGGAACACTGCTATCACGTCTTCCCTATTTCTTCTTTTCTTTAGACTAGCCAAACTCAAGTCTTGCAGCCGTTCTTCATATGTCTAAGGGCTTTGATCATCTTAGTTGCTCTTCTCTGAACTTTTTCCAAACACTCAACCTCTTTTACAATGTGGGCGGCCTCTCCAAAGTGTTTTCCTTGGAAGAGAATGTCTGCTGAAGTTAGTTCCTTTCCTACTTCCCTAATTGGCATCTTTAAACCTGACCAAGCTCTAAAACAGTGGTTCTCAACCTGTGCGTCGGGACCCCATTTGGGGTCAAACGACCATTTCACGAGGGTCACCAAATAACGCAGTCCGCCATTTTTTTCCCCTTTTTCCTTAGCTGTGCTCCTCCCTTTTATTCTATTGGCTTTTGAAAGCCAATAGAATAGACTCTCTTGAATAGAGTCTAATTCTATTGGCTTTCAAAAGCCAATAGGAATTGTCCAGGCCAGTGGTTCTCAGCCTGTGGGTCGGGACCCCATTTGGGGTCGAATGACCATTTCACGGGGGTCGTCAAACAAGGCTGTCCGCCATTTTTTTGCCCTTTTCTTTGGCCACGCCCCTGGCACCCAGTGATGTATAAGTGGTTGGGGGTCACCACAACATGGGGACCTGTATTATGGGGTTGCGGCATTAGAAAGGTTGAGAACCACTGGTCCAGGCTGTCTCTGCCCTGCTGAGCCCACCAAAAGTCCCATTCTGCAAACGGTGCTGCACCAGTTGAGTAGTCCTCGACTTACGACCGGTTGAGTAGTCCTCGACTTAGGACCGGTTGGGGGGGGGTCACAGCATTAAAAAGGTTGAGAACCACTGCTCTAAAATGTTTAAATGTATTAACTAAGAGGGAAGATTCGGTCTCCTATCACAGTTGGTAGATTATTTCCAAGAGCAAGCTAGTGTGGCTCAGTGCATAAGCATGCAGGAAGAGCGAAAGTGGGGGGCTTCTGAGTGCCCTTTCTCTTTATTCTCAGTAATAATCGCATTGCCTTGGAAGGAGCTCTTGCGCTTGCTTTGGGCCTGAAAGGAAACAAGAATCTGAGGAGACTCCAGGTGAGGAGCTTTTGGGAAGGTGACCCTGAGATCCTAATAGCCCTGCCGGGTGGGTGATCCAGAGGGTGTGTCTGTTCTTTCCTGTGATCTGCAGATGTCTAGGAACCCCATCCAGAACGAAGGCTGCCTTGGGATCCTCAAAGCCATCCGAGCAAATCCTGGAGCTGCGATGGAGTTTCTGGATTTTTCAGTAGGTGGTTGGTCAGAGAGGGAAAACCGGCTGTCCGAAATGACGATGCAGGGCTGTCCAAATGGATGGGGGAACCGAACACCCTGCGTTATTTATTTATTTATTTATGAGACTTATATACCGCTTTAAGTGCAAGCACTCTCTAAGCGGTGTACACCAGTAAGCAATGTATGTGTGTATATATATATATACACACATACATAAGATCTCCTCACACTCCACCTCAAACTCAGCAACAAGATCCACCCCGCACTTTGGGACAAATCCAAACAACTCGCAGTCTGGAGAGCCGAAACACAGACCACCCTCAAGACAGATACACACACCAACAAACTCCGAAGACTACAAGAATGCCAGAAACAAACCCCTCCTCCCTCACAGCCACACATGAAACAAACAGTGCATAACATCTCAGATAGGATCCTCACCAAAGCCGAAACCAATGTCCTTTCCAAAGGATTCAACTTTGCAGTCACTCCCAAACACATCCCCACTGAAACCATTATATGTGGAGTTGAAACCAGCCTGACCAAAATCAACCCCGACGACGCTAACAGAATCAGACTCAAAATCACCAACATCCTCTGCACCAGCAAGCCACCCAAAAGCAACTTACCCAAAGAGGAACAGACAGCACTACGTAACCTGAAAGAAGACACCAGCATAATAATCCTACCAGCAGACAAGGGCAACGCCACGGTGGTTATGAACACATCTGACTACCAAACCAAATTAACCAACCTACTCCAAGACTCCACATACAAACCCCTAAATACAGATCCCACCACCTACCTGGAAAAAACCACCAGATCCAAAATAAAAGCCTCCCCCATTAGCGAAGAGATCCAGAATCATTCCCAGAGAGAAATCATCCAGATGCCCCAAACTCTATGGTCTCCCCAAGATACACAAGGAAGGAACCCCACTCAGACCTATAGTCAGCTCCATAGGCTCACCTCTACAAAACCTAGCCAAATTTCTCGCCAAACAACTACAGCCCTATGCAGAATCCATCACCTCACACGTAAAAAACTCATTCCAGTTTATAGAGATCATAAAGAAACAAAACTTACAGCCCAGCGACCTACTCGTGAGCTTCGATGTCATATCCCTCTTCACCCAAGTGCCTATCAAAGAAGCCTTGACAGCTATCCAAAACAAATATAACCCCCCCAAACACATCTTAGATCTGACCAACCACTGCCTATCCAACACATACTTCATCTATAATGGACAAAAATACAAACAAACAGAAGGAGCACCCATGGGATCACCCCTCTCACCTGTCATTGCAAACCTCTACATGGAACACTTTGAAACCCAGGCTCTAGAAAAATCGGATCACAAACCCAAACTCTGGCTCAGATACGTAGATGACACCTTCATAATCTGGCCACATGGGAAAGAAAAACTGGACAACTTCCTCACACACCTCAACAGCCTACACCCCAAAATACAGTTCACCATGGAAACAGAAGCTAACAACCAACTTCCCTTCCTGGATGTCTTAGTCTACAAGAAATCCAATGGCTCCCTAGGACACACCATCTACCAGAAGAAAACACACACAAACCGCTATCTGCACGCTCTCTCACACCACCACCCAGCACAGATCAACTCTGTAGCCAAGACACTCATCTCCAGAACAAAACGCTTAGCTGACGAACAACACCTAAAAACCGAACTACACACTCTCACCAATGTACTAACATCCAATGGATTCCAAAGAAATAAGATTACAAACCTAATCCAAAAAGAAACCCCCACTAAAATCCAAGACGAAGAACAAGAAAACGGCAAAGCCCTCCTCCCATACATAAAAGGCACCACAGACAGAATCAGTAAGATCCTCCATAAACACAACATCAAAACAGCATTCTGCACAAACAGAAAAATATCCACCATCCTTAGAAACCCCAAAGATAAAATTGAATTAGAAAATCAAGGAGTATACGAAATCCCATGCACCACTTGTCCCACCACATACATCGGACAAACCAACAGAAGAATAAGTGCACGCATTGAAGAACATAAGAACTCAGTCAAAAAAGAGGAACCAACATCTTCCCTGGTCCAACACCTTAAAGCCACAGGACATGAAATTGACTTTAAAAATACCAGAACCATTGCCAAAAGTGAACATTTTAATAACAGAATAATCAGAGAAGCCATCGAGATAGAAAAACGCCCACACAGCATGAACAAGCGAGATGATACCTCCCGCTTACCAGCCATTTGGAAACCCGCCCTTATTGACAAACGACTCCCTAACACAAAAAATGATACCAGGCCTACACTTACAAAAACCACACAGGATGTCACCACCACACATCCATGCAAAAAGCAAACCCAAAGCCACACCGATGATGAGGCACGACCACAAACCAGAAGCCAGACCAGAGCTGCATCATTAGCCACTTTAAAGCCCTCCAATCCATACATGAAGCAAACTGACACCCTCCATGAAAATGAGGCACGACCACAAACGCGAAGCCAAAAAATAGCAAGGCAGCCCAAAATCTTAAACCCCTCTGCAACTCAGACTAACCTGAGCACAACCAAACAGAACACTCCCCCAGCCAATCAGAGCACAGCCAACCCCCCAGCCAATCAGAGCACAGCCAACCCCCCAGCCAATCAGAGCACAGCCACGCCCCTAACCAATCAGAACACACCTCCACCCAATCAGAACACAGCCAAGCTCCCACCCAATCAGTTCATACCCCCACTGGCAGTTAAAAGGAAGAAACAGCTAAGACCACACATTGCTGCTCGAAGCACAAAGCTGAAAACACCAGCCTGAAGATGACGAATGGGACTTCGTCGAAACGTCGCCAAGACACTTCCAATTTTACGCGGGAGAAAACCCGAACAACCAAAGACCTACATATATATATATATATATATATATATATATATATATAGGTTTTTTTGCTAACAAAGAATAAAGAGAGAATGGTATAGCTATTTCGGGTTCCTTTAACCCTCATCAGCCAAACTTACTCTTCTGAGATTCGAACCTGGGCTATCTGCATGTTAGGCAGATGTTATAACCTCTAAGCCACGGGTTCTCTCCCACTTTGTTAGCTACCAGGAGAGAGACAGGGGGAGGAGATTATATATATATTTACATTGCCCCCAACAATCTGGGTTCTCATTTTACCTACCCCGGAAGGATGGAAGGCTGAGTCAACCTTGAGCCGGTGAGATTTGAACCGCTGACCTGCTGAACACAGTCAGCTAAAGTGGCCTGCAGTACTGCAACTGGCCAGAGTTCCCCAAGGAGGGCGATTTGTGGGCGGTGAAGTTGTGAGAGGCACGCCAAGTAAAGGGAAATCCAGACCAGAAATGCTTGGTGGATGTAATTCTGGGCTCTGCTGTGATCAGATGAGCGGGTCTGCAGACAGCAGAAACAGGAGGATAAAGGGAATAATGAAATTTGTGAAGTTACTGCAACTGCACAGTTTAAGGGAAAGGAGAGGCAGCCACGGCTTGGAAGTAGCTTGCATTTCTTTCCTCCAGAATGCCTCTTCGCCTTCCCAATTTCCTTCTGGTCTCCCATCCGAATATCAACCAGACCTGCCCCTGCTTTGTTTCCAAGCCTAGAAAAGGTTGCAAAGTTAGGTTAAGGTTAGATTAATGCATTAAGCAAGGTAAGGCCTATTTACTCTGGAGGTGCTGCATTCTAGACTGGAATACAGCCGGGGCTCTCTGTGTGTGTGTGTGTGTGTGTGTGTGTGTGTGTGTGTGTGTGTGTGTCTGCGGAATAGACAAGGAAAGGCCATTTCCTCAAGCCCTGAAGATGAGGTTTCCAGCTCAACACAGCACAGCCCCAGCTGGGCCTTGGTCTGATCCAAGGAAGGTCATTTTCTGTCCTTCTCAGAAAAAAGGCTAATGTCCACTAATGTCCACTCCTGGCCTGGTCTCTGTCTTTGGGTGAGCCCGCCTCGTCTGGCTGCCTCTCTCCTGGCCAGCAGCAGCTTTGCTTTGTGGCTGTGGGTTGGACTGCACGGGAGCACAAGATGGGAGACTGGTTTTAATCTGGCCTGAGACGGTGGCGGCTTCAGCGCCAATCTGCTCACTGCCCGGCGTTCCTCTTTTCAGGCGATTGTGGTGAAGAAGGACTTTGTCCGAGCCTGTGAGGCTGTCCAGGAACTTCTCCCCAGCCTTCTAATTCAACACGACGGGACCACGCGCTTGTTCAGAAGAGAATTTCCAAAGGTGCAGCAAGTAACTTCGCTTCTCTGGGGAACACGCTTGTCTTTCCGTGGCTGGATGCCCTAAATGCAGGGGTGTGTGTGTGTGTGTGTGTGTGTGTCTCTCCACCCTTGCCAACCTTAAGACTTGACTTCAAACTCCTACAACTCCATGAGGGATTCTTGGGAGTTGAAGTCCACATCTTAACATTGCCAAGTTTGGAGACCCCTGCCCTAATGTGCTGTTCCTTCCTACCACTGTCTCAGCTCAGACAGGCCCAGCAGCGCATGTGTGTGTGTGTGTGTGTGTGTATGCCAAGGGGATCAGTGCGATGGAAAATGTGCCGTGTTGTCAAGCCACGAACATCCCTGTCATGGCTGCCTTTGCTCAAATCCTAGAACAGAAAAAAAACTCCGCTCCATAAGATTTAGAAAAAAAAAAGGTACTTTGACGAGGAAAGAATTCACTGCAGCCATTTCTTTCCTAGTCAAAGTACCTTTTCTCTAAATCTATGGAGCGGAGAGTTTTTCTTTCCTAGGATCTGAGTATAGAGGCAGCCTTGACAAGCACAGTGTCGCACACAACGCTAAAAGCCGGCAGCACAAGGTCCCACAAGGGCAGGGCTTTTCAACCAGTCACGTGACTGTGAGGAAAAAACATTTAAATATTTAAACCAGGGGTCTTCAAACTTGGCTCTTTTATGACTCGTGGACTTCAACTCCCAGAATTCCTGAGCCAGCATGGGGGAACTATGGCCCCCTCATGACTCGTGGACTTCAACTCCCAGAATTCCTGAGCCAGCATGGGGGAACTATGGCCCCCTCATGAATCGTGGACTTCAACTCCCAGAATTCCTGAGCCAGCATGGGGGAACTATGGCCCCCTCATGACTTGTGGACTTCAACTCCCAGAATTCCTGAGCCAGCATGGCTCAGCTTGGAAACCTCTCCCTTTCCCCTCAGCATGGCTGGCTCAGAAATTCTGGGAGTTGAAGTCCATGAGACATAAAAGAGCCCAGGTGGCCTACCCCTGCACTAGATCCTTTCCTGGCCAGATAGAGGATTCCAACTCTGCATGCCCCTAGATAGCAAGCCTGGTTGACATTCGTTAACACCTGTTCCCAAAGCCAAGAGTCTTCCTTAGAACCCAAGGCCAGGATGCAGCCCAGCTAAGCTCTAGATCTAGTTGCTTTCCTATGACACCTTTGCATCAGGAAATGGAGAAATCTGATGGTGCCAGTGGCATTGACTCCTTAGGGGACTTGTGTGTGTTCTCACATTTGCAGGTTTCCTAAGAGAGATTCTTGGTGGCCCTGGAAGACCAGCCTTTTCTGCTTTACGTCCTGGAAGGGAGCATCCTGTGCAACGTCTGACGATGCTTAATAGAGACTCAGGCCTTGTGATCCCCTCCCCACCGCCGTGCTTCTCTTTGTGCTAGCAGCAGCAAGTTGTGTTAAATGCCACTTTTTTATGTGCTGAATTATTGCTCCTTCCAAGGATTAATCCTCCTTCCAAGGATTTTGGTACCAAAATCCTAGCAACTTAAGACAAGATGCAGCAAGAGCTCCTAGCAGTTTTCCCTTTGAGGCAAACTCTCCAGTGATCTGATTAGACAGGTGGTCCGTGTGGACCTCAATTGAGGCTAACAGGAAGCAGGTAAAAATCTGGGAAGGAATTTTGGATGCATTTCTTCTCTCTCATTCTGCAGAGTTTGGGAACCGCTCTTCTATCCAAAAATCTATCCTGGTAACTTTTTAGCCAGATTATTTTGTGTGCCATCCTCAATATAAACCTTTCCTCTCGCGCCATCTGCGCTGCTTCCCCTGAACCCGTTTCCAGTTACCAGGATTGTACAGCAGACTTCCAGGTAGGACACTGTCCCAGAGGAAGTCTCCCCCTCCCTCCCCCCCCAGGCAACCCAGTCCTGTTGGCCAGAGGAGGTGAAGGTGAGTTTCTGCTTGGGGGAGGCCATCCGTAGCCCCCCCTCCCCACGTTAAGGGATCTTGACACAGCTGTAGTGAAATTCAGGGATGGGGTGGCTGTGGGGGTCCAGGGCCACAGAGATGCAAGGATGCATGTGGTCAGCTCCAAGCCATATTGAAGGTTTGGGGGGGGGACAGAGAGAAAGATGAAGTTGGGGAGTGATGAAGGGGAGCCCCCCCCACTTCCAAATTGTCTGAGTCAAGCAATGGATCGCTTACACGTAGTTTGCTCAATAAGGTGCCATTTGTAGTAAATAATGAATCACACTCCAGCTCTTTATTTTTTTTTTATTTTGGAAAACTTCAGTTTTGCCAATTTTGTCAGAGAAACATTGCGTCGTTCCCACGTTCAGTGTATTCTGCCCAGAGTCACTTTGTGCGAGATGGGCAGCCATCTAAATTTACTAAATAAATAAATAAATAAATCTAAATCTAACCACTGCTAAAACTCTTGTGTCGGTAACCTTTAACTGGGGGAAAGGGTACATCATAGGCCAAAACCTTTATCAACCAGTATACCTCAGGTGGGCTAACTTACAGAGTGTCTCCAAAATCTGGGAAATATAGCTCTGGCAGAGTTGAAATTTGGCAAATTTTATAACGTATTTTATGATTAAAAATTAGCATTTTATGATGTAATAAAAATGTCACAACGTTTTTCCTCTGACCAGTGTTTGTGCTGTACAATTCAACATGGGCTATTTCCAAGGCTGATACATCTCTGAATATCACCCTGAATTTTTAAGAACTTTTCAAGTATGTTAGAAGCTCTGCCATTCGTGAAGATATTGAGGAATCTGGCAAGGAAATATTCCTAAAACAGTGACCCATCAGGGCACGGGTTGTCTAGTAAATAAATAAAATTCACTGGGTGAATTAGCATAAGGATCTTTATATGTTTCAACAGAAAAATGGACTAGAGAGGAAAGATTACTGTTCTTTCTTTCTGTGCCATGAATCTACTCTGGAAAAGACATGCCTCATAAAGCAGATTTATTCAGCATATTTTTTTTAAAATGGCAAGAAATGTAGTAATTCTTTAAAGATCTGCTATTTCCATAAGCTTTTGTTGATCACAGACTTTAAGGTGCCTACAATTATCTTTGTTTTGATGCAGAAGTTAATATAGCTACTGGACATTGGTTCAGAACTAGCCTTAAATGCATCATGTAGTTAATTCCTAATTAGGAAGATTGGAATCAGAAAGTGACCTCAGGCTGGCATTGGGAGGCTGGAAGTTTGCACACCAATTTAAAAGGATTAGCAAGATCTTTGGGGTTTTATTCCTCTTGAGCATGAAGTAACCAGAGCCGTACACTATCTTGCCATTAATTATTTGACCAGGCCAATTAGCCAGCTAGTCCCCTACAGTTTTTAAATATTTCTTGGGGTTTGAAGGCTGGAAGGACGCATGGGAGAAAGGCGTTTGATGCTCAGTGTGCTACAGTCCTTTGAATGCCACCAGGTGGGTGTGATAACTCTGCAAGACAAGCTTATGGAAAGATTTTATCAGAAGCCACCGTTTTGTAGAAAGAATGGGGTGATCTTTTTCAAAACAAGTCTATTCTATTCGTGCGTTTTGATTTTATACAGAAGCTGGATCCTTTAAAAAGTTTCGTACTTAAATGCAACCTATTAAACTTCTTGTGATGACTGTTGTGGGGTCATCCAGCAGAAGGAATGGAGACTCACATTTGTGTTAACGCTCAGCCTTGAGGCCCCTCTGAGCAAAGGGACTTGAGGTGAGCGGTGGGCACAAGGTCTTGCCCTCGTCTTTGGTGTGATGTGCCAAGGACGCACTCCCCCAAAGAGGTAGAGCTGGGGCAAGCCATGCGCCTGCTTTAAGAAAGCTGAAATTGATACGGAATTAACACTCGAGATGGTTGTTCCTCCCATATTTAACACCGGTCCCTTTTTTGTCATTTACAACTGGGGAGCGACAAGGCAGGGCTTTAGGCTGCCCGCACACTACAATCCTGGCTGGAACAACCTGCACAACATCACTTGAGTAACTCAACAGCCCAGCAGAAACAAGTCTTTATCGTTGGTTGGCTCCTTGGCCAAATGCCATTGCACACAAGTCACCACACGAAAGGAAAAGGATGTGGCCAGGGCAGCCACACACACACACACCACACAGTTAAGCAGGAAGCAGAGGAAGTACGCAATGGAAAAAGGGAATGAGGCTGCCAAGCAGGACAAACCCAGCGAGGAAAGCTGCAAAAATCGAAGCAGGATCTTCCTCTACATCAAGGGTAGTCAACCTTGGCTCTTTTATGACTCGTGGACTTCAACTCCCAGAATTCCTGAGCCAGCTGTGCTGGCTCAGGAATTCTGGGAGTTGAAGTCCACGAGTCATAAAAGAGCCAAGGTTGACTACCCCTGCTCTGCATTATTGTCCAAAAATGAAATTTGACTTCTCCACCCATTGCAACTTTCCCCAAATGTTGCTTCCACCCTGCTCCAATCCCTCCTTCCTGGACCCAGAGGCAGCCCCTTCTCACTGGAGAGGGTCCACCACGCCTACCTGCTCTGTACCCCCTCCAGGCAGTGCCGGCTCTTGGGTGAGGGCAGCCCCCTTGCAACCCCGTGAGAGGAAGGCAGCTCCGGGTAGTTGAAGCACCTTCCTGTACGGCTTCCAACCAGCAGAGTTCCAGGGCAAGAAAGAGCCTCGTTCTCACAACACGTGGGAAGAACAGAACCAGCAGAGAGGCTGTGTTCACACAGCATGCCAAGCCAAGCCAATTACAAGCTATATCTCCCCCACAGGCCCAGCTGGGAAAATGTTAGCAATGAGATCTTTGTGTGTGTGTTGGTTGTGTGTGATTTAGAATGTTGCACCAACCTATCATTGGGTCATTCGGGATATCTGGCAAACCAAGATAGCCTTGGTTCTCCTTTCCCAGCTTCATCCCGAGGACACAAGCGGAGGTACCCGCCAGAATCTCTGCCTTGTGTTTCTGGGGAGTCCAGCCTTGGTCTTCTTCCCCATCCATCTCCCTCCACCATTTATCTCCACATCGGGGCAAGGGGCTGCTTTGCTCTAGAACAGTGGTTCTCAACCTGTGGGTCGGGACCCCATTTGGGGTCGAACGACCATTTCACGGGGGTCGCCAAACAACGCAGTCCACCATTTTTCCCTTTTCCTTAGCTGTGCTACTCCCTTTTATTCTGTTGGCTTTTGAAAGCCAATAGAATAGACTCTCTTGAATAGAGTCTAATTCTATTGGCTTTCAAAAGCCAATAGGAATTGTCCAGGCTGTCTCTGCCCTGCTGAGCCCGCCAAAAGTCCCAGTCTGCAAACGGTGCTGCACCAGTTGAGTAGTCCTCGACTTACGACCGGTTGAGTAGTCCTCGACTTACGACCAGTTGGGGGTCGCGGCATTAAAAAGGTTGAGAACCACTGCTCTAGGGCAGGGGTCCACTACCCGGGCCACGGCCACTACCGGGCTGCGGCTTATTTGGAACTGGGTTGCAAAAGCGGTGGGCAAGCACGCGCTGCTTACACACAACCATCCCCTCCAGCCCCCCACTGGTCCAGAAGGCTGGAAAGGTTGGGGACCGCTGCTCTAGGGCTGTCCAGGGGGAGAAGAGAGAGAGAGAGTCAAAAAAAAATCAAGATGGCCATACCACAGTTGGAGGATGGGGCTCTTGTTGTCTGGTTGAGGCTGCCATGTTGACTTTCTTGACCAGCCTTGGGTTGGCTCCTGCTGTGGCCAACCGGCAGACAATGCCTTGCTGCAATTAGTGGCCTCTTGCTTCCTCTCAGTCAATTGTGCTACCCCCCCCTCCCCAGGCTGCCCCCCTGGCATCTAAGAAGCATCCCAGGGCCAGGCGTGTGCAGGAGGAAGTGTGCTTACCATACTTTTCACACCTGCTCTGTTCCAGAATGGCCAAAGCCCTGAACATCCTGTCCTGCGGTCACCCCAGCCCAGCATCTGTGCGAGACAGGAAATGCTCGGGATCTTGGTGTGCCCAGGTCGCCTTCGATTGTGCCCGGGCACCGTGTTCGAGACAGACAGAAACGGCAAAGTCGGCTCGTCTCAGAGTCACGCTGTCCTTCTGAACAGTCCTTGTCCCCGTCCTGGGCTGCAGGACCCCCATCCGAGGGGCAGCATCCCGGGGTACACAGCGCACCCTGCCTTCGTCCACTGAGGATCAAGGTGCTGAAATGGCAGGCCAGGCACTGCCTTTTGGAGGGCAGGTCCGAGAGGAACGGGAGGGGAGCAAGTGGACGGCACAAAGCGGGGGACGGGACCCCCTTTGCTGGCAGAGGGCGGTTTAGCTGGGCTGCAACACGGGACGCAAGCGAAGGAGACGTTCCTCAAGGGTGTCCGGCAACAGGAAGAGTCCAGTCTTCCAGTCAAGAGACGCGGGGCCAGGTAAAGAGAGGAGCAGTGGGGCGACCTCCCCCCCTCCTGCCTGAGCTCTTCTCTGCCCAGACCGGACAGCAACGGGAGGGACAGGGGCGAGGGACGCGTGGCCTCTGCTGGACCTTCCCAGGTCATCTCTTGGCTTCTTCACCACTGTCCTGGGCTTCCGTCAGGCCCTGGGCTGGCTCCGTCCTGGGCTGCACGGGCTGCACCGTCTCCTCCAGGCTGCTGCTAGGGAAGACCACGTATCGGGCTCGGACGTCCTGTGTCGGGGAGTCCCGCAGGTTCTCTTTGCTGTGCCAGATGCCGTAGCTGAAGTAGACCAGCAGGCCTGGAAGGAGAGCGAAGAAGGGGAAGGGCCAGGTCAGCCCCCATCCTGAACCCGGAAAGGAGCTGCAAGGGGGCTGCGTCCCTCGACTGTTCAAGGGGCCCCACGGAAGATGGCGGGGCCCCCTTCAATCCCACCTTGCAGAACCATCTTTCCTGGCTAATTCATAATCAAAGCTTAAGGTTGTCCCAAAGGTGCTTTTTTTTTCTGGAGGCAATTGGACTTCCTTGTTTTTCTTTCAAAGACGTTTTGCTTCTCATCCAAGAAGCTTCTTCAGCTCTGACTAGATCAGGGGTAGGCAACCTTGGCTCTTTTATGACTCATGGACTTCAACTCCCAGAATTCCTGAGCCAGCCATGCTGAGGGGAAAGGGAGAGGTTTCCAAGCTGAGCCATGCCGGCTCAGGAATTCTGGGAGTTGAAGTCCACCAGTCATAAAAGAGCCAAGGTTGCCTACCCCTGGACTAGGAGGGAGCCCCTTCATGACTTGGGGACTTCAACTCCCAGAATTCCTGAGCCAGCATGGGGGAACTATGGCCTCTTTATGACTTGTGGACTTCAACTCCCAGAATTCCTGAGCCAGCCATGCTGAGGGGAAAGGGAGAGGTTTCCAAGCTGAGCCAGGCTGGCTCAGGAATTCTGGGAGTTGAAGTCCATACGTCATGAAAGAGCCAAGATTCCCCACCCTGATCTAGATCATGATTTGATGAGTTTAAATCAGGGGTAGGCCACCTTGGCTCTTTTATGACTTGTGGACTTCAACTCTCAGAATTCCTGAGCCAGCCATGCTGAGGGGAAAGGGAGAGGTTTCCAAGCTGAGCCAGGCTGGCTCAGGAATTCTGGGAGTTGAAGTCCATACATCATGAAAGAGCCAAGGTTCCCCACCCTGATCTAGATCATGATTTGATGAGTTTAGATCAGGGGTAGGCCACCTTGGCTCTTTTATGACTGGTGAACTTCAACTCCCAGAATTCCTGAGCCAGCCACGCTGAGGGGAAAGGGAGAGTTTCCAAGCTGAGCCAAGCTGGCTCAGGAATTCTGGGAGTTGAAATCCACGAGTCATAAAAGGGCCAAGGTTACCTACTTCTGGCCTAGGCCTAGGCCGCTTTATGACTCATGGACTTCAGATTGGGGGACTCTGTTATACAGTCACGACAGTCCCCTTAACCTCTGTGACCTCCTTGCAAATGTCCCTGCCTGGACTGCTTGGGATGCAACCCCTGTTCCAGTCAGCATCCCAGGTTTACTCCACCTTCCTATATTTCTTCAGATGCCCCGTTCCAGGTGTGCCATTTTGTAGCCCTCTTAAAACTTACCTGCCACCAACCAGATGGAGAAACGCAGCCAGGTCATGTAGCTGAGCTTCAGCATGAGGAAGAGGTTGATGAAAATACTCAGGGCAGGCGTCAGCGGCACCAGCGGAAGCTGGAAGGGAAGGAGGGCATGGATCATAGAATCCCAGGGCTGGGAGGGGCCTTGAGTCAAAGCCCCTGTGCAAGGCAGAAGCTCTTATTCCTTCACAGAGAAATGGTTGCCACAAACAGGAGGGGGTCAAACTATTCTCCAAAGCACCAGAGGGAAGGACAAGAAACAATGATGGGAAACTGATCAAGGAGAGAAGCAACCTGGATTTAAGGAGAAACTTCCTGACAGTGAGGACAATTAACCAGTGGAACAGCTGGCCACCAGAAATCGTGGGTGCTCCATCACTGGAGGTTTTTAAGAAGAGACTGGACATTCACCTGTCTGAGATGATATAGGTTCTCCTGCTTGAGCAGAGGCTGGACTAGAAGACCTCCAAGGTCCCTTCCAGCTCTATTCTATTCTATTCTCTTCTCTTCTCTTCTCTTCTCTTCTATTCTATTCTATTCTATTCTATTCTATTCTATTCTATTTCTATTTCTATTCTATTCTGTATTCCACTCTACTCTATTCCACTCTATTCTATTCTATTTTCTATTCAAGACTTCCAGTCATGGAGCGCCCAGAACTTCTGGAGATAAGATGTCCCATTGATTGATTCTTCTCACTGTCAGGAAATTTCTCCTTAATTCTAGGTTGGATCTTTCTTTGGCGAGCTCAGGTGTTCCCAAGTGCTGGGGGGGGGGGGCGAGAAGAAGGGACACAACCCTCAGGTGTTTTGAACAATGACCCCCACTTCTCTATGACAGCTATCATGTCCCACCTAATTCTTCTTTTTGTTAGATCTAGACATACGTAGTACTGGATCCAATCTGGATCAGAGATTTTGTCTTCTGAGCTTTTGGAGTCATGCTGGATCCCATCCTCAGCGAACTTCTCTGTGTGACACGAGGGTGCGCCCCAGTGACCGACCTAGATTGGATCCTGCAACATTATCCTGGGACATGTATATTCGCCTTCATTCATCTTATGGTTTATCCTTCCGACCCCCTTATCATCTTTGTTGCTCTTCTCTACACTTTTTCTAGGTCTCGGTGTCTGTTTTGCATTGTGGTGATCAGAAGTGGATGCCGTATTCCAAGTGTGGTCTTGCCAGAGCAGCATTAAATGTTAACTTCACACGTCATCCTGAGGCTAGCTCTCTATTGATCAGCCTAGGGTTGCATTGGCTGTTGTGGCAGCTGCAGCACATTACTGGCAGAGGACCAGCAGACTGGTTAGAACTGCATGGGAGACACGAACACCGTGGGGCTGCTGCTCAGCTCCCAACAGATGTGCAAAAGGGCTTTGATGCCTAAAGGACTCCTCCTGGAATAGGATTTAGAATAGATTAGAGCTGGAAGGGACCTTGGAGGCCTTCTAGTCCAGCCCCCCACTCATGCAGGAGAACCTATACCATCTCAGACAAGTGATTGTCCAGTCTCTTCTTAAAAACCTCCAGTGATGGAGCGTCTACAATTTCTGGTGGCAAGCTGTTCCACAGGTTAATTGTCCTCACTGTTAGGAAGTTTCTCCTTAATTCCAGGTTGCTTCTCTCTTTGATCAGTTTCTAACCATTGTTTCTCGTCCTTCTCTCTGGTGCTTTGGAGAATTGGTTTGACCCCTCTTCTTTGTGGCAGCCCCTCAGATACTGGAACACTGCTATCATGTCTCCCCTTTCTTTTCTTTAGACTAGCCAAACCCAAGTCCCGTAGCCCTTCTTCGTATGTTTTGGTCTCCAGGCCTTGGATCGCCTTAGTTGCTCTTCACTGAACTTTTTCCAAACTCTCAACCTCTTTTTTGTGATATGGTGACCAAAACTGGCTGCAGTATTCCAGGTGTGGCCTTACTAGGGTTTTATAAAGCGGTACTAATATTTGAGCCATCACGGTCTGGCAAACAATGAGGTTTGGTTTCCTGAGAGAGATAAAAACCTTGTTTGCAGAAAGTGCAGTGAGGAACTCCAAAGGAAGTGCTGAAGGACCTACTTTGGGGAAAACTGAAGCTGCACTGTGGATAGAGTGTTCGCACAACATGCTCTCCTAAAACTAAACCACATTACTCATTTTCGTGGAGAAAACCTACCTGTGTGGTCACCAAAGGATTTGGTAGCACATAATCAATCATGGCTTAATGCAATGTTAGGACCCACCCATAAGCACTGGGGCCTTGTCAACCAGGGAAGCCTCCCAATCTCTGCTTGCTGGACTGAAGGACTTGTCCCCCCAACTCTGCAGGTGGCCACAGCCCAATTTGAGAACATAGTTCCTTGCAGTTTCAACATGGACAACCAGCCTGGTCATCCGGTCTGCTCTGGCCTAGCTGTGTTTGGGGAAGGGGATGCATTTGCCCCCCCAGGAGACACCCACCAACTCTGCATCAGAGCATTGAAACTGCCAGCTTCCCTCACCTGGAACGTCTGGGTGGCCTGCTTCTGCTCATGGACGCCAATGAGGACAAGGCTGCCTGTGAAAGCCAGGCTGGAGAGCAGGATGAGCAAGGTGTAACTCCAGGTGGGCAGGTGGAGCTGTGTCTTCCCAAAGACCAGGATGGATGTCAAGCAGAGGGCTGACACCATGAGGACGACCACGGACACGCCGACCACTTCGCCAGGGTAGAAACCACTGAGGAACTCCAGGTAGGGTTCAAAGGCTGCCTTCAGCTGCCCTGGTTCACGCAAGCTCCCCGCTTTCTCTTTGCCCACCAGCTGCAGCTTATCTGAGAAAGACTCGTATTCCTTGGGTTCGGTGGTGCCCGCGGCCTCATCTGGTGTTGGGATGGCCTCGGTTCTCCCAGGGGCTTCGTGGGCTCCAGTCTTGCCTTGCTGGAAGCGCAGGATGATCACGCTGGCTGCGACAAAGGTGTAGGCCAGGAGTGTGCCAATGGACAGGAACTGGACCAGGGCCTCCAGGTCAAAGATGAGCGAGAGGACAGACATGAGGAAGCCAAACACCACGATAGCCACCACGGGCACCTGTGTGCGTGGGTGAACGCGGGCAAACACCTGGAAAAAGAGCCCGTCCTCTGCCATGGCGTAGACAATCCGAGGCAAGGAGAAGAGGTTGCTGAGAAGAACTGTGTTCATGGCTGAGGTGGAGGAGAGACAAAAGACAAGCTTGGGGTCACAAGGTGCCTCCGAGAGGACTGGGGAGTGTTGGAGAAGGTGGTGGTACCTGCAGGGAGCCCCTTTTCTGCAGAAGACCAGTCTCTGGGCCAGGGGTAGGCAACCTTGGCTCTTTTGTGACTCGTGGACTTCAACTCCCAGAATTCCTGAGCCAGCCATGCTGAGGGGAAAGGGAGAGGTTTCCAAGCTGAGCCAGGCTGGCTCAGGAATTCTGGGAGTTGAAGTCCACCAGTCATAAAAGGGCTAAGTTTGAAGACCTCTGGTTTAAATATTTAGATATTTTTCCCTCATGGTCACATGATCAAAATTCAGGCATTTGAACAGGGGTAGGCAACCTCGGCTCTTTTATGACTCGTGGACTTCAATTCCCAGAATTCCTGAGCCAGCCTGGCTCAGCTTGGAAACCTCTCCCTTTCCCCTCAGCAAGGCTGGCTCAGAAATTCTGGGAGTTGAAGTCCACGAGTCATAAAGCGGCCTAGGCCATAGATAGGCAACCTTGGCTCTTTTATGATCATGGACTTCAACTCCCAGAATTCCTGAGCCAGCATGGGGAAAACTTTGATCCCTTCATGACTCGTGGACTTCAACTCCCAGAATTCCTGAGCCAGCATGGCTCAGCTTGGAAATCTCTCCCTTTCCCCTCAGCATGGCTGGCTCAGGAATTCTGGGAGTTGAAGTCCACGAGTCATAAAAGAGCCGAGGTGGCCTACCCCTGCTCTAGGCCAGCGAATCTTGCTGTCTTTTTTTGGGAGTGGACAGCACCCTCCTTCTACACCATTGGACACTGGGAGGACAGCAGAAGAAAAAGCTAGGAAAGCTAGCATAAAAGAAGAGCCCTCCCCCCAGGGTGGACCTGACCAGGGACTCATCCAACCGGTATTCTGGGTTCCTCAGTGGCCACCCAACAGGTCTTGCAAGCTGTGTGGAAGCAAGGTGGCTTCTCTCTGCTGCCAGCCAAGATTGCTGCTGATTGTCAGAATCCAATTATACTTCATCTCCAGTTATCAATTATAGAAAACCCCATTTCTGCCCTCTCTGGATTCTGCCATACAAGAAAGAGAGGGGGGTGAACAAAGGGGCTTTATGGCCCTCACTTCCTTCGGTACAACTTCAAAAGGATTGAATGTGGATAGCACCAAAAGGCCTTATCATAACAAAGGAGGCTATTTACCTTTCATGTAGTTTTCTCTGAAGTCTCCCTCCAGCCGGCAGAAAGGAAAAGGGGGTGGGAGTGTAATGCCTGAGACTGTCGCTGGAAGAAGGGGGTGATTGGGTGGAACTATTGGGGAACCCCTTAAAACCTTGAATGGGAGAGCTTGGACCCCAAGCCCTGTCTAGAACGCCTGCAACCATTTTCTCTTAATAAAGGATGCCTGTTGGAAGAACTATTCCAAGAGTTCTGTCTTCTTAAGATGCAAAGTGGGGTGGATCCTTACATTGATGCTTCAGGAGGAGCAAGCAGCCATCAAAAGCTGCTGAGACCCGGGTCCCTCAGGAATTTGTCTCACTCCTCTCGCATACGGAATATAGAATAACAGAGCTGGAAGGGACTTTGGAGGTCTTCTAGTTCAACCTCCTGCTCAAGCAAGAGACCCTATATCACTGGTGGGAACCTATGGCACGCGTGCCAGAGGCGGCACTCAGAGCCCTCTCTGTGGGCACGCGCGCTATGCCCCGGAGATGGCAAACACCCCTCTTCAAGCAGCTGTCCGCTAACTTGTTGAGGTCCCACAAGGTTGGATGCATCCCAGCACGGCTGGCCTCCGCTGAACTCCTGTGTCCGCCCCCCAGAGGTCCCTGCCCACTAAAGTTTGAAGAGAGTTAAAGGTTTTTATGATTTTGTTTATTGTACAATTAGTAAACTTAAATAGATTATGTTTAATGTGTTTGTATAATCCTGTATTTTGCTCTGGGAAGTCGGTGGGTGGGGGGTGGGGGGTGGATGAGTTGAAGTTTAAGTAGTTCAGATAAAGTAGAAATAGTCTTATTGTATATAATATTAATGTTTTAATTTTGAGAGAGGAACTGCTCGGGCATTCCCCCTGGACCGCATCAAGAGGGAGGAGAGGAAGGTGAGAAGTAAGTAGGAAGGTGGAGGTGAAGGAGGAGAGAGGGTGAGTGAAGAAAAAGAGGGAAAGAAGTAAGTTGGTTTGAGGTGAGATGCGGTTTGGGGGGAAATGGGCGGGCAAGACCGAATGTGGCATGTATCAATTTGTTTTGTTTTTTATCTGAAGTATTTGTAAGATCGTTATGTATTGTAAAATTGAAAATAAAAAAATTTTTACAAGAAAAAAAAAGAGTCCCTGCCCACAAGCAACATTGAGGTGACCATGCCCACCTTGGCCATACCCACCCATTCTGCCATGACCACCACAGCCACACCCACCCAGTGGGCCATGCCCACCTGGCACCCGGCAATAAATAAGTGGGTTTTGGGTTGCAGTTTGGGCACTCGGTCTCTAAAAGGTTCGCCATCACTGCCCTGTACCCAATGCCTACACCTCCCACACTGCCAAGCCTGCATCTCTCCTGTCTAAGCTTCATGAGCTGACAGCCTGACACTAGCAACGGGAGAGGGAGAGGGAGGGGGAAAGACTGGAGTGTAAGGAAAAAAGGGAAAGGACGGAAGTCCAGCTGAGCAGTGTGAGAAGCTTCAGCCAGCCAACATCAACTATTGACATGCAGAGCTGAACAATATACAAGCACCTGATTGGACATTTGCAAATAACCAGGGGAGGGTGGGGGAGGGGGGAGAGGAACATTTACTTCGTGTTCTTTGCACGGGAAACCTGAGATTCAGCTTATGCTACTTCTGTAACCACTTAAGTTTCAGTAAAGTAGACTCTTGGCAGAAGCAAATGGCCAGGAGTCTTTCTTTGCTAGATGACAGAGCGGGACGGTTGACACACATGCTACTTCCTTTTTTTAAACCCGAATGCCCCAACCTCCAACCATGGTAATTCTGAATGCTAACTTGAAAGAGAGGGACACAAACAACTTTTCACACGTGCGTAAACTCCTTGCTAGTCTTTCCTTTCTTGCTTCGGGTTGTTTTTAAGTGGACTAGCATGCAGGGAGTGTTCTCTAACTTGGTGCCTTTCCGTTATGTTTAATCACAGGTCCCAACCTACCCATTTAGGATGAGGCACAGCTATACTGCGTCTTTGCATCATCTCTTGTGTTGTGTTGGCCAACTTCCCCAGGCAGTGCTCGGTCCTGGCCTACAAGGGACCATCTCCTGGCCTCTCCTACCAGCCCCCTGAATCCTGTGCCAGCCCTTTTGGAGGAGCCAACTTTGGTAAGACCACATTAGGAGAAAGACTGGAGAAAGGGCACCCAAGGTGTCAGCCAGAAGGTATCGGTGACCCAGGCATAAGGGAACTTACCACAAATGGAACCGGCGGCCACAATAAAACCTGCCCAGGAATAGCCCCTCTTGTAGAAGGCGTCAGCCAAGGCCGAATCAGGATCCAGCGAATGCCAGGGCACCATCAGCGTCAACACCACGGACACAAGGATATACGCTCCGGTGGCAAGGCTCAGTGAGATGGCAATGGCCCGCGGAATGGCCTTTTCCGGGTTCCGGGCCTCCTCGCTGGACGTGGCAATAACATCAAAACCCACAAAGGCGTAGAAGCACGTGGCTGAGCCGGCCATGATCCCGGAGATACCATATGGGGCAAACCCTCCTTCACTGGCACTCCAGTTCTGGGGCCTGGCCAGGATGAATCCCATTATCAGGATGAAGAGAATGACTCCCATGCTGATGGCCGAGAAGACGTGGTTGAGCCAAGAGGAGAATCGGGCCCCGAAGGAAATGAAGGCCGTGGCTATGAGCACAATGCCAGACGCCAAGAAGTCCGGATAATGGGCCAGGAAGGGTACTTGCCAAGTGCCAGCATGGACCTCTGTGAAGTTCTTGATCCTGTGGTCAAAAATGGAATCCAGGTAGCCACTCCAGGCTCTGGCAACAGCTGCTCCACCAATCATGTACTCCAGAATGACGTTCCAACCTATGAGAAAGGCCCAGATCTCGCCCACCGAGACGTAGGTGAACATGTACGCAGAGCCCGTCTTGGGCACCTGGGCCCCAAACTCCGCATAGCAGAGGGCGGCCAGCAGAGAGGCAATGCCAGCAACGATGAAGGACACCACGATGGCCGGTCCAGCTGTCTCTTTAGCAATGGTGCCAGTGAGCACGTAAAGGCCGGAGCCCACCATCCCGCCAATGCCCAGCAGCGTCAAATCGACTGTGGTCAAGCAACGGTTGAAGGTGGTCTCCATGAGGTCATCTTGCAGAGTCTTCACCCGGTTGAGCTTTTGGCAAAAGCGGGCCAGGTCCCCAGAACGAAGCCGCCGGCTCGCCATCTTGGAGAAGTAGGCCCTCTCCCCCAGCCACCGAGAGGCAGAGCCAACTGGCAGAAAGACCAGGAAGAGATTAAATCCCTGCTCGAGGCAAAAATAAGCCCAAGAAGGATGTCAGAATCCAATTATATTTCATCTTTAATCATCAAATATAGAAAACCCCAATTCTGCCTTCTCTGGATTCTGCCATAAGAGGGAGAGAAGGGGGAGAACAAAGGGGCTTTATGGCCTTCACTTCCTTCAGTATACTTCTAAGGATTTGAGTGTGTTTATTGCAACTTCAAAGAATGTAGTTAGCACCAAAGAACCTTACCATAACAAAGGGGCTATTTACCTTTCATGTAGTTTATCTGAAGTCTCCATCCAGACGGAAGAAAGGAGCAAAGGGGTGGAATTGTGATGCATGAAACTATCACTGGAAGGGGGGGTGATTGGGTGGGACTGCTGGGGAACCCCTTAAAATCTTGAATGGGAGAGCTTGGACCCCAAGTCCTGTCTAGCACGCCTGCAACCACTTCTTCTTAATAAAGGATTCCTGTTGGAAGAATTATTCCAAGAGTTCTGTCTTCTTAAGATGCAAAGTGGGGTGGGTCCTTACAAAGGAGAAAGAAGCAAAGGCCGCCATCTTCCTCTGGGTATGAAACAGGCAAACGAAGGGTGTCTGTGAACGTCAGAGCGACACTGTGAGATTCTCTAAATAGCTGCTGCTCGGTCTGTGCTGAATGGGAGCCAAGGAGACAATGCCCAGCACACGTCTCTGGAAACGGGCTGGAAACACGGATATTCTTCCGCCAGGCTTGCACTGCTAGAGAGCCCCCACCTGAACCAACACCCCTTTCAGGAGGCACAAAATGTCTCCTTCCAAGGATGACCCTTTCTGGAGAGTTAGGAATGTCGTTGTCATTGTCGTCTCCTCCCCCCCCCCCAGATGGCTTCCTGGAACAGGGGTGGTCCAACCAGTTCCCAGAAAAACGCCTTCCAGAACAGGAAAGGGTCTCTGGAGCAGTGCAGTGGCCTGCAGGTGATCCAGCTCTGCTTGACCCAGGTGAACTGGGTTGTGTGAATCCAGCCCCGTGACTCCTTTTGCTCCCTCCCTGCATGCAGAATTCGCATCCCTAAGCCTGAGACGAGGGTCTCTGCCTCCTGCATTTTTGAGGCACTCAAAACTAGCAGAGCCCCTAACTCAAGTGTTTCTCAACCTTGACCATTTTAAGGCATGTGGACTTCAACTCCCAGAATTCCACAGCCAGCAATGCTAGCTGTGGAATTCTGGGAGTTGAAGTCCACAATGCCTTAAAATTGTCAAGGTTGAGAAACACTGCGCCCTAACTGGACATGATGGTCTGTGAGGGGCGATCCAGGAGAAGGTTGTCTCCCCAAAATTTCCAGAGTAAACTCCAGGGCGACTCTCTCCAGCCGAGTCCCTGGCGGCCGTGCCTTGGAAATATGGGGAAGGGGTGCTGATTTGGATTTTCTACTTCAAACCCTCCTGTCTCAGGATCCGGTGGATGAGCGCAGATAACAAGTCCAGGATATTCTTTGGCAGCTCTTGTGAAGGAGGATTCAGACATACAGGGATCCCTCGGTTTACAAGCCTTCGTTTAGCGACCGTTTGAGGTTCAAGGGCGCTGAAAAAATGACTTACATCTAGCCCCCCACCCTGACAGCCACCACTGCACCCCCACGAACATGGGATCAAAATCTGGGCGCTTGGCAACTGACCGGTATTCGTGACGGTTGGCAGCCATCTGCAACTGGCTTCCAGCAAGCAAAGTCAACGGGGGAAGCCACAGTTGCTTAATGACCACATGTTTCATTTAACAATGGCAGGGATTCCCTTTAGAACAGTGGTTCTCAACCTTTTTAATGCCGCGACCCCCAACCAGTCATAAGTCGAGGACTACTCAACTGGTGCAGCACCGTTTGCAGAATGGGACTTTTGGCGGGCTCAGCAGGGCAGAGACAGCCTGGACAATCCCTATTGGCTTTTGAAAGCCAATAGAATTAGACTCTGTTCAAGAGAGTCTATTCTATTGGCTTTCAAAAGCCAATAGAATAAAAGGGAGTAGCACAGCTAAGGAAAGGGGGGGAAAAATGGCGGACTGCGTTGTTTGGCGACCCCCGTGAAATGGTCGTTCGACCCCAAATGGGGTCCCGACCCACAGGTTGAGAACCGCTGCTTTAGAAAAATGTCAGGTGTGACTCAATCACTGCCTTGCTTAACAACAGACATTTTGGTTCCCATCGTGAGCACAAGCTGAGGACCACCTGTACAGGAACAGGAGGGAAGGATCAGGAGACGGGCAGCTACGTCTGGGACCGGCCCTTGAAGAAAGGCTGCTTGCTTCAAATACGGCAAAAAGGCTCACGTGGGAACTGGTGGAGACTTCTATCTTGCTCCAGAGGGCCGATTGTGGAATTGTGGATTGCAGGGACAGAAAGGTGTGGGAAAGGAACCCCCCCCCCCCAGGCTGAGCAGGGCTTCTGAGCCAGTGCAGTCCTCAAATGACCCCTGCCCAGAACTCCTGGAAGCAGTGGCACCTCAGCCTGGAATGGCCCGGCTGTCTTCCGAAGGGTCTTCGGTCCCAGGAAAAGACACGCCTGCTCTAAGAGGCTCCGGGTGAGAAAGGCGCCCCCTGTCCATCCAAAGCACTATAGGTAAATCCTCGGCTTACGGCCTCAGTTCAGCCCAACATTTCTCTTGTTAAGTCAAGGCATTGGTTCAGTGCGTTTTGCCACGTTTTACGACCTTCCTCGCCACAGTCGTTAAGCGAACCACTGCAGTTGGTAAGTTAGTCAGACGGTCGTTAAGTGAATCTGCTTCTCCCCCCCCCGTGACTTTGCTCGCTAGAAGGTCGCAACAGGGGATCTTCTTGGGAAACAGAGGGTCGTAAGTAAGAACCGGCTGCCAAGACTGACCTTTGATCCCACGGTCGTAACTGTGAAACACACGGTCACAAGTCCCAGTTCCCAACGACCTGGGCTGCGGAGCCCCTTTGCTGGGATCGGCTCCCCAGAGAGCGGGCGGCTCCCGGGGATCTGCTGCGCAGGGATCCGGCTGGGATGCTGGGAGGGAGGAAGCAGCAGGTGGGACCCTCGGAACGCCAGGCCTCCCCCCAGCCCGAGGGGGTCCCCAGGGGGTCCCAGCCGTGGCCCTTCTGCCCCCCCCCCACCGCCGCCGGCGCTGGGGAAGCGACCTCGCCAAGGCGGCGCGGTGGGGAAGGGGGGCAGCGCCGCTCCATCCCTCCCGCGCCCACCTGCGCTCCGGCCGCCCCCGGTCCGCCCACGCCGGCACAGCTCCGGCCGCCCCGAGGAGGGGAGCGCCAGGCCCGACTGCCGCCTTACCTGTCCGGCTGCCGCTGGAGGCTGCGCTCCCGCCGCCGCCGCCGCCGCTGCTGCGTCACCGCCTTGCGAGGATCCGGCCGAGGCGGCGGCGAGGCCGGCGTGGCAGATGCCCGGGGAGGGGTCGCTCCGGAGGCTCCGCCCGCCCGGCCGCCGCCCCTCCCAGCAGGTGGGTGGATGGTGGTTAGGGATCCGCTAAGCCTTGGCTTGTCCAATGGGGGTCTGTAGACCAGCCGGGGCTAGGGAGGGGGGGGAGCCGCGCACAGCTGGGTCCCGAGCCCCCCCCCCCCAGCCGGCTTTCCCGGGCGGGGGGCGCCGCCTTCAGCAAACCATGGTTAGGTAACCTTCAGCAAACCATGGTTAGGTAAATGGGAGGGGGGGGAGCCGTGGAGCCCCCCCCAGCCGGCCTTCCCGGGCGGGGGGCGCCGCCTTCAGCCAACCATGGTTAGGTAACCTTCAGCAAACCATGGTTAGGTAAATGGGAGGAGGGGAGGGCGTGCAAGCAACCAGCGTGGCGGAGAGACCCCAGCGGCGGCGGGGGGGGGGTCTCGGTGCCCGTGGAGACCCTCTGGCTCAACGTCTCTTTTGGGCCACGACGGAAGGGAGCGCTTCCCGTTTGGGGCGATGGGGGAGCCGGGTTGGGAAGCGGCCCGGCTCGCTCTGCCTCGCAAGGCATCGGGTGGGGAGGGGGGCTCTTTCAGGGAAGCGCCACCGCCTCCCCCCCCACGAAGTCCCCCCCCCAGCGCATTTGATATCTTTCTTTGGAAGAAAAAATCAGCAGTTTCTGCCATAGAAGACTGAACAGGCTGGTCCTGAACTTAACAACTCGGACCCAAAATTTCTATTGCTACAGGGAAACGTTTGTTAAGTGGCTTTGACCACCCTCCTTGCCCAAGTTGTTAAGTGAATCATTTGTTAAGTTAGTGCAGGGGTAGGTCAACCTTGGCTCTTTTTATGACTCGTGGACTTCAACTCCCAGAATTCCTGAGCCAGCACAGCTGTGCTGGCTCAGGAATTCTGGGAGTTGAAGTCCATGAGTCATAAAAGAGCCAAGGTTGCCTACCCCTGAGTTAGTGACACAGTTGTTAAGTGAATCCAACTTCCCCCATTGACTTGGCTTGTCAGGTTGCAAAAGGGGATCACGTGACACTCCCCCAGACGCTGCGACCGTCGTAAATATGAGTCAGTTGCCAAACGTCCGCATTTTGATCACATGACCGTGGGGATGGATGGATGATGGTCGTGTAAAAATGGTCACAAGTCACTTTTCTCAGTGTCCTTGTAAGTTCGAACAGTCACTAAGTGAACTGTTGTAATTTGAGGATTACTGTATGGCAGTGATGGCGAACCTTTTAGAGACCGAGTGCCCAAACTGCAACCCAAAACCCACTTATGCATCATCGGGTGCCGGGTGGGGGTGGCCCATTGGCTGGGTGTGGCCCATTGGGTGGGCGTGGCTATGCTGGTAACAGCAGACTGGGTGGGACTAAAAAGTTCAATCAATCAATTCCAACTTTGCAAGATCTTTTTTTTCCCTGTGAGAAGTTGAAATTGATCCATTGATTGAATCTTTTTTTTTTTTTTTGCACATGGTGGCAGAGGCCTAAACAAAAAGCTTTTATAAAACCCAGCTGAAGGCCTAGGACTAGGGCGATGGCGCATGTGCCCACAGAGAGGGCTCTGAGTGCTGCTTCTGGCACCCGTGCCATAGGTTCGCCACCACTGCTATATGGTGTTATTTTCCCAGCACGGGATTATTTTATTAACGTTATTTTAATGGTTATTTTACCCTGGTTTTCTCTCCTGGTAAGATAACTGAATAAACAAGTTTTAAATGTGGAAATAGAAATGGGATACAAATCCTGCACGGTGCATTTTAAACATAGCTAATGCACCAAGAGAACCTGTTTGGTGTCCTGACGGAGGACAGAAACCAGCAGATCCAGTCCTGCCTTTGGCATAAAGCCAGCTGGGTGACCTTGGATCCTTCATTCTGCCCTTGGAAGGTGGCGACAGGATTGATCCCTTCCGAAAATGTTGCCAAGAAAACCGCAGTTGCTGGGAGCCAACGCTGACTCAAGACACACAATAGCATGCTAAACAAGTTACTTTACTTTGTTCTAAAATAATGGTATAAACTAAAAAAGAGAACAAAATAGAATGATCCTTTCTCTCTTTTACAGTACCAAAAATAGAATCCTGGGTATGAAAGTAGTCAAATTTGGAGTAAGAAATTAAACTAAGGTCCTCTGGAAGCACCTAGATGGGGCAGCATGCAAATCTAATAATAAATAAATTGAAAATAAAAAAAACCCTATTTTGTCCAGCTGGGCTTCTCTCATCATGCCCCAATTCAGGGGCAGAATGGACAATTTTCATTCAGCCAACCTACCATCATCTATCATCATTTTTTCCCTAAGACTAGCCACCATATATTCAAGGCTTTTCAGATAAGATGAATTCCAGAGTTCTGGAATTTAATTTAGCAGCATATTCATATATTTAAAACTCAATTTCCTTCCCCCAAAGTTAGTTTACCAACCATGAAAGAATTTCCATTGGATTTGACCAAACCAAACACCAAACCACACCATGAAAAGTCTGTTCAAATTTGTTACATTGCCAGTTTAATAATAATAATAATAATAATAGTAGTAAAGTTGGAAGGGACCTTGGAGGTCATCTAGTCCAACCCCCTGCTTGGGCAGGAAACCCTATACCAAACAGCTGTTGAAGGAATGCAGTCACTTCCAGAAATAATTTTTTGTTGGACTAACTTGCTTTTAAAATCATAAGAAACATTTAGTATTTCTTAAAATTCAAGGCCACATGATTCAGCAATCATTTGTGCATTCTAAATTTACTATTATCAAAATTAATAACACTGTTAGCAATATTATCTAATTATCCCACTTTCAACCTTTGATACTTTAAATTAAATTTAAATTAAAGTTTGATACTTTAATTTCCTTCTGGAGAAAGCATAAATTCATCGGTGCTTTAAATTTCAGAGTTCCTACTGTACTTGGAACAAAGGACTTGCCATGTGATGTGGGTCTATACATATGTTGTATATAGTATGTTTTAGGTGTGTGTCATGTATGTGTTTCACTTTGAGAGCGGGCAACTAAATTTCATTTTTGATGTGTGACGTTGTGCCCACAGTAAAAAAAAATGACAATAAAGGTTATCTAATCTAATCTAATCTTTTAAACCTGTCCAAGTTGGGCTTGCAATGGTCCATATGATTCCATATAATACAAATTAAAACACATTATGGGTTGAAGTTTAAGTAGTTCAGATAAAGTAGAAATAGTCTTATTGTATATAATGTTTTAATTTTGAGAGAGGAACTGCTCGGGCATTTCCCCTGGACCGCATCAAGAGGGAGGAGAAGAAGGTGAGAAGTATGTAGGAAGGTGGAGGTGAAGGAGAGAGGGTGAGTGAAGAAAAAGAGGGAAAGAAATAAGTTGGTTTGAGGTGGGATGCGGTTTAGGGGGAAATGAGCGGGCAAGACCAAATGTGGTGTGTATCAATTTGTTTTATTTTTTATCTGAAGTATTTGTAAGATTGTTATGTATTGTAAAATTGAAAATAAATTTTTTTACAAAAAAAAAGGTCCAGTATTTATTGACATAAATAGCATCTTTGGGGAATTACACATTTCCTTTTAATTGGACTAGAAAACTTTTTTATCAGTAATCAGTGGTATGGGATGAAAGTATTTTCTTATCTGTTTTTATCAAAAACAGCTTATCTTCATTCCCTACTCCAAAACCTTAAATTGGTTACCATGTCAAAGGCCTTTTCTGCATCCTGCGATACCAAAATAGTGGCTTTCTTTTTATTGGAATGTCTGTGGGGGTTCTCGGTCATCCGGGTCATAGCTGTCTCAAAAGGACTCCCCCCCCCTTTTTTTTTTCTTCAAAAGACAACTGGACTTTTTTTCCTTGAGGAAAAAGAACAAAACATTTCTTATTCAACAAAACGTTTTGTTCTTCCTCCTCAAGGAAAAACAGTCCAGTTGCTTTTTGAAGAAAAAAAAGGGGGAAAAAGCACTTTTTATTGGAATACAATACTATTTTTTTAAAAAATCAAATTATATATATATATATATTTTCGAGGAGCACGAAGCTGAAAGCACCAGCCTGAAGATGACGAATGGGACTTTGTCGAAACGTCGCCAAGACACTTCCAATTTTACGCGGGAGAAAACCCGAACAACCAAAGACCTACATACAAACACCCGCGAAAACCTCAGAAAACACACACACACACACACGCGTACATAAAACTTTCTATAGTCATAAAATTTAATTCTGGAAATTTCCCCATCCACAGGGTCCTTTCCTGTTCCCTCTTCCAAAGCCCCCTTTCCCAAGATGAAAACCTGCACAGAGCACCACAAGCCCCTTTCTTGGTCGGGCTGAATGTTGATTGTTGCTTCTGCCATTTTTTCCCCCAGCTGCTCTGTGTTTTCCATTTTTTTTGTCTATTTTAAATACTGTTAGCCACCTGGAATCCTGTGTTTGAGATGGGCAGCCATAGAAATCTACTGAATAAATAAATTGCGTTTATTGCCTTTTTTTTAACCGCCTGTATTTCCTTTATTACAATTTCCAAATATCGACCTTTAGATATTTTGGAAATCCCTCAAACGTTCCGAATAAAAACCCAGGACCCCCATTCTGAGAGAGACCCAACTGGAGCTGAGCTCCTCCGGGTGGGGTCCACAAGAAAGCCCTGGGCCTGCCGGACCCTGCCTTGTTCTGCTGTCTCGGGAGGCAAGCCCCCTAAATAAAAATAACCGCTCGTCATCCATTTTGCCACAAGACCCCCGGGGGGCTGATACTGGGTGTAGTGGGAGATGTTCCCGGGTTCCTTCTTAAGAAAAACCCGGTCTAGGCAGGAGTTCCTTTTGCTGTAGCTTCCGAATGAGCTCCAGCAGATTCATCTGGAGCGTCAGTTCCTGGGAGAGAAACAAGAGTTTATGTTTAACTTCGGACAAAAAAGCAGGCCAACTTCTTCCACCCACCTGTCGGCAAGGTAAAGCCCACCCACGTCCACCTCCTGCCCATAAAGAATGGATTAGACCAGTGGTTCTCAACCTGTGGGTCGGGACCCCATTTGGGGTCGAACGACCATTTCATGGGGGTCGCCAAACAACGCAGTCCGCCATTTTTTTCCCCTTTTCCTTAGCTGTGCTACTCCCTTTTATTCTATTGGCTTTTGAAAGCCAATAGAAGAGACTCTCTTGAATAGAGTCTAATTCTATTGGCTTTCAAAAGCCAATAGAAATTGTCCAGGCTGTCTCTGCCCTGCTGAGCCCGCCAAAAGTCCCATTCTGCAAAGGGTGCTGCACCAGTTGAGTAGTCCTCGACTCACGACCGGTTCAGTAGTCCTCGACTTACGACCGGTTGGGGGTCGCGGCATTAAAAAGGTTGAGAACCACTGGATTAGACTCTCATCTCGGAAAGCAGTAGCCCTTCCCTCCCCCCCCAATCACCTCAGTAACAACAACCCTCAAGGTAACTTTAATCTTCTTTCTGCTGAGGGCCCAAATCATCATGTAGACCTGGCCTGTTAAAAGGTTTGGACTCTGGGTGCAAGAGGTGGCTTTGGCAAGGAGGAAGATGAGGCAGAGGAAGCAGAGAGCTAGAAGGGTCCTTGGAGGTCTTCTAGTCCAGCCCCCTCCTCAAGCAGGAGACCCTAGTCCATCTTAGACAAGTGACTGTCCAGTCTCTTCTTAAAAATCTCCAGTGATGGAGCCCCCACAACTTCTGGAGGCAGGCTGTTCCACTGGCTAATTGTCCTCACTGTCAGGAGGTTTCTCCTTAATTCCAGGTTGCTTAATGGTAGGTGGGAATGACCTTGGGAAGAGCCACAGCCTAGACAACTGGCAATCTGTCTCTAGAGGAGGGGGAAAAAGTGTCTCAGAAAGGACTCTGCCTAGTTTTCAGGAGAATAAAGAAGAAGGACAAGAGGACCACTTTCAGAAGTTGCAAGAATCTGTTACTATCCCTTTCCAACAAGAGTGGCATTAATGCTCATGGCAGTCCTCCTTATCTGGGGTGTGTGTGTGTGTGTGTGTGTGTGTGTGTGTGAGAGAGAGAGAGAGAGAGAGAAAGAGGGGAGAGAGAGAGGGAGAGATGGAGGGAAGGAGAGAAATAGGGAGGGAGGGAGAGGGAGAGGGAGGGAGGGGGAGGGAAGGAGAGAGAAATAGGGAGGGGGAGAGAGGAAGGGGGGAGGGGGGGAGGGAGGGTGGAGGAGAGAAAGAAATAGGGAGGGAGGGAGAGGGAGGGGGGGGAGGGAGGGAGAGAGAGAGAAAGGGGAGAGAGATGGAGGGAGAGAGAGGGAGGGAAGAGGAGAAGAAATAGGGAGGGAGGGAGGGAGAGAGGGAGGGGGAGGGAAGGGAGAGAAATAGGGAGGGGGAGAGAGGAAGGGGGAGAGGGGGGGAGGGAGGGTGGAGGAGAGAAAGAAATAGGGAGGGAGGGAGGGAGGAGGGGGGGGAGGGGGGGGAGGGAGGGAGGGAGAGAGAGAGAGAAGGGAGAGAGAGATGGAGGGAGAGAGAGGGAGGGAAGGAAGGAGAGAAATAGGGAGGGAGGGAGGGAGAGAGGGAGGGGGAGGGAAGGAGAGAGAAATAGGGAGGGAGGGAGGAAGGGGGGAGGGAGGGGAGGGAGGGAAGGAAGGAGAGAAATAGGGAGGGAGGGAGGGAGAGAGGGAGGGGGAGGGAAGGAGAGAGAAATAGGGAGGGAGGGAGGAAGGGGGGGAGGGAGGGAGAGGGAGGGAGGGGGAGGAGAGAAAGAAATAGGGAGGGAGGGAGGGAGGGAGGGAGAGGGGGGGAGAGAGAGAGAGAGAGAGAGAGAGAGAGAGAGAGAGAGAGGTTAAAAGGCACCAAGAACTAAGGCAGGCTGGAGGGCAGCTGGTTAACTCTGTTTCTCAACTTGCCCCCTTCTCATCCAGCACTTTCCTCCTTGCACCAGCCTGGCCCTGCCCCATGTTCCCAGGAAGGCTTGAATCCTGAGGACCAGATATCATTGTATATCAGCGATTGTGTGACCTCTGCGGATGCCATATGCTAAATAAATAAATAAGGGCCAGTGCTGGGTCTCCTAGCCAGACCTCCTCCACGGCCCCTGGCTATGGCCAGCTGCTACTGCCTCCCTTTCTATGGCTCACAGCCCTTTCGTAGGGGAGGGGGCCTCCACAGCCTCCCTTTCCCCTTCTCTCTTCCGCCCTAGACAGGAGCTGATTATAGAACAGAACAGAACAGAACTGAACATAGAATAGAAAATAGAATATAGAAAAGAATAGAATAGAATAGAAAATAGAATATAGAAAAGAATAGAATAGAAAATAGAATATAGAAAAGAATAGAATATAGAATAGAATATAGAATATAGGAATATAGAATAGAATAGAATAGAATAGAATATAGAATAGAATAGAATAGCTGGAAGGGACCTTGGAGGTCTTCTAGTCCAGCCCCCTGCTCAAGCAGCCTACAAGTCTCTGTCCTGGTGATCTGGATATGGTCCCTTGCATCTCTCCCTCCCTGCTAGATCCTCCAGGGTGGGCGGCTTCCCCCCCCCCAGGGCAGGGGATCCACAGCCACCCTTCTTGTTGGCCCTCAGCTTTGGGCAAGGAAGGCTTCCGGCCTGAACAGACCTGGGGGCTGGTGGTGATGTAGAAGCCCGAGACGCCAGCTTTCTCCAGGGTGCTCTGCTGGTCCACCACTTTCTGATCCAGCTCCAAGACGATTTTCTCGTCCATCATCCGTTGCTCGGTATGAATTCGCTGCTCCACGGCCTGAGCAAACAACAAACCCCAAAAGCCAAAGAAGAACCACCGTTAACAGCAACTGGCATTCTGAACGATGGGCGAAGAGGGAAGTGCAAGTGCTTCTCTCTGTCTCTCTCTCTGCACATGGCAGAGGAGGCTGGGAGCCACAGTGTTGCCGACCCGTGCTCTGGGCTGAAGGCCTAGAGGAATACGTTCCTTCCCACCGAGACTGGTCCCGCCTTAGCGGCTGCGGCTTTTACCTCCATCTCTCGCTGCTGAGCGGCCTTCAGGAGCGGCAGGTTGTGCGGCTGGCAACTCTGCTGGTCTTCCTTGTGTTTGCGAAGGACCTCCTGCTTGAGGGCTGGCGGGAGGAGAAAATCAGAATGAGCCCCCCCCCCCAAGACGCAGCCCGTCACCCTTCGCTAGCGAAGTGCAAAGACTCGGTGGGCGAGGCCCGTTTGGTGCATGCGGCTCACGTACCTCGATGCTCCATCTGCAGTTTGAGCCGCTGGTTGTAGAGGTTTCGCTCGGTCAGATGCTGGATGTCCAGCAGGCCTTGCACGATCTCAAAGACAGTCCCGTCAAGGAGGGCCAAGGCTAGGTCGCTGAGGATGGTGTAGGACAGCCTCTGCTGGGAGGAACTGGGGGGGGGGAGAGAGGAAACATCTTCATTATCAGGACTGCGCTAAATGGGGGGCATCTCAACCAGGAAATCTCACCCACAGGAGAGGCCACTGAGTTGGCCTCTTTCTCCCAAGCGCGAGGCTGCTTGCCTTTAAGGACTGCAATAGGGGTTTGGATGCAACTGGGCCCAATCCCCATGACCAGTGGTGGCGAACCTATTGCACGGGTGCCAGAGGTGGCACTCAGAGCCCTCTCTGTGGGCACGGGCGCCGTCGCCCCAGTCCTAGGCCTTCAGCTGGGTTTTATAAAACCTTTTCGCTTTAGGTCTCCACCGCTGTGTACAAAAAAAAAAAAAAGGTTCAATCAGTCAATTTCAACTTCTCGCCGGGAAAAAAAAGATCTTGTAAAGTTGGAATTGATTGACTGAACTTTTTAGTCCCACCCAGTCTGCCGTTACCACCCAGCCACGCCCACCCAATGGGCTACACCCAGCCCTGCACCTGAAGATGCATAGGTGAGTTTTGGGTTGCAGTTTGGGCATTCAGTCTCTAAAATAGCGGTTCTCAACCTATGGGTCGCGACCCCATTTGGGGTCGATCGACCATTTCACGGGGGTCACCAAGCAAGGCTGTCGGCCATTTTTTTCCCCTTTTCCGGCGGGTGCCTTACCTCCCTTGGGCTGGGCCAGCTGGTGGCCCAGCCGGTGGTCGGCCTGCTCCGTCTCTGCCGCTTTCCAGCTACGCCTCGGCCGGCGCAGGGGGCGGCACCACGCATGCGTGGCGCTCCCGGGCAGGGAAAGTCCTCGACTTACAACCGGTTGGGTAGTCCTCGACTTATGACCGATTTAGTCCTCGACTTACGACCGGTTGGGGGTTGCGGCATTAAAAAGGTTGAGAACCACTGCTCTAAAAGGTTCGCCATCACTGCCCATGACTCTGCATTTCTGCTTGCTGGGTCAGAAATGTTGAAAGCAACTTGTTGAAAGCTGGGTTTTCACAAGCGTTAAACCCAGTCAACAGAGGCCGTGGCGGTACGCAGACACATAATACACTGCACCCTTGCAAATAGAGTACAGCTGGGGGGGGGGAGGTTTCTGCACTGAAGCCCTCCGCCCGATTACCATTTTGTGTTGGGTCCAAGCCAGCCCCTCCCCAGCCCTTATTTCCAAACCTTCAAACTTTTTTTAGCAGAATGGAATAAAGGAATATAGGGTTGGAAGAGACCTGGGAGTCTTTTAGGACAGTGGTTCTCAACCTTTTTAATGCCGCGACCCCCAACCGGTCGTAAGTCGAGGACTACTCAACTGGTGCAGCACCGTTTGCAGAATGGGACTTTTGGCGGGCTCAGCAGGGCAGAGACAGCCTGGACAATTCCTATTCAAGAGAGTCTATTCTATTGGCTTTCAAAAGCCAATAGAAGAAAAGGGAGGAGCACAGCTAAGGAAAAGGGGGAAAAATGGCGGACTGCATTGTTTGGCGACCCCCGTGAAATGGTCGTTCGACCCCAAATGGGGTCCCAACCCACAGGTTGAGAAACACTGATTTAGGAACAGGAGACCCTCTTGCCAGTGATGCACAAAAGCAGACTGATCCCCTTGGGTAGATTTGCATCTTCAGGGCCTGCAGTATAATTTGCTCTCCATTTCCCATTTCCGCTGCCATTTCTCAACTGTTTATAGCAGGCTGCCTCTTCCATGGGGAAAACAAGAGTTTCCCTGACTAAATAAGGCCAGGCGACAGAGACATATGTGGAAGACAGAAACTTCAAACAGTGGGAGAAGAAAGCAATGAATTTAAAAGATGTTTTTCCCTTTCTCAATCAGAAAACAATGCAGCGGGTATATTGTAATGGGTCTAAATGGGACAGACTGAATAGTTTGGGTTTAAAATTTGTTGGTCTTTCCAGTCAATGGACTAGATTCAAAGTCTGTCAATGCTGTGCTGCTAAAATCAGAATAACAGAGCTGGAAGGGACCTCGGAGGTCTTCTAGTCCAGCCCCCTGCTCAAGCAGGAGTCCCTATATCGGGGGTCTTCAAACTTGGCCCTTTTATGATTTGTGGACTTCAACTCCTAGAAATCTCAGCCACGTACACTGGGGGACATGATAGCAGTCTTCCGATGTCTCAGGGGCTGCCCCAAAGAAGAGGGAGTCAAGCTATTCTCCAAAGCACCTGAAGGCAAGAGAAGAAGCAACGGATGGAAACTCATCAAGGAGAGAAGCAACCTGGAACTAAGGAGAAACTTCCTGACAGTGAGAACAATTAACCAGTGGAACAACCTGCCTCCAGAAGCGGTGAATGCTCCAACACTGGAAGTCTTTAAGAAGAGACTGGACAGCCATTGGTCTGAAATGGTGTAGGGTTTCCTGCCTGAGCAGGGGGTTGGACCTCCAAAGTCCCTTCCAACTTATTATTATTATTACTATTAAGATCCCTGCCTTATATCATTTCAGACCAGTCTCTTCTTAAAAACTTTGAGTGATGAAGCAGCCACAATGTTTGGAGGCAAGCTGTTCCATCTGTGAGCTGTTAGAGTAGTTAGACTCAGTCCTGCTGGACAATGGGACACACCAAGGTCTTGCCCTAAACACAGTCAAGCCTGCTTCCAACCCCTGACTTTAGAAAGCCAACAGCAGGCCACTCAGCCGCTCAGCAGGACTGGAGTGCTTAGTGGAGCTTCTGTAACAAGAGGCAATTCACGTCAAAAGAGCCAAAAATGACACACAGACAGCTTTAGTGATGAGTTTGATTGCTTCCTTAAAGACCTGTGTGTGGCCATGGCTGTAGATCAGGGCTTTTCAACCAGTGGTACGGGTACCACCTGTGGTCCATTGGCACCTGGCAGGTGGTACGCGACCATCCTAGAAAAGTGGTAGTGGGGGAGGGGAATGGGCTGAACCGGTGGCAGCACTGCACAAGCCTGAGCGAGAGACGGCTGGAGCTGCAGGGCTGTCAGGACTCAGCGGAAGCACCAGAATCAGCGCTTCTTTGGGGCTGTCAGGGCTCAACGGAAGCGCCAGGGTCAGTGCCAGGCTCCAGCTGGAGCTCAGCGCTGATCCTGGCACTTCTGCTGAGCCCAGAAGAAGCGCCGATCAGCTGGAATGAAATATAATATAATCATAGGGCTGGAAGGGACCATAGAGCATGGCTTTTCAACCAGTGGTACGGGTACCACCTGTGGTCCATTGGCACCTAGCAGGTGGTACGCGACCATCCTAGAAAAGTGGTAGTGGGGGAGGGGAATGGGCTGAACCGGTGGCAGCACTGCACAAGCCTGAGCGAGAGATAGCTGGAGCTGCAGGGCTGTCAGGACTCAGCGGAAGCACCAGAATCAGCGCTTCTTTGGGGCTGTCAGGGCTCAGCGGAAGCGCCAGGATCAGTGCCAGGCTCCAGCTGGAGCTCAGCACCGATCCTGGCCCTTCTGCTGACCCCTGAAGAAGCACCAATCAGCTGGAATGTTGCAGCCTCTCCAGGGTCTTGTGATTTACATTCAAATGCTTGGCAACTGATTCATATTTATGACAGTCACAGTGTCCCAGGGTCATGTGAAGTGACCAAAACCTGCTGCAACCACCCAGTAGATGGGGGGGGGGATAAAAACCAAACACCCCAACCCCGCTGCCAATCCTCAACAGAAATGCTCACAACAATGAAAACCTCGGACAGGAGGAAGAGCGCAGCCGGGTGGGCAGGCAGGTGTCTTGCTCGGCTGGCATGGGGGGGGCACTTTTTTCAGTGCCATTGTAACTTCGAATAGTCACTAAGTGAACTGTTGTAAGTCGAGGACTACCCGTACTTTATCACTTTTTTCCTTTTTTGGGGGGGTCATCAAGTTTTTGACACCTTGCTAGGCGACTGGTGGTACTCGGATGTTGCCATATCCTAAAAGTGGTACAATGGGTGAAAAGGTTGAAAAGCCCTGCTGTAGGCCACCCAAGTGGAGAGGAGCCAGTGCCCTCTGATAGGAGGAGAAGGTAGGTGGGTCATCTCCTTGGGAATTCTGACGGCTTTGTGACTTCATCCCTGCAGGCTAAAGCATCAGTTACTGACAGTTATCAGTTATCAGAGCGAAGATGCCATCCTGGAGATAGGCTGCCCTTCCCTGCGACTCTGGGCAAGCTCCCCTCCTTTCCTGGCCCACTCTCAGAGGGGTGAGTGAGGGAGAGAGTCGGGGTTAGATTTTGGGTGGGGGTCTGGGTAAAAGAGTGAGGGGCAGGCTGAAGGGGAAGGGGAGGTTGGGAGGGGCAGGACCAGGGCGGAGGGGGCAGGGAGGGGAAGGGGAGAAAGAGAAGGTAAAAGGGGGAGGGGGCGGGAGGCGAGTGGGAAAGGAAGATGGGGAAGGGGAGACGGGGGGGGGGCAAAGAGTTTTTTTTTTAAAAAAACGCCTTTCTGGAAAAGATCATGTTAGGAAGTTGGACCCAGCCTGAAATCCGCCTTCCCCCATTTCAGAGGCGGCTTCACACGGCTTGATAGCCAAACCGGCATTAAGACCCCCCCCCCAAAACCAGGCCCACCTGGGGGCTTCCGGGTAGCTCCCTCTCAGCCTCCCCCGGACCAGGTGGGGAAAACCCCACGGCCGGAGGGCTGGAGCCGGGGGCAGAGCGAGAGAAGTGCCCGCCGGCCAGTCCGGCTGCCCTGAGCGAAGCCCCTTCCTCTTCCTCCACCCGCCCACCCATCCACCCACCTACGTACCCACCTACCTACCTACCACCCATCCACCTACCTACCTTACCTACCCACCCACCTACCTACCTACCGACCCACCTACCACCCACCTACCTACCTACCTACCTACCTACCACCCACCTACTTTACCTACCCACCCACCCACCTACCACCCACCTACTTAACCTACCCACCCACCTACCTACCACCTACCTACCTTACCTACCCACCCACCTACCACCCACCTACCTACCTACCACCCACCTACCTTACCTACCCACCCACCTACCTACCTTACCTACCCACCCACCCACCTACCACCCACCTACCTAACCTACCCACCCACCTACCTACCTTACCTACCCACCCACCTACCACCTACCTACCTACCTACCACCCACCTACCTTACCTACCCACCCACCCACCTACCACCCACCTACCTTACCTACCCACCCACCCACCTACCAACCCATCCACCTACCCACCCACCTACCTTACCTACCCACCCACCTACCTGCCACCCACCCACCCACCCACCTATCTACCTGGGCAGCTCCTTCACCAGCTCCTGCAGCTCCGAGAGCAGCTGGTAGTGCCGCGCCTGCTGCCGCGTCGGACGGTCGCCGCCGCCTCCTCCTCCGGCCTGGGTCCCGCCCGCCTCGCCCCCCGGGAAGGCAAAGGCAGCCCCGAAGCGCGCCATGCATGGCGGAGGGGGAAGACGCAGGGAAGGGGGGGCGGAGCGCGGCGGCGGCTTCTCGCGCGAGCCTGCAGACGCCCCGCCCCTCGCCCCGCCCCCCTCCGCGAGCCAAGACGGGCGGGGGCTTCCATACACACACACCCTTAGCTGCAGCTGGTGCTGCTGTTGCTCCGGCGCCCGGGAAAAGCGCGGCCGGGGTCTCCTCCTTGCGATGGTTGCAAGCTTGCGTCTCGATGGATGCGATCCTAAGTCTGGTGGCATTGCACCTCCACCTCCGTATGGCTGACTCGGATTCCCTCTGATTGCTTTGTTGTTGTTGTTAGTTGCGAAGTCGTGTCCGACCCCTCGCGACCCCATGGGCAACGTTCCTCCAGGTCTTCCTGTCCTCTACCATCTTCTGGAGTCCATTTAAATTCACACCTACTGCTTCAGTGACTCCATCCAGCCATCTCATTCTCTGTCGTCCCCTTCTTCTCTTGCCCTCCATCTTTCCCAGCATCAGGCTCTTCTCCAGGGAGTCCTTCCTTCTCCTTAGGTGGCCAAAGTCCTTGAGTTTCAACTTCAGGATCTGGCCTTCTAAAGAGCAGTCAAGGTTGATCTCCTCCAAGACTGACCAGTTGGATCGCCTTGCAGTCCAGGGGACTCGCGGGAGTCTTCTCCAGCACCAGAGTTCAAAGGCCTCCATTCTTTGGCGCTCAGCCTTTCTTAGGGTCCAACTTTCCCAGCCATACATTGCAACTGGGAAAACCATGGCCTGGACTATACATACTTTTGTTGGCAGGGTGGTGTCTCTGCTTTTTAGTATGCTGTCTAGATTTGCCATAGCTTTCCTCCCCAGGAGCAAGCATCTTTTAATTTCTTGGCTGCAGTCCCCATCTGAGGTGATCTTGGAGCCCAGGAAGATAAAATCTGTCACTACCTCCATTTCTTCCCCATCTATTTGCCAGGAATTGGGAGGGCCGGATGCCATGATCTTGGTTTTCTTAATGCTTGCAAGGATGCAAATCGCGTAGCCCACCCTCCACCTCCCCCATCCCAGCCTGGGCAGCCTCTCCTGTTGGGCAGAGCGCTTGGAATAGTTCCATGGGAACCTTCATATACAGTAACTCTTTGATAAGCTGTTTTTCAAATCTGAGTCTTCCCTGCCACGTCTCTAGCCAGAGGGCTTTTTTTGCGATTTTTGCAATTCCAGCACCTGCACGGGAAATTCAGGTGATCAAAAGATCTTTATCAGGATCCAGTCCAAGCCGGGAATAAACAAAATGGAGACTGCTTTAGAAGGAAGGTTCTTGTTTACTGAAGAGCAGAAACCCAAAAGCATGGGGCTCTGGAGCAGTTGACCACATGATGCTGGGAGTGGTGGGTTTTTATACCTTCTTGGGCTTTTATGTTTGGAGTTGCTCCTGTTCCTGTGGCATGAACTTTGATCTGAGGTTCAGTGTGCCCTTTTGGTATTCTGATGGTGGTGGGTTAATCCTATTATGTCCTAAAGCAGAGGTTCTGAACCTTGGCAACTTTAAGACTTGTGGACTTCAACTCCCAAAATTGCTGGCTGAAGAACTCTGGGAGTTGAAGTCCACAAGTCTTAAAGTTGCCAAGGTTCAGAACCTCTGCTTTAGGACATAATAGGATTAACCCACCACCATCAGAATACCAAAAGGGCACACTGAACCTCAGATCAAAGTTCATGCCACAGGAACAGGAGCAACTCCAAACATAAAAGCCCAAGAAGGTATAAAAACCCACCACTCCCAGCATCATGTGGTCAAGTTAAAGTTGCCAAAAGTTGAGGACCCCTGTCCTAAAGGTCATGTCCTGGTTCCCTGGGCCTGGGGCTGATGGCTATGTCCTGTGTTGGATTTTGGGGTGAAGGGTTGCTGGTTCAAATTCTGTCACTCTGCTATTGTTAGCTATCAACTCTTGCTCTAAGGGATTTTGAAACGTCCTGTCTCGAACGGGCTTCTGCAGGTACTATTTGCTCATGAATGGGGCCAAATAGGATCATCATATCTGCATTTTTACAGAGCTGGCCTGCTCAGTTTCTCTTTGCGGCTATTAAGAAAAACTGGGACTGCTTTTCTGCCTTTTTAATATCCCCCAAAATATTTCCTTCTCGGGGTGGGGGGGCTGACTTCCCACAGATGGAACCCCGATTCACCAGCCAGATGCCAGGAGGGTGTTTTGGCTGAATACCTCAACATTGCAAGGATTCTCCAGTGATAAGCCCCCCCCCCAAGTGACCCAACATTGGTTACTCCACGTGCAATTCCCCCCCCCCTCTTTTCTCTGTTGTTTCATCCCTGGAAATTGTGAGTGAACCTTTCAACCATAAAGGGCAGCCCAGCATTAGGGGTTTTGGTTGCCCGCTTCTGGCTAGCAGGAGTTGCAGCCACTGGGTTTAGCTGCAGGAAATGGAGCAGGAGAAACGTAAACCATCCTAAGAATGTAAGGTGAGGTGAGGCGAGAAGGAGCCGGGTTCTGCAGTCTTCTAGGAACTGCAGGAGAAGGCCAGAACGGTTCTTTCCATCCCAGGCTTAAAAGGTCTACCCCAGGGTAGGCAACCTTGGCTCTTTTATGACTCGTGGACTTCAACTCCCAGAATTCCTCAGCCAGCCATGCTGAGGGGACAGGGAGAGGTTTCCAAGCTGAGCCAGGCTGGCTCAGGGATTCTGGGAGTTGAAGTCCACGAGTCATGAGGGGGCCATAGTTCCCCCATGCTGGCTCAGGGATTCTGGGAGTTGAAGTCCACCAGTCATGAAGGAAGCCATAATTCCCCATGTTGGCTCAGGAATTCTGGGAATTGAAGTCCACGAGTCATAAAAGAGCCAAGGTTGCCTACCTATGGCCTAGGCCTAGGCCGCTTTATGACTCGTGGACTTCAACTCCCAGAATTCCTGAGCCAGCCATGCTGAGGGGACAGGGAGAGGTTTCCAAGCTGAGCCATGCTGGCTACTCCCTTTTATTCTATTGGCTTTTGAAAGCCAATAGATTAGACTCTCTTGAATAGAGTCTAATTCTATTGGCTTTCCAAAGCCAATAGGAATGGTCCATGCTGTCTCATTCTGCAAACGGTGCTGCACCAGTTGAGTAGTCCTCGACTTACGACCGGTTGAGTAGTCCTCGACTTACGACCGGTTGGGGGGGTCGTGGCATTAAAAAGGTTGAGAACCACTGGCTTAAGCTGTCTTTGGGCTCCCTCCCTTACTGGATACTCAGAATTCCTCAGCCAGTCCATAAAAGGGCCGATTGGAAGAGCCCTGCTTTAGCGAATTATAATAAATTAAAAGGCCAGCAACCAACCTAGCCAAAGGCCAACGGCCTTGGTCAGCCCTCCCCAGCCTGGCACCTTCCAGATGTATTGCAGCTTGCATTGTCCTGATACGAATGTCTTTAGGATAGCAATTCGGGGGATGGTTCTGGAGAGCAGAAGAAAAAAAGCTGATCTGGAGAACTGGACTGGACAAAAAATCATGGGCGCTCCATCACTGGAGTTTTAAGGCTAGACAGCCACCTGTCTCAGATGGTATAGGTTCTCCTGCTTGAGCCGGGGGCTGGACTAGAAGACCTCCAAGGTCCCTTCCAGCTCTATTCTGTTCACAACCTAGTGCTGACCCCAAGCCAGAGGGTTCTCCTAGGGCAGGGATGGCAAACCTTTTAGAGACTGCAACCCAAAACCCACTTATGTATCGCTGGGTGCCAGGTGGGTGTGGCCACTCGGCGGGCGCAGTTACAGTGGGCTTGGCAGACTGGGTGGGTGTGGCTGCAGTAGTCATGGCAGATTGGGTGGGCATGGCCGGGGTGGGCATGGCCACCTCGATGTTGCTTATGGGGAGGGACACCTGTGGGAGCTGGCGGGTAGGATGGTGGGCTCCCCAATGGTGTCCCTCCCCATAAGCAACATCGAGGTGGCCATGCCCACCCCGGCCATGCCCACCCAATCTGCCATGACTACTGCAGCCACACCCACCCAGTCTGCCAAGCCCACTGACACCAGGGGGTCTCTGGTGGGTGGGATGGTGGGCTCCCCAATGGGGGCTCCAGGCTGGCTGGCCTTAGGCCAGTGATGGCGAACTTTAAGAGACCATGTGTGCCCACATGGCGCGTGCCCACAGAGAGAGCTCCGGGTGCCGCCTCTGGCACGCGTGTCATAGGTTCGCCACCCCTGTCCTAGGGTGCCGAGTCCCTCGGCTACCTTGAGGGCTGGAGCAGGGTGGCCTGAGTTAATCCTTGCGTGGGAGACCCCAGGAAACCCGCCTGAGACATCCAAGAAGGTGAGGCTGACTTCCTTCTGGGCAGTTGTCCATGACGGAATCAGCAGCTGAAGTCATCCTGGCCTTAAGGAGAGAAAGCTGGATTTGGGCGAGGCAAATGGTTCACCAGGAAAAGGAGTCCAAAGACCAGGACGAGGAAGAGCTAGAAATAGCATCCTTTTATTTGAGGAAGAACCAGATGGAGCCACGCTGGCCTCCAAAGAACTCCTGGCTGATGCCCCCCCCCCGCTCCCCAGCAAGGAGGATGGAGGCTGTTGCATTGGCTATTCCAGGCACCCAGCGACCGATCAGAGACAGCCCAGGTGCCTGGGAAAGAAAGCTCACCGCCTGTCTGCTGGGAAGGGCCCAAGCTAGGTCTGTTCTGATCGTAGCCTCCAGGTCAGCTGGAAGCAGCCCCTGCACCCTCTTCCTGCAGAGTCTGCCCTCACTTCCCAGGGATCGGGGACCCCAAAAGTAAAGTCTGCCTGCCACTTTAAGTAGCATCTTCCTCCCGGCTGCATCCAGGCTTTCCAGGGGTGAATGCAGCTACCCCCTCCCCAGGAAAAGGCTGGTCTGCTGGCTGCCTGGCGCTGACCCCCAGCAGCCAGTCCCCGCCCAGCCCCAAACCCACCCCAAGGCACCCTTCCCCAGGCCTGCAAGGGTCTCCCCGGAGGAGAGAAGCAGGCCTATGCAGTTATAAGGCTGGTTTAAAGAAAGCCCTCCACCTCTCCCTCCCTGCCAGAGCCCAGCGCCAGCGCTGGGTCCCCGAAAGCCCCCCAACCCATCCCAGGGGGAGGCCATCCAGAAGGAGGCTGTGGCTCTCTTTGAGGCGGGGTCTCCGCTGGCCCAGAAAGAGAGAGCAGCCCTCTGGCCCTGGGAAGGTCCTGCTTCTCCTTTCCCCTCCCCTATTGTACAGTCTGCGGAGGGGGGGCGGCTCCCTTGGGTGGCTCCGTGACCCCTTCCCGGCCCTTCTTGCGTGGCGGCTTCTTGATGGGCGTCTTCTTGACGGCGGGGTCTCCGGGCATGGGGATGGCATCGGGGCTGCTGCTGGCCGGCTTCTCCCCGCTCTTGGGCTCGGTGGCGGGGGCGGCGGGGGGATCGCCGGGCCCCAGCAGTTTCTGCAGCGGGGCGGAGGTGGGCAGCAGCGGCTTGCCGGCCTTCTGCCTGGGGGCGGTGCCCGCCTGCCTGGCCTTCTGTGGGGGTGTTGGCTTCTCCCGCTGGGCCGGGAGGGGGCTCATGCCGTTGGGCCGCGCGCCCGCCTCGCCCCGCTGGAGGCTCTGGGTCTTTTCCTTCAGCTGTGCAGCCAGCAGCGTGACAGCCTCGGCGGAGAAGCCAGGCGGTGCCTTGGGCTGCGTGGGGCTCCGGGGCGCCTCGGCCGGCCGCCTCTCCGCACCGGGGCCCCCCATCCTCTTGAGCGCGGAGTGCAGGGCACCGTTGAGGTTCTCGGTGGGCTCTGGTCCGGTCCGGCTGCGCTGCCTGGCCTGAGCAGGGCAGGGCGGGCCCTCGGGGCTGCCGGGCTCCTGGGGGGGCCGGGGGGCCCTCTCCTTGGCCCGCGCGGCCTCGCCGGGGCTCCTCTTGCGCTTGGAGGGGCCGGGCCGGCGCTCGGCCTGCAGCTCGGCCGCGCCCGAGGCCGGCAGGGAGTTGCTCTGGGCCGTGTTGTACTTGTGGTGGATCCAGGAGACTTTGGGCTTGGTGGAGGGGTCCGGCGGGGGTGGCTTGGCCCGCTCTGGGGAGGGGGGCTTGGCCAGCCGGGGCTCCGCCGCCGGGGCCTCCTCCTCCTCCCGGGACTGCCTGGAGAGGCGCGCGATGCGGGCGTAGAGCGCGCCACTGACCGAACCAGAGCCGCAGGAGGAGCGCTCGCTGTCTGAGGACTTAAGCAGGGGCGCCTCGCCGCTGTCCACCAGGCCCGGGGGGCTCTCCTTTAGCACGGTGTACTCGCCAGCTTCCTCCGCCTCCGCCGGCCCCTTGCGTAGCGGTTGTGGCGCCTTCTCCAGGGTGCTGCTCGGGGCCGAGACATGCTCCTTGGGGTCGCTCGCGCTCTCTGCGGAGGGAAGGGAGGGAGAGCGGTGATCAAGACAAGTGAGCCAAGCTGCAAAGAGGCGGGGAGGGGACTGTTCCCCGCCCCATCACTTTGAGGGCAGGGTGAGCCTTGAGCCACCCATTCCCCAAATTGCCCCCATCCAAGCCTTTTCAGGAAGGGTTTCCTGCCTGAGCAGGGGGTTGGACTTGATGACCTCCAAGGTCCCTTCCAACTATTATTATTATTATTATTATTATTATTATTATGGATCATCGCACAGTCAGCCAGAGGTTCAGACTGGATTTGGCATTTTGTCTACCTATCGAGTCCTTACCCAGGACCTGGGATAGGCAGATGTGGATGTTTGATGGTATTACAGATATCGCAGGATGGAAGCAGTTCCTATAAGGCCGCCTTTTGCAATTGACTAATAGCGAATTTGTCAATGCCAATGGTGTTCAAGTGGTGCTCCAGTTGTTTTGGGATTGCACCCAAGGCGCCTATGACTATTGGTACTACCCTTGCTTGCTTTTGCCACAGTCTTTCTATTTCTATTTGTAGGTCTTTGTATTTTGTGATCTTCTCCAGTTCTTCTCCTTCTTATCACCTATTGTCAGAAGGCTGCAGCCGGGGAGAAAAGCCTGAAAAAATTACTTTGCTAGCTGCCTTTCTGAGAATTTCAGCTCTCTTCAAAGTCAAACCCATAAAAAACCCAACTCTGAAAATCTCCAGCAATCTGGGCTTCCACTTATTAGCCCTGGCAGAATTTTGGCACAGCAGCGAGTATGGCAGAGAAACCTGTGCAAAAGGAGGGATTTGGCTCCAACAAATGTTGAGTGTGCAGAATGCCGTTTGTGCTCAAGGGTGGATTTTATTTCATTTTACAACAAGGAAAGAGATGTTCCTTTTAGCTGTTCCTTCATCGTTGATGTGCAAATGATTTGCACGTTGCTCAAGGCAAAGCTGAGGCCCAGGCAGAATTTTAAAATGCAGGAACAGGCCTGCTTCCTTCCCTTGAGCAAGGTGAAGCCCTTGGAAGCTGGGATGCCCCAGAGGACAGAGGTAAAAGCACGCATATGGGCACACCTGAGTTGTCAAAGGCCTGCCCCTTCCTACGTGTGTTGTAACTGCACTCCAGACTTTTCTAATCTGTCCCAGATGCTGCTGCACTGTCTCCAAATTCAGGGCTAGGGCTAGGGTGCAAAAGGCTGCAGGCCATCTGGGCTTCACCTGGATATCACAAAAACTCACAACATTATCCTTTCCTACCACAAAAAAGATGCTGTCTCGGGGTGGGATTTAGTATATGGATGGCATGCCTATTTAATTTATAATAAGAAGGTGGATAGGGCTTTTAAGTCTCATATTTTAAGAATTTCTTTACTTCGAGTATAGAAGAAATATTGTAGAATAGATTCAAGAATTCCATTATGGGCTATCCCGGGGCATGCAATAGAAGGAATAAGGAAAGGAGTGAAGATGGACAGTATTTCTTATAAACAATTACTTAATTGGGATGGGAAAAATTGGCAACTAAAACATATAGATGAATTAGCACAAGAAAATATTATTTACTCGTGGTTTCAGTATAGACAATTATTAGAAAGGTGGAAGATAGATTATAAAGTGGGTTTGATTAGAGAGGATGAAAATTTGTGGAAAGAAATTAAAGATCAAAGTCGATCTCGTATAAAAAGAATTTATGAAGTATTAGTGGAGTTGGATTCAGAAACAGAATTAGTTAAAGATTGTATGGTTAAATGGGCTCAAAATTTTGATGAGCCGGTTTTATTAGAAACATGGGAGATAATTTGGGCGCGGAATGTTAAATTTACGCAAGCTCAAAATTTACGGGAAAATTTTTATAAAATGTTTTATAGATGGCACCTTGATCCACAAAAGATGTCTCGTATGTATTTAAATTTGCAACCTAAATGTTGAAGATGTGGTTGTTTGGACGCAACATATTATCATATTTGGTGGTGCATCAAGGAAGCAAAAAACAAACTCCGTTAATTCTTGTAGTTCAGGGGGGGTCTTCATACGTGGCCCTTTTATGATTTGTGGACTTCAACTCCCAGAATTCCTCAGCCAGCGTGCCTGGCTGATGAATTCTGGGAGCTGAAGTCCACAAGTCACAAAAGGGCCACGTTTGAAGACCTCTGTTGTAGTTTGATAGTGAAAGGTTTCAGGGTTTTTTTTTTAAAGGGGCAATTGGTATACAAAATTTGAGATAAAATTAAATACGCTGAACCAAGTTCACGATGTTGAGCAGACTTTTAGTTGTTGTTTGTTTTTTTAAATCAAGATTAGCAAAGATTTTGTTTCAATACTAAGTCTGAGACAGCTGCAAATTTCCCTAATGAGCACTCCTGGCAACAGTTGAAGGCACAACCACTCTCCCAGCTCCCGCTGCCAAACTGGAGACTGTTTTGGAAAGGATTTTTGTTGAGAAATATGCGTGTCTTTTGTACCGAAAGCATTTTTGGAGATTTGAAGTTTCTTTGCCCACGGATATCATGCGTATTTGCCCGATATAGTTAACTTGGTTATGACATTAACTCATTACTTGGAGAGACGCAATAAGCCTTTGTTTTTTTTAAAGCTAGCCAAATGCTCCAGTCACACAACACCCTGAGCCAGAAAACAAGTCAACTACAAACTAACCAGCGGATTAAATGGTATGTCTGTGGGGACGGTCAATTTCAAGAGGCTGGAACCAGCAGTTGTTTTTAAGCCAAGGGGTGGGTGGCTGTCATGCCAGGATCCGAAGTGAGTTGGAAGGGTGTGTTTATTTGTGTTTGTATGTGTGTGTGTGTGTATTTTGAAAGCTGGCTGGAAGCCAGGGAAGAGGAGAGAGGAGAGGAGAACAGAAGAGAAGAGGAGAAGAGAAGAGAAGAGAAGAGAAGAGAAAAGGGAAGAGGAGAGAGGAAAGGGGATCTGGGGGGAGAGGAGAGGAGAGGAGAGAAGAGAAGAGGAAGAGAAGAGAAGAGAAGGGGAGAGAGGAAAGGGGATCTGGGGGAAAAGGAGAGGAGAGGGAAGGGGGAGAGAAGAGAGGGGACATGGGAGGAGAGGAGAGGAGAAGAAGGGAAGGGAAGAGAAGAGGAAAGGGGAGAGAGGAGAGGGGACCTGGGGGGAGAGGAGAGGAGAGGAGAGAAGAGAGAAGAGAAGAGAAGAGGAGAGAGAAGGGAAGAGGAGAGAGGAAAGGAGAGAGGAGAAGAGAAGAAGAGAAGAGAAGAGAAGAGAAGAGAAGAGAAAAGGGAAGAGGAGAGAGGAAAGGGGATCTGGGGGGAGAGGAGAGGAGAGGAGAGAAGAGAAGAGGAAGAGAAGAGAAGAGAAGGGGAGAGAGGAAAGGGGATCTGGGGGAAAAGGAGAGGAGAGGGAAGGGGGAGAGAAGAGAGGGGACATGGGAGGAGAGGAGAGGAGAAGAGAAGAAGGGAAGGGAAGAGAAGAGGAAAGGAGAGAGAGGAGAGGGGACCTGGGGGGAGAGGAGAGGAGAGAAGAGAAGAGGAGAGAAAAGGGAAGGGGAGAGAGGAAAGGGGATCTGGGGGAAAAGGAGAGGAGAGGGAAGGGGGAGAGAAGAGAGGGGACATGGGAGGAGAGGAGAGGAGAAGAGAAGAAGGGAAGGGAAGAGAAGAGGAAAGGGGAGAGAGGAGAGGGGACCTGGGGGGAGAGGAGAGGAGAGGGAAGGGGGACAGAAGAGAGGGGACATGGGAGGAGAGGAGAAGAGAAGAAGAGAAGAGAGAAGGGGGAGAGAAGAGGGGGAGGCGAGAGGAGAGGAGAGGGAAGGGGGAGAGAAGAGGGGGAGGCGAGAGGAGAGAGGGGACATGGGAGGAGAGGAGAAGAGAAGAAGGGAAGGGAAGGGAAGAGAAGAGGGAAGGGGAGAGAGGAGAGGGGACCTGGGGGGAAAGGAGAGGGAAGGGGGAGAGAGGAGAGGGGACATGGGAGGAGAGGAGAGGAGAGAAGAAGAGAAGAGGGAAGGGGAGAGAGAAGAGGGGGGAGGCGAGAGGAGAGGAGAGGGAAGGGGGAGAGAAGAGGAGACATGGGAGGAGAGGAGAAGAGACTCTTGAGGCTGGGAGTTGCAATAACATGCTAGGGTCAACACACAGAGTTGGGGAAGTAGGAGAGGGAAAGTCTGTGGAGGTCCCTTGTTCCCACAGAGAGGGGCCCATTTCCTGTCCACGCATGTGCCAAAGCAGCCACAGAGCTTTAATCTTGTGCAGAGCCAGCCGCTTGCGACTGCAGGAGTTAATTTCCACTGGTGGGAACATCTCTGCATCGTAATTATGGTGCTGCTTTTTCTTTCAAAGCCGTGCATGTGTGGCCTGAGAATTCCTTAGGCATTACAGGGTCCTTTGTGAAGGGCCTGTTATTTGCTACAAAGGGTTTGCGGTGGAGCTGGGATCGAGTCAAAGTCCTCTGTTCCATGATGGTTGCCAAAATAAGAGGAGAGGAGAAACAAGGAGCTCAAAGCCTAGGAGAAGCACCGACCGTGGGCCTGCCATCCAAATGCAGAGTGGAGACTCCAGCCAGCTTTGCTGTGACCACGGGCGCACCCCTCTAATTCCAGAGAACTCCAGCTCTCTTATTGTAAGGCATTGGACAAAGTAGACCACAACCTACTCCTTGGTAAGCTAGAAAAAGGTGGAATAGACAACATCACCACCAGATAGATCTGTAGCTGGCTGGCAAACCGTACTCAACGAGTAGTCCTCAACGGCACTACATCCACATGGAGGGAAGTAAGCAGTGGGGTATCACAAGGTTCTGCCTTAGGCCCAGGACTCTTCAATATCTTCATCAATGACTTAGATGAGGGAGTTGAAGGGGAACTCATCAAATTTGTAGATAACACCAAACTGACAGGAGTAGCCAACATCCCAGAAGACAAGCTCAGGATCCCAAAAGATCTTAACAAACTTGAACAATGGGCCCTATCCAACAAAATGAGTTTCAATGTAGAGCAGTGGTTCTCCACCTGTGGGTCGGGACCCCATTTGGGGTCGAACGACCATTTCACGGGGGTCGCCAAACAACGCAGTCCGCCATTTTTTCCCGCTTTTCCTTAGCTGTGCGACTCCCTTTTATTCTATTGGCTTTTGAAAGCCAATAGAATAGACTCTCTTGAATAGAGTCTAATTCTATTGGCTTTCAAAAGCCAATAGGAATTGTCCAGGCTGTCTCTGCCCTGCTGAGCCTGCCAAAAGTCCCATTCTGCAAATGGTGCTGCACCAGTTGAGTAGTCCTCGACTTACGACCGGTTGAGTAGTCCTCAACTTAGACCGGTTGGGGGTCATGGCATTAAAAAGGTTGAGAACCACTAATGTACAGAAAAGCAAAGTTTTACATTTAGGCAGGAAAAATCAAAGGTATGCGTATAGATTGGGCAAGACTTGGCTCAAAAACAGTAATTGTGAGAGAGACCTTAAGAGTCCTAGTGGATGATCCCTTGACTATGAGCCAGCCGTGTGCAGCAGCAACAAAAAAAGCTAATACAATCCTGGATTGTATAAACAGAGGCATAGAATCAAGATCACAGAAAGTATTAGTACCGCTTTATAAAACTCTAGTAAGACCACACTAGGAATACTGCAGCCAGTTTTGGTCACCATATCACAAAAAAGATGTTGGGAGTTTGGAAAAAAAAAACCAGAGAAGAGCAACTAAAATGATCAAAGGCCTGGAGATTAAAACATACCGGGAACAGCTGCGGGACTTGGGTCTGGCTAGTCTAAAGAAAAAAAAAGAAATAGAGGAGACATGATAACAGTATTCCGGTATTTGAGGGGCTGCCACAAAGAAGACGGGGTCATGTTATTCTCCAGATGCGCCAGAGGGCAGGACAAGAAACAATGGCTGGAAACTGATCAAAGAGAGAAGCAATCTGGAATTAAGGAGAAACTTCCTGACAGGGAGGACAATTAACCAGCAGAACAGCTCGCCTCCAGAAGTTTGTAGGTGCTCCATCACTGGAGGTTTTTAAGAAAAGCCTGGACAGCTGAATTCCTGAGCAGCACAGCTGGCTCAGGAATTCTGGGAGTTGAAGTCCACGAGTCATAAAAGAGGCAAGGTTGCCTACCCCTGGGTCTTTTGCTTGAGCAGCGGGTTGGACTGGAAGACCTCCAAGGTCCCTTCCAGCTTCTATTTTTAATCAGCATCCTAGTCCTCAGTTTTGCAAAAGAAAACTTGGAAGCGGGCCCAGTTTGTGTTAAAGGAAAAAATCTTGGAGAAGCTTCAACAGCTAAAGTGAGAGACGACAAAGGTATCCATCACATCATCAGGACCACAAGAAAGTTTTGCACATTTGTTGTGCAGGTTGTCCTCAACTTATAACCATTCCCTTAGCGACTGTTCAGAGTTACAACATCACTGGTGGTCTTGTAGAAATATAAAGGCTTTTTGGATTAAGATTTGGTGGAATATTCAAAAAATTTTTAATAGAAGGATAAAATTCACACCACAGCTATTTTTGTTAGGTATTATTGAAGATTGTGATAGTAAAGAGATTATTTTAATGTTGAATTTTATTACGGCAGCAAGGTTATTGATTGGGCAATATTGGAGAAAAGACTCCTTTCCTACCTTAGAGGAATGGTTTTTTAAAGTTTCTTATTTATCAGAAATGGCAAAAATATCGGTTTATCTGAAAGACCATTCACAAGAGAGATACAACTCTGTATGGAAAAGATGGGTAAATTTTGTTCAGAACAAATATGGGATTAGAAAGTATTATTTAGCTTTTGAATAACTTATTGTATAAAGTTGTTATGGTTAGATTTGTTGATTTTATTGTAATGGAGTTAAAGAGGTTTTAAATTTTTTTAGGATTTATGTATAATTGATTGATCTTTATTTAATTTTTTATGTTCTTTTTTTGTTGTTTTTAGCTCTGTACTCAGCTCTGGGAAGGGGGGGAGGGCTAATGGGAGGGGGGAGGGAGAGAGGTGGGGAGGGATTTTATTGTAAAATGTTTATAAAAATTTTAATTAAAATAATAATAATATTGTTTTAACAATAAACAACTAGGTTATACTCTTAAAAAAAAGTGACTTGGGACTATTTTTCACACTTCTGACTGTTGCAGCAGCCCCATGGTCACGTGATCAAAATTCAGATGCTTGACAACTGACCCGTATTTATGACGGTTGAAGCGTCCCGGAGTCATGTGGTTACCTTGTATGTACTTATGAGCAGGGGGTTTGGACTAGAAGACCTCCGAAGTCTATTATTTTATTCTATTCTAAATAATTTCCCAATTGTATGAAGGATGTAAGCTATTCCACAAATGGACCACCCGTATCTTCTCTAGGGGTCTTTCATCCTTGATCAAAGATGCCAAGCACCATAGAGCAGAGACCTTTTGGGCACCAGGGACTGGTTCTGTGGAGAGAGGTTTTCCCGCGGACCGGAGGGGGTGTGGTTTTTGTGTACTGCCTGCATCTCGCGGATGGGGCTTTGCTTGCTTGTGCGGACCGGTTGCTGGCATGCCGCGGCCCACTACCGGTCCACAGACTGGGGGTTGGGGACCCCTGCTCTAAAGCAGTGGTTCTTAAGCTTTTTGAACGAATCGCCCCCTTGAGCCAATGAGGAAGTTGTCATCGCCCCCCTCCCCCAACACAACCCCTCAATCACAACATAGGAAATATTTCTTCAATTTATGCAAACACTTTTTTTGTTTTCTTTAAAATTGTCATCAGGACATATCGATGCAAATAATTTATTTCCAGTCTTTTCCCCATATCTCCCATATTCTGGCCAATGGCGCGCCACTGTATGGGTAGAGGCTGCTGCGCAACGCGCATGAAGATAAGCGATGCGTATTCACATATGTACGGCGTTCTGTACCGAAGCTAGCTGGAGGAACATTTGAAAACACAATGCGATCCACTAATAGCGATCATCTGGTGTTTTTGTACGACAGATATACAGCGATTCACTGTACGAAAAAATCTCAAAGGTGTCCCCAAAACTTCTTGCTCCATTGCCCCCACATCACCCCCTTTTCATTCCTTCACCCCCACGTCACCCATTTTTGTTCCATCGCCCCCTTGAAAAATGAAATCGCCCCCTGGGGGGTGATATTGCCCAGGTTAAGAACCACTGCTCTAAAGGACTGATTCTGTAGCGGGGCTCCTGTGAGCTGGGAATTGTAGCATACTTGAATCACAACTCCCAGCTTCCCTTGAGGAGAAACCACAGAAGTTAAGGAGCCTGGCTCTTTCTCCCAATTTGAGGAAGGCAGAGCCAATCTGATTGGTAGGACCCTGGCCAAAATTGATGATCCCTGGAAAAAGGGGTCTTCTCTGATGCCTGGTAGAGGAGACTAGAGCAGTGGTTCTCAATCTTTTTAATGCCGCGACCCCCAACCGGTCGTAAGTCGAGGGCTACTCAACCGGTCGTAAGTCGAGGACTACTCAACTGGTGCAGCACCGTTTCCAGAGTGGGACTTTTGGCGGGCTCAGCAGGGCAGAGACAGCCTGGACAATTCCTATTGGCTTTTGAAAGCCAATAGAATTGGACTCTATTCAAGGGAGTCTATTCTATTGGCTTTCAAAAGCCAATAGAATAAAAGGGAGTAGCACAGCTAAGGAAAAGGGGGAAAAATGGCAGACTGCGTTGTTTGGCGACCCCCGTGAAATGGTCGTTCGACCCCAGATGGGGTCCCAACCCACAGGTTGAGAACCACTGCTCTAGAGGCTTTCGGGAGGGGTCAAGTCACGGGGGCTGTTTTTTCTCTTTGGGTTATTCCGAGTTTCATTTTTTTAAAAAGGTATTTTTGATTGCATTTGGGGCCCTTTTAGACAGCGGTGGTCCAAGCTTGGCATTGAGTCCCCAGCAACATGTGTGTGTGAGTGTGTGTGTGCCCGTGCACATATACTCTTACAGCAGGGGTGTAAAACTGCTGGCCCGCAGGCTGGACACATCATCCAGAAGCCACAACTACCCCATTGCCAACAATGGCAAAACTGTCCCGATACGTCTCGCGACGTCACGTGACGTCGCAAGTTTGACATGTCTGTTTTACAGGGTTGTTGTTGGTTTTTTTTTTTTTTTTTTTTTGCTATCCCAACTTTTCCTAGTAACCAGCCAAGGAAATGATACCCTTTTGGGGACTAATCTTTGTCCTTGGTGATCACTGACTTTCAGTGGCCAGGTCTCAGCTCTCTCGGGGGATGCTTTGCTTGATCGGAGTCTGGCTCATGCCAGGAGTTCTACTGACCTTCGTGCGGAACACAGTAGACGGGTCCTTCGTCTGTGGTATCAAAGGAAGAGAAGGAGCCCCTGGATGACCAGGAGGGTGATGGCTGATCCACCACAGAAGGAGGTTCAATGAAGCTGCAGTTCAGGGTGTTCTCCAGGTCATGATGAGCCACTGCAAGACATGGAGAGGGTGGAAAAGGGAGGTTCAATCAATCAATCAATCAATCAATCAGAATAGAGCTGGAAGGGACCTTTGATGTCTTCGAGTCCAACCCCCTGCTCAAACAGGAGACCCTATTATATCATTTTGGACAAGTGGCTATCCAGTCTCTTCTTAACAGCCTCCAGGGATGGAGTACCTACAACGTCTGAAGGCAAAGCTGTTCCACTGGTTAATTGTCCTCACTGTTAGGAAGTTTCTCCTTAGTTCCAGGTTGCTTCTCTCCTTGCTTAGTTTCCATCCATTGTTTCTCGTCTTGCCTTCTGGTGCTTTGGAAAATAAGTTGACCCCCTCCTCTTTGTGGCAGCCCCTCAAATACTGGAACACTGCTGTCATGTCCCCCCTAGTCCTTCTTTTCTCTAGACTGGCTATACCCAAATCATGCAACAGTTCTTCATATGTTTTTGTCTCCAGGCTTTTAATTTTCTTAGTTGTTGTTTTTTGCACTTTTTCCAAACATCTTTTTTTAATGTGGTGACCAAAACTGGATGCAGTATTCCCGGTAGAGCCTTACTAAGGTTTTATAAAATGGTACTAATACTTCACATGATTTTGATTCTATGCCTCTGTTTACACAACCAAGGACTGTATTAGCTTTTTTGGCTGCTGCTACACACTGCTGGCTCATGTTTAAGGATTATGACTCCAAGGTCCCTCTCACAGTTACTGTTTTTGAGAGATAATCAGTATCTGTACCTTTGTTTTTTTCCTGCCTAGGTGTAAAACTTTGCTTTTCTCCACGTTAAATTTCATGTTGTTGGATGGGCCTATTGTTCAAGTCTGTCAAGATCTTTTCTGCCACAAATGAAATCAAAAGGCCACTTGCATCCGGGAACTCAAAGCGAAGATAATATTTCGCCCTTCATTTTATATTCATAACCATTATCTGATGTCTCAACCAAAACTGAGGGACTGACCCAATGTTATCCAATGTTGGCACCACAGGTAATCTTCATTTAGTGACTGCCTTGCTTAGCAATTCTTCACAGCTATGACAGTGATGAAAAAATAAGTTTATGACCCACATTTACTACCTTTGCAGGTCTGAGGGAAAGTGAGGGAAAGCTGAAGTAAGATCAAAAGCGGTTATGGTTTCACTTAATGACCGCTTTGTTTAGCGACCAAGTTGCTGGTCTTACTTGTGTTTGTTAAATAACAACTACATGTTTAACCAAGTGAGTGAGAGATTCACCAGCTGCGTTCACACCACATGTTAAGCTTGGTTATTATGAATATTGGTTAGTTTTTCACTAAAAAAACTAACCAATGGGACAAATGCTGCATTTGGCTGATTACTAATTTTTGTCAGCCATCTCTCTTTAAGGCAGTGTTTCTCAACCTGTGGGTCGGGACCCCATTTGGGGTCGAACGACCATTTCACGGGGGTCGCCAAACAACGCAGTCTGCCATTTTTCCCCCCTTTTCCTTAGCTGTGCTACTCCCTTTTATTCTATTGGCTTTGGAAAGCCAATAGAATAGACTCTCTTGAATAGAGAGGTTGAGTAGTCCTCGACTTACGATCGGTTGGGTAGTCCTCGACTTACGACCGGTTGGGGGTCGCGGCATTAAAAAGGTTGAGAACCACTGCTTTAAGGCCATCTAAACCAACCTCATGTATTGCAGTGGTCCTTTTCGAAAAACAAGGCACGGTGTTTTTGGGCTGTCCCAGGATCAGGGGAGCCACCTCATCTGAGAGCCATTGCGGTGAAGATACCAGGCAGAGAGTGGGGAGACCAGGTTGCAGTCCCCCATTAGCCATGGAAGCTTCCCCTGGCCAGGCCCTTCCTCTCAGCCCCAGAGCCAGGGTGGGGTGGGGTGGGGTGGGAGATGCAAGAACAGGGAATCCCAGTCTTGTTGTAGACCCAGGATCTCCCTAGCTACCTGGGCCAGACCCTCAGCCACTACACCCATGGGGTGTGTGTGACTGGGGCCGGCTCTTCTCAAATAGCCAGGCAGGGTAGCAGGGAGGGTGCTGGGCCAGGTCCTGGTTCCCTTTCAACCCCAGCAGCTCCCTGGGCTAGCTCCACCTGCCTCACAAGGTTGGTTTTGTGCAAAAAGTAGAAGTCCTCCTGCATGAAACGTGGGAAGCACAGAGGATGCCTAAATGCGGAAGACCCCCTTCTTTGGGCAGTTGAACGGCATGGCCAAAAATCCCTAATCTCAAATGACATTGATGATAAACAACCCCAGTTTGATTGGGAAGGAACAAAAATTATTGGGCATACCAACACCTGCCACACACCTGAATTTATTGAGGCCTGTTATTCTACCAAAGGAGCAATTAACAAGCATCTTGATCTAGATCAGGGGTAGGCAACCTTGGCTCTTTTATGACTTGTGGACTTCAACTCCCAGAATTCCTGAGCCAACCATGCTGAGGAGAAAGGGAGAGGTTTCCAAGCTGAGCCATGCTGGCTCAGGAATTCTGGGAGTTGGTCCACCAGTCATGAGGGGGGCCATAGTTCCCCCATGCTGGCTCAGGAATTCTGGGAATTGAAGTCCACGAGTCATGAAGGGGCCAAGGTTGCCTACTTCTGGTATATGAACAGGTAAGAAACCAGATCGTTCGAACTGCCAATCAACAAAAGAACCAATCAGCTGCTCAGAATTCAAATATAACTCCAAACAAACCACCAATCGCGCGATCAACTGACCACTCCGGCACACAAGACATTTGTAAGCTAAGGAAAATAGGACAAGAAAATCTTGTTGATGATGTCACCTAGTTTGGTAACGAAACATTCAGAAAGTATATTGAAACAAGCTTGGAGAACAAACCACAGCCAAAAGAAATCTATGTTCCACAGGCAGCGTTGTGCGGAGATGTGTCTTTTAGGAGCAAAGTTTGCTTTGGGAATGCTTTTGGGTATCCGTGTAACTTCTGTTGGGAACATTTAAAGTGGCCACAGAAGGCCAGGAAAAGATACCACTGATTTAAGGGATTTGATGTCAGATCTTTGCTGAGCTATAATGTACATGTCCGCAATCTGCCAAAGGCAAGTTCTGCATTTGGCAGATTGCGGACTAACGTGTGGGACCGCCGTGGAATAAGTCTTGCTACCAAGCTTAAAGTTTACCCGGCAGCAGTGCTAACTACCCTATTGTATGCTAGTGAGACCTGGACAGTGTACAGGAGGCTTGTTAGGCAACTGAACTACTTCCACATGACTTGCCTTCGTAGAATTCTGAGGATCCGGTGGCAGGATAAGATACCAGACACAGATGTCCTCTCCAGAGCAGGTCTATCATCAGTTTACACCCTGTTGATGAAAGCCCAGATGCGCTGGGCAGGCCATGTTGTAAGGATGCCAGATCATCGCATCCCTAAACGGCTCTTCTATGGTGAGCTGTCTCAAGGAAAGCGATCGCACGGGGGACAAAAGAAGCGATACAAAGACATGTTGAAAGCCTCTCTTAAGTCCCTGGATATTAACTTCTGGCGCATGATCGACCGACATGGCGCACCTTGGTGTACCAGGGTTGCCAAACATACAAACACAGAAGGACAATCTTGGCACAAGAGAAGCGAGCACTCCGCAAAGCCAGAGCTGCAAGTGCTGAAGTAACAGCGTCTACATTTCTTTGTTCAGTATGTGGCAGAACATTCCGTGCTAACATCGGTCTTATTAGCCACCTACGGACACATCGCTGATGGCCCATAACCCACAAGATGTCAAGGTCTTCATCGAAATCGATGGACGAACAACACATATTATCCATAGGATGACAGCTTGGATGTTAAGCAGGCCAGACCTGGTTAGTATTTGGATGAAGTAATTTTAGAGAACAGGACTGTGGGCCAAACCAGCAGGAGTCAAAAGCACCTGGAAGAAAGTAGCAGGCGGCTACGTGGCTACCATAAAAATGACAGAGGTATGTCCATGTGGGCATGAAGACTCAGATCTACCAGAACGAATCCTGTTTATCATAAGTGCATCTATTTGAGAACAGATGATGCTGAGATAGTGGTTGGCTTTTGCAGCTGATTTTTTTCCCCTGCTTAGTTTGTCTGTTTTCTTGAAACGGACTCAAAGCTTCTGATGGAGACGTACACACACAGAGAGGACAGTAGGGGTTGTAGATGTAGCAATGCCAAGTGACAGCAACCCCAGAAAGAAGGAATATGAGAAGGTTAGAAGGTTGAGCAGGGGGCTGGGCTAGAAGACCTCCAAGGTCCCTTCCAGCTTCTATTCTATTCTATTCTATTCTATTCTATTCTATTCTATTCTATTCTATTCTATTCTATTCTATTCTATTCTATTCTATTCTGTTCTGTTCTGTTCTGTTCCATTCCATATATTCTATTCTGTTCTATTCTATTCTATTCTATTCTATTCTATTCTATTCTATTCTGTTCTGTTCTGTTCTGTTCCATTCCATATATTCTATTCTGTTCTATTCTATTCTATTCTATTCTATTCTATTCTATTCTATTCTATTCTATTCTATTCCATTCCATTCCATTCCATTCCATATTCTATCCCATTCCATATATTCTATTCTATTCTATTCTATTCTATTCTATTCTATTCTATTCTATTCTATTCTATTCTATTCTATTCTATTCTATTCTATTCTATTCTATTCCATTCCATTCCATTCCATTCCATATTCTATCCCATTCCATATATTCTATTCTATTCTATTCTATTCTATTCTATTCTATTCTATTCTATTCTATTCTATTCTATTCTATTCTATTCTATTCTATTCCATTCCATTCCATTCCACTCCACTCCATATACTCTACTCTACTCTACTCTACTCTAACCTGTGGGCAGCCAGGGAGGCTGTGGACTGATGGGGAGATGGTAGCAAAAAATAACACTGTCAGCAATACAGGTAAGTCCTTGACTTACAACAGTTCATTTAGTGACCGTTCAAAGTCACAACGGCACTGAAAAATGGGACTTATTTTTCACACACCGTTGTAGCGTGCTCATGGTCACACG